GCAGGTACTCAACATATAATTTGCTTGGTGGGTGCTGACATCCCCATATCCCTGGATTCATGATATACAAAATCAAAACAACTAAATGCTCGATCGTCACCCCGTCTCGTCCATATCCCCACCGGTACTTCCTGGCTTAACCCGCAGGTCCTAGTCTAGACAATGACTATGCATGCAACCATGAGCGGTGCAATTGACACTCGCCTTTAAGAAAGGGCAACGCTCCAGATCATCTATATTGATATAAGACTATCGCCATAAGCCGCATGCCGCAGCAGGTTCGCCTATACCAAAGTTTCCTATCTCATAATCTCATACTCATGTAATTACTCCTTCCACGTGCCGTATCATCGCCATCGGGAAAGGTGTCGCCATCTGACCAAAATTAAGAACGGCAGAATGACTCACAACCAGCGGTTAGGGTGATATACAAGCTTCTCAGCCAAGTCCAGGTGGCAGGTCTGAAGATGCCATTCTTCTGACAATTCCATAGCATTGGATTCACTATACTGGCCACCGTAACACTACCATCACCAAGGAATCGGCATGTAGGTTTCTCATCTAACCATCCTAGCTTTAATCGCTAGTATATCTCATGACTACTGCTCCCTATGCTTAGATCGATAGCCTATCGAGCTATCAGATACATCCTTGTCTGGCACACCCACTTCAAGCCACCCTCGCACTTTACCGCGTAAGTGCCTCAGCCCTTTCTCAGTAGTCTAGCATTAACATTCGTTAATCTACACTTTCTGTCAAGCCAGACATCATCTACACCTGCACTTCACCATGATCTGGGTGGCTTATGTAGACCCATGCCACTATGCTGCCGTACCCCACAGCATGGGCTTCATGCATGCCAGCATCCACAGCACGCCACTTTCGAGCCCTAGTGTATACGTACGACCCGCAGTCTTGCTGCATCGTAAATATGCTCTCGCATGATTTGAGACTTGACTCTACAAGAGTACTGGTCTTTATCAATGCGTTTCCCAGCAGTAAAGTAAACTGTGGATTCGGTGACAACCATAGCGCATAGATTCGCAGGGAATCGACTAATTTAAAATGCAATAGCTGTAGACTTATACATATCGCTTGCGGGCGTGACCACCTTGATTTGCTGAAGCGCTACAACCCTGGAAACCAACCCTTAAGCCCCTTAAACGTGGGCGTCGTGAGTAAACCCGACAAGATCCAAGCTATTGTATGACATCATTGATTTTTGATTGACACCTTGTGTTTTAAAAGAGCTGGTTCTGAAAAATCGGTCATAAGGTAGCTGGCTATTGACTGCCTGCCTCCCTACACCCCACCGAGCTATTACACAAGTAGTCACTAATACCGGGCAGGTGTTAATACTCGTGAAACTTGGCTCCGACGCTTGTCTGCTTCTTTCGAACTCCCATCAGGGAAACATACGTCTTGTGTACTTGATACTAAACACAGTTGGCTAAACTCGGGCTTTTTACACAGTTAAAGACTGTGGTTTCTTGCTTGATCTTGGAGAACTTCATTTACGACAAAGCAAGGACGCAGATTCTCTTGTGTAGTAGCTTGTAGCAATTAAGACTACCACACTAGCATTTAGAGGGGTGTTCCCTAGGAAGTAATACTTTACATCTTCAAAGTGCATATCAATGTGGGTGAGAGAAACGTGCTTAGAAAGACTGGAAAATAAATAACCCATGAAAGTAAGTGTATGTACTACGCGTTGTCGTCGCACACATGATAGAGCCCCACCCTCACGTTCGCGGCCGGGGGCCATGTGATCTTCCCGGGTACGGAAGGGTGGGAGGGGTGGGACGCGGTTCGGTTGGGGGGAAAAGGATGCGAAAGAAAAATGGAGGGGGGAGGCAAAGGAGCGGTGCAAATGGGAAAGGGAGACGAGAAAAAAAAGAGGGTTGGACATCCCGGATCCGTCGGTAACACCCGGCGCGTTGATTGGGAATGTTTTGTTGCCTATCCACCCATCCACACCCCCATCGTTGCAAAGTACCTGACCTACCCACCTACATAACGGTATGTATGTATCTATGTATGTATCTATGTATGTATCTATGTATGTATCTATGTATGTATCTATGTATGTATCTATGTATGTATCTATGTATGTATCTACACCATCCATCTGTGCAGATACGGTATATGGTGGTTGCCATTATACCTGATCCGACCTGGCTTGATCTGAACATGGGGGAACCGATTCCCGTTTGTGGCGCCTTGGGGTTTGAGGACTCTGGATGCGTGAGTCATGGGTGTGGCGGAGTGCTACCTGCCTACGTACCTACGTGCCTGTCTACCTACCTAGTTAACCTACCTACCTTTTGCTTCGTATCTGTCGTATCGCACTGATGGCGAATGAATCGATGTTCGGGTTTTGATAAAACCGGCGCTGGATTGAAAGGGGGGGAGTGTGGCGGTTCCATTGGCCGTTGGAGGCTTGCTCCTTCTTCGGTGTGGTTCCGGGAAATGGCGTTCTCTCTCTTATGGTGGTGAGGTGACGTCGCTTGGCAGAATTAATGCGCCGAAAGGGGTGTTGGAGGCTCGTACAAGACCTTCATGTGGATTGTATCGTAGCCCTGGGTGTTTTCTTTTCTGCGTGCGGTGTCCTTGTGGCGCCTCGCTGTGATGGATAATTACCTCCTCATCTATATCCTCGAGTGCGGTACACCTACCGCTCTCCCCTGACGTCCCAGGTATTTCTTGATCCTACCTTGTGATGAGGCCATTATTCGTCTTTGACATGTTGCTCGCAGTGTAGAGGGAGGTTTCCCTTTATTCATCCCCTAGCCCTCTCCTTACACAGTCTGGCCATCGGCTAAGGCGATAAGTGACATCCCCTATTGCTTGAGTATATCAGGTACCATTGTTATATAGATAGCCTCACCTCTTTTCAATCTTTTGATGAGATATAGCAGATGGATGCAACCTAGTAATCTAACTCTGCGACTGACAGCCCCAACATTCTCCGTGATAATCGCGGTAGATATGAGTCTGTAGAGAGCCATGTGGCATCATGTCTGAGACCAGGGGGCTCAGCGCATCCTCTCTGGATCACTATTGGATTTGACGAGTTAACACTGGCGTTCTGATAGCAGAAGACAGCTGAAATTAGTACTTGCTCCTAGCGCCCATGCGGTATAATAATTATAGCTAGACCTCAAGGTCTAGCATCCTGGGATTCTCGAAAAGGATTTAAGCTGAAATTTCACCATCTGAGACCGATCTGATAGAGGTTGTTTGAACTATGACAGCTACTCCGTTTGTGGATGCCCCTATCTAGTATGTCTCACATTAGCTCGTTTCTATTCTGTGCCAGGACTATCATCTTCATCATCCATCCGGCCTGCGATGCTAGACAGTCTGGTGATCACATCAAAGATACCTTGTGATCAGAAGACGAGCGGGCGCTCATCCGCGCACCTCACATCTAGTACAATGTAATATGTGGAGGTGTGTGGACTGGGAGAGGAATGGTGGGATGTTATTTCCCCTTCAACATAGTCAGCGTCTTACCATAGGAGTTCAAGGTGCGCGTGCATGGTGATCATGACTTGTAGCTGACCTCTGAACACGTAAGATATGGAACCTCGCTCTTCCAGGGAACTGTATTGCAATAGGTATCTTCCATTTCGAGCAGCCTACGTGATGAAAAGGATTAGTCGCCAGCTGTGATGCTTTACATGACTCACAATCTCCTAGCCAGGTAATTTTCTAAGATAGCGTGGTTTTGGGACGTTCTCCAATTTTCGCTGCAGTTAAATCACTTCACAGCGAGAGTGAAGAGAAGTTCTGCAAGTTGTAATAGGTATCTCGTCAGCATCTACTACATGATTATCTAGTCCTTTTTCTAACTAGATGCCGGGACGTACTTAACGCGTAACTGTTTCCTTGTTCGATATCTTAATAAGTTTATATCATGCAGAGATTTAAAAAGCAGTGAACTATACAGAGAGAGTGTCCAATAAATTCGGCTTTTACATGTTTGACTGTATTGATAGATACTCTTGAAGTGAAACTGAACAGAATCTCCCTTGCGGCTACTCTGCCCCTTTAAATAGCAACCACCACTCTAGATTCATGGACCCGACTTAATTGACGTGGTCTGTAGGTATACCAATTCGTCGCGTAAGTGTCGTCTTTGCTTCCACTAGATCAATTCCAGCTAAAGCGAAGAAAATAAATTCAACTGAAAGCATCAGGAACAGCAGATGAAAGATGAACGAAAGAGAGAGGGAAGGTAAGACTAAAAAATAGAGACAGTTTTTCACTTTAAGTTCGTTACAACTTTCCCCGGTGGCTTCCTGGCACAATATCATATGCTAACAGAAGACAACACAGGAGCCATTTGGAACCTGAAGGAGCTGGCTAACTCTTCAGGAGCAACTAAATATTACAATGCAACCTCGTCAGGTTTATCTGGAATTAGATCAGGCTGATACTATTGTCTCTATTGCCAACTATCTCTTCTGGTCCTGATGAATTTCAATCCGGGAAGTCTAGAATCCTGGGTCGCAGTTAATATTGACATCCACTTGCGTCGGACACATTCTTCGGAGAAGATGAATATGCGTTTCCAAATAAATTTATGCGAATAGATCTACAATTCCCATTATAAGGGTCCTTGAACTAAAAGTTAGTTTTATAGGTCAAGACACATATGTAGGCAGATATTAAATTGATGCAGCATGATCCTCACCTAGTACATGCGACCTGATCAACCTTCGACCTCCGTCAATCAACATGCCAAGTAACTACTTGCGCATATAGTCGTCGCATTATTAGTAATAACTGAAGATGTGTCTTCAAATTTTCGACACTTCGGCGCTTCCCATTGTGTAGACAGACCTCTTAGAAGCGATAGGTCGTAAGTGAGTTGCCAAGGAGCATGATGTAGATGCGATGAAGCCGGATCGTATCCACTTAACATCTGCGGCTACCGTGTTCCGTAAGACAGGATAATGGAGAGCGGGAGGAGTTGCAGGAAAAGAAAGGGTATTGGGTGCGGAGAACGAGTAGATCTAGTCGCACTACATCCGGGATCGCTGCCTGTCTTAAAGCTTGGTCGTACAACTAACTGTAGGATTGAGTTCGTCCCCGCACTTCACATGCGCACTTCCGGTGATGATGACTTAGGTGGTCAAAAGTATAATCTCAGTTATTATTCCATTGGATTTCTTTGCTTCACGCATCGATTCCGTTAGAGTTCCCCTATTCCAATACTAAAGTCTTGAGAGAACGTGTTGTGACCGACAATATGGCCCCTCAGCCGAGACTAGAAGGCAAGGTGGCTATCGTCACAGGCGGAGCTTCGGGGTTCGGCAAGGGGATTGCAACTAAGTTCGTCGAGGAGGGTGCCCAAGTCCTCATTGCAGACCTCGCCGAAGAAGCTGGTAGAAGTGCGGCAAAGGAGTTAGGATGCGCGTCCACCGTCGCAGATGTGACCAAGCGCGAGGATTGGGAGCGATTACTGAAAGAGGCCGTTGACAAGTTCGGCAAACTCGACATTGTCATCAACAATGCAGGTGCTGCTTACAACAACAAAGCCACTGAAGACGTCACGGAGAAAGACTTCGACCTTGTCATGACCGTCAACGTCAAATCTGTGTACCTGTCTACGAGTGTGATCGTACCTTATTTCGTGGAAAAGAAGATCGCAGGGTGCTTCGTCCAGATTGCGTCCACAGCAGGAGGTGAGTGGCGAACGTCTGTGCTAGTTAACTTGCCGTGCGTTTAGATGGCATGAAGTCCTTGCTCGCCCACTCTCTTCCACTTGAAAGTAAACCGTTCTACAAGAAGGAGGAACTAATATTCTGATCAATAGTGCGACCCCGCCCACGGCTCACTTGGTATAATGCATCTAAAGCAGCCGTGATCAATGCTACAAAGGTAGGTGTGCTAGATTTAGCAAGATATCATGGCTTCTACTAAATCTTCCATTTCCAGGGCATGGCTGTTGAGTATGCTCCGCATTCGATCCGGTTCAACTCAGTATCCCCTGTCATTGGAAGTACTGGTATGACACATCTCTTTATAGGCAAGCCGGACACCCCTGAGAATCGTAAAGCCTTTGAGTCTGTCGTACCGCTCGGCCGAGGCTCTACTCCAGCTGATGTTGCCAACGCATGTTGCTATCTTGCTAGCAACGAGGCAGAATTTATCACTGGTATTAACCTTGAGGTATGCGGTGGTCGCTGTGTGTAGGCGTGTTGGATTGGTATCATCGACGGCACGAGCCAGGTTAACTTGGTCATATCTGCAACCTGACGGGATAATATGTTTGAATGTCAAATATTATGAGCTTATGGGATTGCTAGGTACCTTAATACTGACTCGGCTTTCATCCAAATGGGATATAATTAAATGCTGGGCTAAGGCCAGCAATACCAAGACAGTCAGAGAACCTTAACATTCATTTTATATAACGTAAAATATACCACCCTTCAAGGGCAATAATAACGCATTGTATTGAACAGAAGGTTCGCAGTTTGATGTACCTGACAACGTGCCATGTTATACTCTGTCGCCTCGCGGCGTTGCTCTGCTCTAAGTTGAAAAATCGCATAATAGCTACCCCTCTAGAGTCGTTGCCACACTTTTCTCTCTCTTCAAAATACTTTAAACTTTGTCTTAGAAACTCCCAGTTGAGCCCTTGCTCTTTCTGTATCCTCTAAGGCTATGTAGTAGTCTAGACATCCGCAACTTCAATTTGCTAAGCTTCGTGTTCATGGCGCTAGTAGTCGAACGTGACGATGTGCCTATAATATCCGTTGGCCGACCTGTAGAAATTGCTTATATGTCAATTTTCAGCCTAATGCAGCGCAATTGCCCCCATACTGTTGCTTGGGGCGGTGGATAACGTACGTATGTTTCCTGCACCGCCAATCCCATAGCCGCGAAACTGTCTATCGTCCTCTACAGTATAGCCATCGTCGTGGTCGTATTCTTCGATGTTGCCACCGTCATACGAGGTTTTTCGTCTCTTTTGAATGACACGTACATATTTGCAATGCACATCTGTACGGGTGATCGAAGTGCCGTTTTTCACCTGCCTGGACTTTGTTACCGATACTGTCTGTACGACCGCCAGTCGACCTTGAATACGCACGCGGCGAGCGCGCTGTCGGCGGGGTAGAGGTCGGCTTGCCTCTCGGTGTAGGTTAATAAGAGGAACCGTCTCGTCGTTTGTGGCACCTGTTCTACTGTAACCGTGGCCGGAGACGAGATTAGACAGTCCATTCAGTCGTGGAGACGACGACACGAACCGCCGGGGACGCATCATGATAGCGTCGTAGGCGAGTTACGGAGGTATGTGGATAAGTTTGTGGTAACATGAGTGATGTTCCGTGAGACGCTGAATTGATGTAGTTATGATGACTCTAGAAACATGTACGATCGAGGCTACGTTTGTCCAAGTAGCTAGTCCATGTTTCACGCAGATTTACGAGAGAAAAAGAAACACTTTGACGAAGAAAGGGGCAAGGAAGCACAGACACCATGCATGCACTGTGAGTCGGTCGAACCCCGTCGACGCCTTGCAAGCTAATAGCTCGTGATGAGATACAAATGATTCCAGTACCATAGAACCGTGAGTTTGAGGCGTCGCTGGCTGTTGTCGATCCTTGCAGAGCGTAGCAATCATGGCGTTTAATATCCAGTTAGTCTAACGGTTAGCTTTCAGCTAGACAACGATAACACTGTGAAAACACACGGTCGGTACCGGTAGTTGAAGGTAGATGATTACGTCGTACCGGTGGGTAGGACTATATGGGGTTTCATCGCTTTTCTCATGATTGTCCGGTAACTGGCTACCACGGTCCCTCCATCTAGAGATACTTCCTGATACGGGGACGCCTCGCTGAATATTTCCTTCTCATTGGCCATGCCGAATACTACACGAACACGTAGATTGCTTGCGACTCCTGTGAACATGTTATATGCGATTGGTCATTGTCGCCGGTAGTAGTTGTGACCAAGGTTGGGTAAGGGAGTGAGTGGGTGGACTGTCGGCTATGCTTCCTTACATGAGGGGCTAAGGTGTAGGTCGGACTTTGCGACCCTAATAAAAGGGCACCCGCGAGCTATATCTTGTGTCACCATCGTCTTCAGACGGTGCGCTGTCCAATATGACTATCTGTCGGGATATGGTTTCTTCACTGCGATTACGGCGCCCCTTCATTGATGCCATTCGACATCTCGTCACACAAATGCACTGAGCCATTCAAGATACGACACGCAACATTGCAGTTGATATTGGTCGGTAATATATATGTGATGTTTGTGTGACAATTCTTATCACTTGACCCTTTAGCTTTTCACAGCGTGAGCAGGCGAATGAGGCTATGAGTTGGCTGACCACCGGCAGCAGCGCCGAGAAAACGGAGGCTTTCGCCCCCAAATCTATGCGCTCTCCGACCGGATCAGAACCCGATTCTCATCAACTATCCTCGATGTCAAGGTGACAACTCGGAGCCGTCTTTCGCAGCGGCTAAACCTTAACTAAATGCAACAACACATAATGTTAGTTAGACACGCATCAATGCGTACACGTCATGCTGCAATAGGCACACTAGGGTGTATTGTAGAGATGTCAGCTTCATGACGATAGCATGGTAACATACGCCAGCCGTTGAGCGGCGGCGGTTGTAAACTCCGTCGGAGAACTGCAATATATTAAAACAAAACGTCGATCTTTCCAAGTGCCAGATCACGGAATGGCATCCGATCTCTTATTCCCCATCTGGTCGGAGAAGCGGAGACAGCTGAGAACGAAATAAATTCACTGGAACGGGAATAGCTTAGTCCGATCTTACTAGGTTGGTATTTCCAACCATATTTCTAAAGCCAAAGAAAAGACCCATTTCGCTTTCCGTCTCCCATCAAGGTCCATTCGGGCTTCCCGTTTTGACTCGAATTGCATCACTACCTAACTTTAATTAGATGTATTACACATATTTACACAAGAATGTCGACTGTGGCGGCGCCCCAGGCCTACTCCCCTACGAGTTATAGATATTCCCGGTTGCCATAGGTCGTTACTCTGGTCGTTACATGTATAACTCTTTCAGCCCCGGCTTATATCCGCTCCACCACTCGGGTCTCATTACGACCCTCGGCATCACCACACCGAAAACCAAAATACTTCTATCATCTACTGTAGTGTTGTGTAATAGAAGATTGGTAATACGCAGACACCGGATCAGGTAGATATACACATATGGATACATAATCTTCGGTTGCTGCGTTATCACCGATGACAACTGCGTATGTCCGTATCATTACGATATGTAATATCCCCGGGACTCACGGCTAGCCCCCGGGTCTCCAACGCGGTGGCGGCAATCCGTATCCGTAAATGCAAGAATTGAAGCTCCCGAAATCGGGTCTAGGATTCACCATGTTGTACATAAAAAAAATACCAAATACAGGATGAACAGCCGCCTCAAGCTCACGAATAACAAGCCTTCGTTCAATCGACACCTGATTACTAAGATAATCTTGCTTCAAAGATGCCCGAGTTACACTAGCTTCCCCCATCGCGGCCCCATATCCCATCTTCTTCAGTACCCACCGCCTGCGGGTCGGATTCAAAAGCTTACTTAGTTGGTTTAACGCCAACAATACAGTAAGGATGCGGAAAGCGTGTGGCTCATTGGGACGAATGTGTCACTCGAGGCTCCGATGCAGGGGTGGTCATTCCAAGGGCGATCTGCCGAACGAAATTTCTTTTCCCGCCTGGTTCATAAGCACGTTTGATAATAAAAACCGCAACTTCGGCCACCGTCCATCTCACCCTTTAGCCCGATATAGGTCCCAAGCGCGGAGTCATTGATTCCTCTTACTTAGTATATGAAGAGCTGAAAGGACTAATCAAGTCGTTCGTCTCCATCTCGACTTAACATTCCCGTTGTGAATGACTTTCCCATCTATTATAGTTGGGCCTTCTTGTTTCTAGATACGATATCGTCATCAATAATTCAGAAAGAAAAAGGTGTATCGTGAAACAATAAGAACTCTCATTTGGACCTTCATCATTGAGTGAAAGTGAAGTGTTCGGCATACTCCCGTAATTCAGCCTCCGTTTGATGAGAAAGTCCTGATACAGCTACCGTTCCGAGCACGAACTCATGGCTTCAGATACGGACAAGAGGTCGACCTCTTCCACTACTCCGAGCTCCAGCGATGGGGAGTTGCGGATAGACATTGAGAAGCAAGAGTCTAGGAATGCTTCGATACATGGGCAGCCGCGGGCCCAGGGTGAGGCGGTATCAAAGGGCAAAGAAGAAGACGATCAATGGGAGGTAGAGCCGGAGCCGGATTTTATCGACCCCAATGCAAGCGGTGCTGTCGGCACGTTGGGGCGGGTGCTTAGCCGGATCTCGACCAACGCGAGTCGGAACCCCGGACCACCGCCGGACGGAGGAAAGACAGCCTGGCTGATGGGTAAGCAAGACCGGTCTTCTATATCCTATTTTGAGGCAAGATCTTGTCATACCCAATCTGTTGCGTGCTAACAGCAAAAACATAGCCTTCTGTGGACATTTGGTCGTAATGAACACATGGGGTTACATAAACTCATTCGGTATCTTCCAAACATACTACGCGGACACTCTAGGGCGGCCTCCCTCCGATATCTCTTGGATCGGCAGCATAACGGTGTGGCTGACCTTCTTCATTGGAGCTTTTTCGGGTCGTCTCGTTGATGCTGGCTTTCTGCGACCCGTCCTGGTCGTCGGGGCTACCTTTCTCCTTCTCGGCATCTTCACCACGTCTGCCGCTACACAATACTGGCAAATCCTCATTGCTCAAGGTCTGACTACGGGGATCGGGTGCGGGTTTCTGTTCTGCGCGGCAATCACAACAGTCTCGACGTATTTTAGCAAAAAACGCTCTTTCGCCATCGGCATCGCCGCATCCGGCAGTGTCACAGGCGGTCTGGTCTTTCCCGCTATGGCCCGCCAGCTTCTACCGCAGATCGGGTTTGGGTGGACGATCCGCTCCATGGGTCTCGTCACGGTTGTTTCAATGATTGTCGTAGTAACGTGTATGCGGTCGCGCGTTCCCCCGCGACGCACGGGCTCCCTAGTTGAATTGGCCGCATTTCGGGAGCTCGAGTATACCTTTTACGCATTTGGGACATTTTTCAACTTCTGGGGCATCTACTTCCCCGTATACTACATCAGCGCGTATAGTCGCGATCCTAAATTTGTTCACCCCTCGCTCTCATACGTTGATTCCCTCAATTTGGTCCTGATTCTGAACGGCGTCAGTATCGTCGGCCGGTTGCTGCCGAATCACCTTGCTGACCGCTGGGGTCCTCTCAATCTTCTTGGACCTTTCTCTTTATTGGGTGGCATTCTGAATTTCGTATGGATGGTCATCGATACACCTGCAAAGGTATACGTTTGGGCTGCGTTTTATGGAATCTCGGCAGGAGGTGTTCAGAGCTTGTTTCCGGCAGGATGCAGCTCGTTGACGACGGATCCGCGAAAGCAAGGGACCCGTATAGGCATGATATTCACAATTGTCAGTTTCGCCACGCTGTCGGGAAATCCAATCTCTGGAGCCATCATTACTGCTAATGGTGGAAGATATGTCGGTGCTCAAGCCTTTGCCGGAACCATTTTGTTGCTCGGCACGGCCTTCATATTTGCAGCAAGGGTTGCAAGAATGCGAAGAACAGGCTCAGGGTGGGCAGTGAAAATTTGAAAGGCCGTGTGAGATTTAGAGGCTCCAGGCTTCCCCTATTGAGGTAGCGTACCATTTCCGATGGAAGAACGGAGCATAAAAAGAGATAGATATGTCTTAATTGATTAATACCACCGGAACTCCTGTGCGTCCCTTCCGTGGCCTGGCTTCGTGTGTCATCTATTCTGGCTAGACTTCAAGAAATAATAGTGTCGGTAGGTGCTCCAATGCGTAGAGGTGGGTTCAAATGGATGGTTGCAATGTTTGCTGTCCCCAATCAAAGCCATTAGCAAATATCACATTGCAGCACGCTGATCTCTCGTAAGCCTGGGTCATAGTGTTCTCCATGCTGTCTATGCTGTCGCTCTCTAAGTCATGCTGCCTTGGCAGGGGTGTCCTTAACATTCAGTCGGTCCGTAGTAATACAATTATGTGGTGACAGCTGAAAAGGTTACTGTTTTCGGCATCGCTAAGACACAGAGTGCGGAGGTGGCTGATTCCCGTGGTCAAGAGGAGATACCAGAAGAGTCAATGGTTCATCCGGTGTGCGGCAGAAGATAAGATGGCCAAGTACAAATCCACCACGTGTGTGATTGGGATATGGACGGACCCTGAAGGGTCGCACATGAGTTACACTTGCTTCCTCATCCAGCCACTGGCGAGTAACCTATTCAAGAAATCCTACTATTAGAAATACTACATAATACACCTCCTCAAGCACCTCTTTGGCAAGAGCCTTAGAATCTGGGTTTTCCCTTGCTTAACACGAAAAGCTCCACAGCCATACACATCTTAATAGGGTTTTAGGGTTTCGATTGAAGAGATTATAGATAACGATGGCTGAATTTCTGATCACCGACGAGTCTTTAACTAGTGTCGAAGGGAAGGTAGTTATTGTTACAGGTGCGACGGCGGCTCCGAGATTTCATGAGAGCCGTGAACAGTAAACTTACACAAAGCTCTACGCAGGTGGTTCCTCGGGAATTGGGCTATCGACAGTACAACTCCTCCTCTCTCTGGGTGCATCCGTGGTCGGCGCTGATTTGCACGAACCCCTAGAGGGCGCCGTGAGCTCGGCACGATTCACATTCAATCAGGCCGATGTATCGAAATGGCAGGATTTGGTCGGGCTCTTCAAGAAGGCCATACAGCTCCACGGCCGGGTTGACCACGTGCTTTCCAATGCCGGTGTTGGACCACGAACCAACTACATCAACGGAATCGAGCTTGACGAGAATGGAGATCCGAAAGAGCCAACCAGCCTTGTGCCCGATGTCAATCTCAAAGGCGCGATTAACACGGCAACCCTCGCCATCCATTACATCCGCAAGAACCCAAGTGGTGGTAGCATTGTCGTCACCAGCTCTGCAACGGGCCTACATCGTTTCCGAGGTGTGGATTACAGTGAGTGTCTCCCATCACCTTCTGATCCGTATCGAAAGAGGGCAGATTCGTCAGACTCGCGTACCAGCAAGCAAGTTTGAAATGATGAGACTAACGGTTGACAGCGGTATCGAAGCATGGCACTATTGGATTAATACGCGGCCTGCATACAGCACTGGCAGCGCAGGATATCCCTGTGCGCATCAATGGCTTAGTACCTCACTGGACAGCATCGGGCATAGTCCAAGAAGAGCTATTCAAAGAACTGGGGATCTACACGCAGCCAGCGAGCGCGGTCGCGCGTGCGGCCGTGAAGCTGTTCGCTGATGAATCGCGCCGCGGGCAGCTCATCCACGTTGATCATGGGGTGTATAAAGAAGTTGACGAGACCCTCTTGCAAGTCTATGAGACGTTCCAGCACGAGGAGTCAACGGGCGGCGACGAAGGGATCGCCCTGCTAGCAGCGCGCTTGAACTGGTTCACAGATGCAAAATAAAGAGAACGCAACGCAACGTACGGGGATTGAGGCGGTGAACAGGGAAATGTTGTAGGTGCCTGACCTGCATCTTTCAACGCAGGCAGAGGGGATCATCAGATCATCAGAATCACAATACCTACAAAGGACATTACAGTAGGTACCTGGCACCTGTTGTTGGGGCGGTCTTTGGTGCTAATCAAAGCGCTAGCCTTAGCAGCCTTAGGTAAGAGCCACACCAAAACTTAGCGTGGTCAGTGGGTAACTACATACCTAGGTACCTGGTAGGTCAGTACCTAGGTATGTACTTAGGTAGTTGCCAACATATATCAAGGGCTTAAGAAAGACTGCGAGGTTTAGGAAGTGCGTATGACGATGAGCATGAACGATGAGCATAATTCTGAATACGGAAGCAGCTCATGTGCAATAGTAATCACTTCAATTGTCCGAATTTTTCATGTCGATAGCTCTGCACCCACCTACGCTACCTAGGTACCTTGGGTCCTGCCTACCTACTTACCTACGGTAGGTACCTACCTAGGTAGTGTTAAGGCATCTATCTGACTGCCAGCCCAAGTTATCATCCTCTCCAACATTTCAACGTCCACACATGCCTCGATTCACTCGTCAATTGATAGCTCGTCCACTAACTGGAACATTCCAAACTCGTCAATTGTTTATTCAACTTCCATCCAGCGTCTAATCAACATTTGTCGACTACTTGTTCGGCATATGTTCGACTATCCGCAGACTCCTCAACGCGAAAGACTTGATTATATAGCAGTATTTGGTTATGTCCAGAATTAAGAAATCGTTCGATGCCACCACTGGCCAGGTATTCACTCAATGGGATTTTTCCGGCCCTCGTGGCATGCCTGGCCCCTGGAACCACCGACTTAGTCGTATGCTATATAGTTTCGAACCTCCCCAGCCCAAACCTGAGCCTCCAGCACCGCTCGTCGACATATGTGTAGAATTTGTCGTGAAACACATCGATCAAGTAAGAACGGAACATCTTCAGCAACTCCCAGTTCATGGTAAGTATGATATCCTCACCTCATCAGATGTAGTTGCTGACACTCGATGGTTGGAGTCATAAATAGAATATGGGAGCGCATAAAGCAATATAACTGGATATCCTTGGAAACTTGGAAACTCCTGGCTACGATGCTGGCACCAAATTGTAGACCCACAGAGGACATCTGTCCCCTCCTGGTAAACCATTATATGGTTGTGGCCAAGATACAGCCCCTCGCAGCATTCATAGAGCCCTTGAATTCTCCTACATTTGACTTTTTAACACACCTTACCATTGCTAGCAATGTTCCCGGTAGCGCCGCCGAGCTGTTACAACTGGTCCAGCTAAAGAATTTGGCTATACTGGAGTTCATACAAGTTGATACGACACCAGAAGCGCGTGGTTTCTTACATATAATGGACCAACTAACGGACTCGGTTTTGCGAGAATGGTCCACAACGCCGGGCGCCTTCCCGCTGCTCAGGGTAATGAGGATTTGGGGAAATGGTTGCACCACAAGACACTCCCTCCGTTATATTAGCGCGTTTCCATCCCTTGTTCTGTATGATGTGGCTGGAGAACAGCACGACTGGCATTTTACGGACCACTCCGTCTGGAGAGGACGACATGGAACCTGGAAACATCATCATTTTGAGATAAATCTACATACTCACGGGTGGCTTTTGGACCGCGCTCTCATTCGTGATCCAAGAAAGTTGAGTCCTGCCCCATTCGCCCGAAACAACCCCTCATTAAATCAACAGGAAATTATAAGCTCATAATTTAAAGTATTTTCTAACCAAGTATATAATAGAAGGACGTCTCCTGGAATTAGCTCCACCATTAAAAATTACTTTTACGGCGATCAATGCTGGGGTTTTCTCATGTATGGTTATATCGGAAGACTGCTATCCAACCGAGACCTTAGCTCGCAAGGACTGGTCCTTGGTGAAACTGCACTCGGCCTCGGAAAATTGTCTCTTCCACCCCGGCCTATCGTCAACGTCACCCTCGGACCAATGGGAAGCGACTGTAGTAAACTAACTAGGTTCACTAAAAACGACGACCTCGCCCGAAACTTTGCGACCCAGATCACATTTGTGCGGTATATCCATGCTGAGAGACAACAGGAAGCAGCGAAAACGACGCCGGCCACAAGTAAGGCGTTCAAGAGGCCGTCTTCTCCTCAGGCTGCACCGGATAAGATACGGGCTAAAAAGCGGCTAGAAACCTCGAGTCTTCTTGATTCTTTCAGCAAAGGGTAACCATTCGTGTGAAAAACGAGAGATGTCTCAGGGTGGAATAACCGATTGGAATGGACATTATGTCTAGTTCTCTTATACCTAAGCAGAACCTCTACTAGGCATCGTAAAGAGTAAGAGATATTTTGAATAAGGGTGTTTAACACGAATTCGTGAAATATATTGTAACAACGACAGTAATATCACTGGTTTGACTCCTATGATCTACCGCGTGTGACCAATACCACCGCTCTAAGACATCTAATGATCCTTTGTAGATGTATAAGAAATAATACTGAGAACCCATTAATCTCATAGTCGATCAGCTTTAAAAGGAGCCCGGACCTTCAGTAGAGTGCATATAGTAGACCCATCAGGTCAAGAGACATTTAAAACTATAAATATGCTCAAATCCGTAGAGGATCTTAATTCTTGGCCCTTCTTAGTCTACGAAGATGGCTACACTTCTCTATCATTGGGATACTAATGGATATAAAACACGTTATGCTTCTCATCCTCACAATGCAACGCCAAAACCAGGAAACGCTATATACATGATGAATAGGGAAAGACAGTAGTAGACATCGTCGTTCAAGCTTTATAGCATGGGCTTCAGGTCTTCAGCGACGTGGAATGGGGCCTCGGTCTTGCTCTTGATCTCATCCACAGTGACACCATCCGCGATTTCCACGAGGGTGAGGCCATGGGCGAAGTCAACATCAAACACGCCCTAAAGAGCAAGGTTAGACGAAAGATACGGTACTGAGTCAGCAGATTGAACACTTACCAGCTCCGTGATGATTCTTGACACACAAGCGCGACCCGTCAAAGGGAAGGCGCACTGCTTGACGATCTTGGGGTTTCCCTTCTTATCTGTGTGCTCCATGGTGACGACGACCTTGGTAGCGCTGGGGTTGCTGACCAGATCCATAGCACCACCGAAGCCCTTCACCTTACCGGGCAGCATCCAATTGGCCAGATCACCAGTGGCGCTGACCTGCATGGCGCCGAGGATGGTGAGGTTGATGCGGCCGCTACGAATCATACCGAAACTCTCCTCGCTGCCGAAGACAGCAGCACCTGGGCGCAGAGTCACTGTCTCCTTGCCGGCGTTGATGAGGTCGGGATCTTCCTCGCCCTGCTTGGGGTAAGGGCCGAGGCCGAGAATACCGTTCTCGGACTGGAGTTGGACTTCGACCTCAGGGCCGACGAATCCAGGGGCAAGCATGGGCATGCCGATACCAAGGTTGGCGTACATGCCATTCTTGAATTCCTTGGCGGCTCTCCGGACGATGCGCTCTCTCTTGGCAGCTGTGTCACCTGAGCCAAGGATCTTCTTAGAGTCGGCGTCGTTTTCATCCTTCGCCCAAGTATACTTTTCGATGTTCTTCGGGGTGGTACTCTGGATCACTCTCTTCACGTAGATACCCGGGAGGTGGACAGCCTCAGGGGCGATCTCGCCAGGCTCGACGATATGCTCAGCCTCGACGATGGTCATCTTGGCATTGCGTCCCATAGCACCGTTGAAGTTGTTGGCAGCAAGACGGAACTGGCAGTTGCCGAGTTTGTCAGCCTTGTAAGCCTTGACAAAGGCATAATCTCCTTTGATACTGTGCTCCAGGAGGTACGACTTTCCGTCGAATACTTTGACATCTTTCGGGTAAGAAAACTGATCCGGTGTGCCGTCACTCTTATTTCGCAAAGGGAGATCGCCTGTCTGTACCACTGTTCCAAAGGCCGCAGGTGTGTAGAAAGCTGGGACACCCTTACCACCAGCAGCGCACCGCTCGGCCAGGGTGCCTTGAGGAGTAAGCTCAAGTTCGACTTCACCCGTCAAGTACATGGTCTCGAATGTCTTGTTTTCGCCAATATAACTAGCAATCATTTTCTTAACTTGCTTTGTCTTCAAGAGCTGGCCCAAGCCGGAGGTGTCAGTTCCTGCATTGTTTGAAACGGCCGTGAGACCGGTTATCTCGGGCTTTTTCAAAACTTCGTTGATTAGAGTGTCAGGCACGCCGCAAAGACCAAATCCACCGCAGAGAACGGTTGAGTTAGGCTTCATATCCTTGAGAGCTTCCGAGGCCGAGGGGTAGACCTTATTTATTTCAGCCCTACGTGAAGTGGCAGAAAAGGCCCTAGCCATAACTCGAACATGCTACATGGAGAAATAGTCAGCGTATGCCAAGCATAGCCATGCAATAGGGATTACTTACATTAGAGCCATGACGAGAGTAGGCTCTCAGAGTCCGCATACATACTGCTGCCGACGGCATGGTGAGGCGGGCTCTTGCGAGGAATTAGCTTTAAATGCACGGCTCCGTGGGTATCTGCCGCTTCACGATGTGGGGAGGAGCTCGTCTCCGATCATTCAAAGCTACCTAACAGAATGGGAAGCAAAGCAGTGCAATCGCGCAAAACATGTAATCCGTGCTCTCGCGGCGATTTCAATCAAACCAAGTAAAATAACTAGGTTGAGAGAATTCTCAAGGAAGACAACGTTCTGACAACGTTTTGAATGTCCGATGCGTTCGCTCAAAAGAGCGCCGGTACAATTCCGAGTCACGGGTGTTGTTCTCGGCTATGAGACGACGCTCCACTGAGCACCCATGGCCCGTCTCAAGCTCCAGCTTGTTCTGTCTCTCCAATGAGAGGGACTGGTTCCTGGCGGTCTGGTGCGGAGCTGGGGAAGGTGGATCGTCTCCAGACTTCTTTGAACAAAATCCGTCGGAAAATAGCGGCAAATGGAGAGGTTTGGCCAGTCAGGCTAGGATAATCATTTACGCATTGTATCGGCATCACCTGTGGGAGGCACATTGATGACCGCGGGGTTAAGCGCGGCTCAGCTTGAACTAAAGCTGAAGGAATACATACTGATACCCTGGCGACTTTAGGCAGGAAGACAATACCTATGTAAGTATGAATCACGCTTTGTGCCAGTTGACCTAATTGACCAGCATGCTTTGTTATTTTCGCCTTCGAGAATAACATCACAGATCACAGGTGCCCGTTGGTGTGGACATGCATGTAGGAGGTGGTTGGTGCCTCAGACCCGGTAGACGCGATTCTATCGATATAAGAATAGCCCCGGTAAAATTAGGTAGGGTGGGCTGCCCAGCGCGTCAACATCAGGAGCATCTATCGATAAAGCATCGTGATAAGCAGCTTCCAAAAATTTATGGGAAGCGGGACAATCGCAAAGTCGGCGTAGCAAGCCAGCCCCAAATTCATCCCGGTATTCATTGCTGGCGCATATGTAGACAACATTTCTAGCGTTCTTCTTCTTTTCTTCTTTTTTTATCTGGACGTTAATTATATGAAAATGGAATCCAATTCGCCTAAACGACGAAAGTTGGATCATACCAATAGCGGTCCGACTTTCGAAACTGCTACATCATCCTCCATGGGCGTCTCGGGTTCGAGTGCCTTTGTACTAGAAACCGACGAGTTATTGAACGAGGTTAAATTGGACTATTCAAAGGCTTTCGTTGGGCTCGATCAAACCTTGCGCCAATTCAAAGACGCGATCGACGGTCTTGAGCAATATGGCCCCATTCCTGTATGTGACGCGGGAGCGCTGCGGCGCATTGCTGTCGGATTGTATATGTAACACTCGCGGCAGAGTATTTGCTAATTGGTAGCAAAATAGATCAACGAAGCATCAGCAACCTGGGAGAAGACGAACCGTACTGCTATTCCCTACCCTGACCCGAAACCTGCGAAGGACTGCCCCTACAAGGTCGCTTTCGAGAAACCCACCCATATCAACGTCGTAGGGTCCTATACGTCGCGAACCATGGTTAAGTCGCAGTCCAGCTTCGCTGTTGATATGATTGCGGTCATGCCGGCTAGCCTATTCTCGGAGAAGGATTATCGTGACTATCGCTACTTCTACAAGAGGGCCTTCTTTCTAGCCTACATTGCCGATGGCCTACGCAAGAAGTTTTCTGAGCTGGAATTTGTGTACACCAACTTCAATGGCAATGTGCTTCTCCCTATCCTGGTCGCGCGACCACAAGCCCAATCCTCGAAGAACCAAGATTCCGAGACTCAGGGACAGCCGGGAAAGCCGCTCCACTACGAGATCAGGGTCATACCCAACGCACCCGAAGGCTTTTTTCCACTATCGAAGTTATTGGCCACTAGTAGTTCTATTCGCCGCAATGAAACTGGGGAGTCAAAAGATACGAAGTTGCCGACATCTTTCTACAATAGTACTCTCAAGTCAGAGAGTCAATTCATCTCTTACTTGAAGCTCCTTCATCGCGCATCAAATACATGCGCTTCCTTCAAGGATGCCTGTATACTGGGTCGTATCTGGCTACAGCAACGTGGATTCGGTGGTAATGCAGCCGATGGTGGTTTTGGCCACTTCCACTGGGCGGTGCTGATGGCGCTTCTACTTCAAACTGGGGGGAGGAAGGGTGAACCAGTTCTTTCGCCTTCACTGCACGCTTCACAACTGTTCAAGGCCACGTTACAATACCTCGCTTCATCGAATTTACACAAGAAAACCGTGGTTCTCGGGCCAGCCCTGAAAACCCAAGAAGCTATTCGCCAAAATGGACCGGTTCTGTATGATTCGGCCCGAGAGATCAATATCATGTATAACACGACAACTTGGTCTGCTTTCATGCTGAACGAGCACGCTAAATTGTCGCTGACAGCTATCAATGACCCTCAAGTTGACCAGTTTGATTCATTGTTCATCACGAAAGTTAACCAACCGTTGCAGATGTTTGACTTATTCGTTAAAATAAAGATTCTGCCTGGTGGTGCGCGAAACTCACCTGGCGTTCTCGACGGTAGGAGTCCAACAATGGCCGCTGCTGAGGACATATACCGAACAGTGAAAAAGGCGCTTGGCGAGCGAGCCAAATTGATTAATATTCAATTACCCAAGCTATCGACTTGGAAAGTCACACCTTCGTCTGCCAAAACAAAAACAGAGAGTATTCTCGTTGGTATAATGTGTGATCCTGCCAAAGCATCTCAGGGAAGAGAGTTCGGGCCCCTTTACGAGCAGAAAAAGGATGCAGCTAGGTTCCGGGAGTTTTGGGGCGATATTGCTGAGCTTTGGCAGTTCCCTTCCGGCGAGATAGTCGAGTCAGTCAACTGGACCGAATACTCTCCTCTCGGTTATTTTGGCATCTGTCAGGCCATCATTCGTTATATCTTGAAATCGCGACTGGAGTTGACTGATGATGACCTCGAATTCCACGGCCAAGAATTCTCGAATGTGATATCCTTATCTCCTACGGATAAGGCGAGCTTCGATGCTGCAAGGGCCTCCTTCTCAGTATTTGAGAAAGACATACGAGAATTAGAAGACCTGCCTTTATCTGTGAGACAAATCGCGTCGATCGGCTCCGAGACAAGATTTTCATCTTTGCGCTCGCCAATCCCCAACCAACGAAAGCAAGGTGCGACACCAATCGATGTAGTGCTCTCATTTGAAGCATCTGGGAAGTGGCCTGAAAATATTGCCGCGATCCAACGAGCCAAGATAGCACTATTATTACAGATTGGCCGTTCTCTCGAAGAAGCCAAAGATGGAGTCATGACGCATATAGGGCTAGAAGATGCCTCGCGCGAGACCGAGAACTTAGCATTCTTGGATATTATGTATGAAGACGGGTTTTCGTTCCGTCTGCGGGTTCATAGCGACCAAGAGGAGACTCTGCTTGATAGACAAACCAAAGACCAAACACTCGACCGCCACGTCCGGACTGAAGCTGCAGCCCTGCTTTCATCTGCGAGATGGAGAAGCGCAATTCTGCCGCTTCATAACCAGACCATCTCAACATACTGTACCCGTTTCCCCGCATTATCTTCATCGATACGTCTGGCGAAGCACTGGTTCAATGCTCATCGTCTTGGGAACTACTTTAACGAACCACTCATTGAGCTCTTTGTACTACAAGCCTTTTTGCAGCCTCATCCATTCCCAATGCCCTCATCGACATCAACCGGGTTTCTACGGACTCTTCTATTACTTGCATCATACGATTGGAGGGAGGAGCCAATGATTGTTGACCCATCGGATTCCCTGTCTGCCTCGGAACGTCTCGATATCTCAACACGATTGGAAGCTTGGAGGAAAATCGACGCAAATATGAACCGCACGACGCTGTTCGTAGCCACATCCTTCGACGTCACTGGCGTGGCCTACACACAGGGTATTCCCAAGGTCATTGCAACGCGCATGACAACCCTCGCCCGATCCGCTACCAAGGCTGCGAAGGACAAAGGTATTGAACTCGACCCGCGCACGCTCTTCCAATCCGGCCTTCGCGATTACGATGTCATAATACATCTCTCGGCCAAGGCGATCAAAGGCGTGCTTCGAGATGACGGGACCAAGCACTCTCACTTCAAAAATCTCGACGAGAGCGGTAGTTCCGAAGCCCTTCCTCTCTCCGAACCCCCCGTCTCAGCTCTCCTAAGACGTCTAAACTCCGTCTACGCGACGCCGCTTCTCTTCTTCCACGGCGGCCCGGAAGATACAGTAATAGCGGCGTTATGGAACCCGCAGCTGCATAGCCGTGGATTCAGCGCGAATATGCCGTCGTCGTTTAAACCGACGGGTGCGGACTCGGATACGTTTGAGTTGAACCGAGAGGCTGTGCTTGCCGAGATTGCGAGGATCGGCGGAGATATGATTGAGAAGATTGATGTAAAGAGTGGCTAGCAGGAAGAAAATCTTGGAATAGAGTCGGGGCTGTAATTAGAGGAAAGACAGGTGTTGGCATATATAGCAGTACTACTAGGTATTTGAGTACCCGGTGCATCGGTTTTTCTCACAACAGGGAATACTAAAGAATAAATCTGATTGTACATGTCATAGTTGATAAGCCCGTGTTACTTACCTAGGTAGTTTACTTTGGTCTCTGTCAACACCACAAAGAATGGGAAGCGAATTCGTAAGTGTCAACTAACTACCTACTTACAATTACCGTAGTTCCCTCGAGGCGGCCACGAGCCACGAACACAGAATGAAAAGTTTTTTTTTCTAGCTAATAAGGTATAACTAACATGTTTTTTATCTATATAATTTAACGTAAGTTAGGTATATATATATGTTATATACATTCAAAGTGTAAAATACCAGGGAGCGTGATGTTCAATGGGGGGTATACATATAATCAAGCATCTAGAAATGCTAGAGGCGAGGGCAATGCAATAAGAAAGAGCCGATGACCTCTTGTCAACGCCATCACCGTCTCACCATGCAGGGATAAATGTATATATAACAATTTGGAATAAAAACCAAGGGAAGCCAAGCAACCAACCAACCAGACAATGCAATTCTTCGTAACGGCATGAACGCGTACAAAATGGAATAAATGAATTGAATGCGCGCACACACTCATTTAATCCATGTATCCAAAATTTTTGAGACTTCTTACTCATTTTTCGCATGACACATTTACTTTCAACCCATTCTTTAATCCTTGATGAAATCTAAAGAGCCAGGTACTCATCCATGATGGGCACTCAGTCTTCGGGAAACAGCTCCTTGAGATTGCTCGCAAAGACACCGTTCTCGCCATCCCACCGCTTGAAGAACTTGCCAGCCATTGGGACAAGATCCTTGATCTCAGGAGGTAGGACCTCGAGCCCGCCGCGAAGCTCGACGGCCTCGATGCTGCCTTCGGCGATGATGTGGTGATCAGATCCGTCTGTTCCCACCCTGTGCTGCAGTTAGTTTTTCCGCATTCGGTTTCTGTCTCTATACGTGATTGAGGAAGAGAGAGGGGGGAGTAGGATTGGGGGATGATAGATTAAGAGGAGAGCGATCACCTACATGCACCGATAATAAGGCTCACTAACTCCATGCCACGAATCGCGTAATGAAGAGTTCTGGTCCCAATTGGCAATACCTCCTGCACCCTCAGTCGTCCATCCAAGAATAATGCCGTGATAGTCATAACGTTTGTGTTTGAAAACCTGACCGACCCGAAACTTGACGTGGATGCCCGGGGCGAGATCGCTACGCCGCCGTGGTGCACGAGTAGATGCGTCTACACGGCGGATATCTTTGATCTGATCGCGAACCCGTTTCGAGGGAAGCTCCCAACTGCTCTGGCGTCGTGAAGGAGCCGCAAAGGTGTCATACATCGGACAGACATACTTTTCTATCAGCCAGGAGTCCTCCGGGAAGTATTCGTAAAAATATGTCAGCAGATCTCGGACATCCTGCTGCCAATCCCAGCGCACTTCGTCATTGTCGGGAAGAATTGGCACCATCATGATACTGGCCCAAATCATGCTATATAGTGCCGGTTGAAGATTACGCGCCCAGTCTCCTCTATTAAGTTCAATCATGGGGATCAGCTGAGACAGGGGTCGATCGATTGTCCGGAAACTAGTGAATGAGGCCCTGATATTTTGGGCGGTCCTCATGACGATCAGATCAGTTGATGTGGGTGTAAGCATATCATCGTGGCCAGTGTAGATTCCTAGCCTGAAAAGCATATTCTGAATATGATCAATAGGAACTTCCTCGTCTGACCCATACGGGTCAAGAAACATGCTTTGCTGCTGTTCGGCCACATCTGAAGGAAGAGGTGCCCCATCCAAAGATATTCCGGGTGGTGAGAGCACAATAGCATGAACCTGATTAGGTAAAGCGCATGGGTAGGCTTCGAAACCGGACCGCGAAGCCAAAGCTGAATAAATGGCAGCCGAAATGATGGGAAGCGACGTGTGCTGATCATCGCGAAGCGCTCTGCCAATGAGGCAATTACGCAAGTAGCGATAGGTCTCTTCGGTGGGGTCGTTCAAGCCAGTCATGTTATTGGCGTGTAACCACCGAGCAAGAGCAGTCGCCTTTTCCCGGGTGGTGGCTTGGTCTAAATCGGGATTGGCAGCGCGAAAGCGAGAGGAAATGTCGTCGAGAAGCTCACAAATCTACAGGAAACATTGTCGAATTAGCCAGTTGCCTTGCGTTATCGCGAGTAAGGCCGAAGGCAGCGTACCTCATCCAAGTCGCCTTCATTATCGTGAAGCATGAACATGTCGAATGCACCAAGTGCGCGCTCTAATCTCATGCCACCATTCAGTCTTTCAACATTGGAGGGGTTCTGGTCGAAACGCCGACCGGTGTATTTTTGATATTTAGCCCATTCTTCGATGGCGAGTCCTCGATGAATGCTATCCAGAACTGTGCAAGAATAGTACCTAGAGTAGGGGTCAGTATACAGCGCCGATGGATGCGCACGTGCAACAACAGAATATGAGACGGCCAGTGGCATGGATGAAGAGAGTATTACTGACCGTCTAGCCAGGACATCTTCAGCAGATTCGTCTATGCGACATTGCGTTAGGAGGTAATCCTTTGCATCATAGCCATATTGACAGATTTGCTCGGTCTTCTCAAGACGTGACACGCGCGAGGCCACAATCCCATCAATGAGGTTGGCGATGCGGCTGTTGCGCCTCAGGCGCAAAAGATATAGGGATTTCCAATCGACGTCATGCAGATTGCCGTGCACCTTGTCGTGAAAGCGATGCTCGGCCTGCCAATACCTGAAAGCGGTCTGGCAGTAGTACTTCCATAACAGAGGCTCGTGCGCAATGTTACAAAATCGGCGAGAGACGAGTGCAAAGGCGGTCAGAGTCTGCTCGGGTGCGAGGTAGTGAAGAATATGGTGAATCAGCTCGTCGGGGAGGGACTCAAACGAAGGCATGACAACGGACGACGGTGGAAAAGGCAGGGGATATGTCTATGTCGTCAGAGCAATGCTCAATCAATTGCCATCTGCCGAGTAGTGTCGGTTCGGGGAGGTAATTCGTTCAATATACACAGGTGACAAGAAGGCAGATGAGAAAGAAGGGTGAGATTGTATGAAAAGAGAGGGGAGGTACTACTAGTAAGGTTGTGGGTGGGGGGAATATCGACAGGTGAGTACACATACAACTCGCCTCTTGGATTATGGTGTTCGTGCGGGATACAGCCGACGACGACGACTAAGACGAAGACGAAGGCGACGACAACGACGACTATAGACTGACTACATGAATATGGCGGCTGTACTACAACGGCGAAGAACTCGGGGTGTGGAGGATTACTAGTCTTAAATGGACGGAATCAGGAGACCACTCAGAGACAGCCCAGACAGACCAGACAGACCAGACAGACCAGACGGACCAGACACACGGCTGGCGACAAATGATGGAACAGTAATGCGATTTGGACCGCCTCTGATACGTCGGGGTCTGGTCGGGCGAGGGCCGATGCAGGTGCAGACCACGGCAAGCTGGCAAATGAGGATCGGGCTTGCCCTCGCCCCATCGACCTCACCTTACCAAAACGGACATGGGACAAGCAGCCTTCGTCATTGTTTGACTGTTTGACTGTTTGACTGTTTGACCGTTACGACCGTCGAGATGATGATGAGTTAGTGAGTGGTTGATTGAATATGAATACCTAGTATGTATTTTCTTCATTACATAGCACTTTACCTACATCGTACTGGGAGTGGTGGGGTACAGAGAGAGCTACTGTACGATGCCAGTCATGAACATGGCGTAAGTACCGGTAGAGCACACTAGACACAGACCGACTTGCTGTAGGTTATTACTAAGGTCAGAATTTAGATGTCTTTAGTACTGTTTCGGCCGGCTTAGGTCTGTTTAGAGGGACCTCCCGGCAGTGATTGATCGACTCAAACTTGTCCGGTACAGTAGATCGGAAGCTACCGAGGCTAGGTAGGTCATTATGACATTATGATACTATGTATTGACGACCGGTGAAGCATATTGCATGTGAGAACCGCGAGAAGGAAAACACAGGACAAAAAAAAGGGAAGACGCCGCAGTATCCGAAGAATTTATTCAGTCCTCTAGTTCGGGTCATAACATAGGTACTGTATACACCTGCCTCCTACTTATGGATAGACATGTATATACCTACATACTGGAGAGATATATGTCCTTCAGTGACCAAAAACCACCATGGCAGACCTAGGTAGGTACATACATAGACAAAGGCTCAGTACCTACGAAGTATAGTCACACACTTACCCGGTGGAGTTGGATTTCCCTCAACAAGTTCATCAAGATGCGACTTGCAACATCGGTTTACAAAATTATTTTTAGAACATCCATATGTGTGTTGATGAAGCTAATTTGGCATTGAAGAACCTACTCTAGCAGTCCTCTAGATACCTGGTAGCGCGTAACTACTATGTACCTAGATAGGTAGTGAATAGATGCTGTAGGTACCTAAGTAGGTTTTATGAAACACCCAAGTAGGTTCGTACCTCCATCCTCGGCTCTGCTGGGCCATCAAGGGTCCATGCTTATCGCTTATCTAATACAAAGAGGGTACTTAGGTACTCGCTAGCGAAGGTGGGTGCCGGCTGTAAGCTGCCGTACCTACCCACTGAGGCAAGTAAGTAAACAAATGCTTGCCCAAACGCGTCTTGTTGCTTCACACAGCCTTGAGAGAGCAAATCAACAATCCTCATCTTCAGCCATACCACAACATTTACTACCAAGCCAGAATTCAAGTCGCTGCCGCTTTTCACTCCCATCACACTGCGTACCTCATACCAACTCCTACCAATGCAGCCCTCAATCCGCTACAATCTCACTGGATATTAGCAGCAGTCCTCCCCTCTGCCCTGACCATCCAACTGCAGCTGCGCTTCTATTCTGCACCCTGCCACAATGGACACCCCGAGGACCAACGTGGGTGATGCCACCTACCTCGGTCGCCAACCCCCCGACTTCGATCTGACTCTAGAGCCCTCCTTTCACGCACCCTCCAAAGACAACGACCTCGTACAGCAGCTGCGCAATGGACGCGCCGCCAACCTCAGAACCCCTCGCGGGAGCCGTGCCCCCTTCGGCGACAGGCGCAACCTCCCAGCCGGCCTCGGCGGCTCCGAATTCACACCTATGCTCAAGTCTGCCACCCGGAATAGCGCCCGAAAACGCGGCAAGGAGAACACGAACGGCCTGACCACACCCGCGCTAGGCAAGATCAACGAGGACATGGACATGACCAACGTACCCGTCGAGTCTTCCCTCTTTGGGCCCTCCCGCAACTTGTCATATGTGGATGCCACACCATTACCAGAAGCCGACGCCAGCAGCACCGCGTCTACCCCCTTAGTGCTGCCCACACGCCGTGGCGGGAACCAGGGCCCGCTGCAGGACGGAAATCAACTATCACTTCGCGAGCAAGAGAAGGTCATCGATAAGATCAAAAATGAGAATTTCGGCTTGAAGCTCAAGATCCACTTCCTTGAGGAGAATTTGAGGAAGACGGGCCCGGGTTTTGGCGAAGCTGCTCTGAAAGAAAACACCGATCTCAAAGTCGACAAGGTCACCATGCAGAGGGAGCTATCCAAGTACAAGAAATACTTGGCATCTGCCGAGAAGGACCTCGAAACGTATCAGCAGCAAATCTTGGACATTCAACAGCGAGCCAAGAAAAAGTATGCCGATCAAGCCCAAATGGAAGAGAATGATGCTCTAAAACAGCGCCTGGAAGACAGAGAGGCCCGCATCGAGAGCCTCCAGCGACACCTGCAAGAAAGGGAAACAAATGACGACGATGAGGCTGGCCAGCTTCGCGACAGGATCGAGGATCTAGAGACGGATCTTCGTGCAAGAGATATGGAGATCAACGAGCACGAAGACGAGATAGAAAATCTTAGGCAACAATTGGAGCAACAGACTCAGAACGACGGCCATGCCAACAGGTTACAGAGCGAAATCAGCGACTTAGAATCCAGTTTACGCGCCAAAGAAGACGAAGTTGGTAATCTTCGACAACAATTGGCACAACGGTCTCAAGACGAAGGCTTTGCCAACAGGTTACGGGGTGAAGTTAGCGATCTAGAATCCAGTTTGCGCGCCAAGGAAGATGAGGTTGATAATCTTCGACAACAGTTGGCGCAACGGTCCCAAAACGAAGGCTACGTCACCCAATTACATGGCAAAATCAACAACCTGGAAGCCGATCTTCGCGCCAAAGACCAAGGTGTTAAAGTATATCAAGTTAAGATATCCGAATTAGAATCAAATTTACAAGAAACAGAGGAAAAGTGGAGGACTACTCGAGCCGAATTTGAGGCCCTCCAGCAGCAACGACACACACAGGACGATCGCCAAATCAGTCAGTTACATAGCAAAATCAGCGTCCTGGAATCCAATTTGCGCTCCAGAGATCATGGTGTTAAAGAACATCAAATCAAGATAGCCAGGCTAGAGTCGGATTTGCAAGAAATGGAAGAGAAGTGGAAGACTTCTCAGGCCAAAGTCGAGGTCCTTCAGCAACAACGACAGTCGCAAGACGACCGCCAGATCAATCAGCTGCGTGATGAGATCAGCCGGTTGGAAGCCGACCTTCGCGCAAAGGATCATGAGGCCGAAGATCGTGAAGATGAAATAGACGAACTCAACCGGGAGATCGAACAAACTAAGGCTACTGTACGCGAAAAGGATCATGAAGTCGGGCTGCGTGAAGACGAGATAGATGAGCTCAAGGCAAAACTCGAAAAGCTAGCGACCAGTGTACGCGCACAGGTCAAAGAACGCCAAGATATGATAGATGAGTGGAAGACAAAATCCGAAACAGCGGAAAGCAGGTTGAAAACCATTGAGAAAAGGGCTGCCGAATCAGAAATAAGTAGCCAATCACGCGAGGAGCAAGCAAAGGATACGATAAAGTCGCTCGAGGGCAACATCCGTCGCCTTCAGCAGCAATTAGACGAAAGAAATGACCGGTTACAAAAAGCCATCGACGTCGAAGGCGCTCTGTCAGGGAAGGAAAAGCAACTGCGAGATGCCCTGGACAGCGAGGTAGAACGCCATAAAAGTGAGGAAGCTCTCCTCAGCCTCCAAATCGAAACCCTTAAGCGTGATCTTGAGGCTCGACAAGCCGCGTTGACTAGTCTCCGCGGTACATTAGACAGTGAAACTGAGCGAAACAGCAGTGAGGAGGCTACGCTCAGGCGGCAGATTGAAGGCCTTCGGCGCGATCTTTTATCACAGTCGCAGGATTCTAATGCCCTCCATACTGAGACAGAGAGGCATAAGGGTGAAGAAGCCGCGCTTAGACAGCAGATCAACAGGCTTGAGCGCGATCTTGCATCGCAATCACAGGATTCCAACGCCCTCTATACTGAGAGAGAAAGACACAGGAGTGAAGAAGCCGCGCTCAAACAGCAGATCAACAGGCTTGAGCGAGATTTTGAGTCTCAACAGTCAACATTATCAAAACTTCACCGTGAGATTTCGACCCTTCAGGATGAACTTCTTCAGCGTGAACTTGAGAGCAACGAACAGGCAGAGAAGATCGAGGCTCTAGAGGATGAAGTCGAGGTCCTGCAGGCCACGCTCGATGAGGAATCGGAAGACGCAAGCAAGAGGTTACGAGAGGCTGATGAGCTATGTCAGGAGCTCCGGCGTCAATTAGAGCTTGCCAAACGCGACCAGGTGTCACGAGTTGATCGCCTGGACCAGTTGGAAGAGGCCAACAAAGTTGTTATATCACTGAGTCAACAGTTAGACACGGCCAGAAAAGACCTCGACACGACTAGAAAAGAGCTAGATTACGGTAAAGCAAACAATAAAGAGCTTCGCCAAACACTCGACCGACTACGTAAGGAACGCGACACATACAAAACGTCAGTCGCGAAATTGGAAGCTGGCTGTGAAACACTCGACCGAATACGTAAGGAACGCGATGCGTACAGAGCATCAGCCGCGAAATTGGAGGTCGACTGTGAACGGTTGAAGAAGGGAGCGCAAGATGCCTTGGCTTGGATTCAGGCCAGAAACGCAGAAAACCTAATCTCACCTCGTTCTGGTCCCACTAAGACGGCACACATCCAATACGGTGACTTCCAGATGGATATAGTAGACAAAGAAGATCACGAAGCTGTCATTCGTGCCGCCGACTTGGCCCAGCGGCGACATGAGAAGGAGCTGCGTGGCATGAATTTGCAGATCGAGTGGATCAAAGCACTCTGGGAGCGCGAATCAAAGCTGCGCCATGATGGTGCCTTTGCCAAGAAGTACCTTCAATTACGATTAGACATTGCGGATGCCTGGTAAGTGGCTTTGCCCTATCCCATTATTATTGCCCCCTTTCCCCCCTCGCTAGCATTATCGACAATTATACTAACACTCTTGATAGCAACAAGGCAGATTTGCGTGTCCTCAACCAGATTCATCGAGAGCTTGGTCTTAAATCAACAAAGGAGCTGTTGCTACAGAGACAGAAGAACCACAAGCCTCCTAACAAGCTCAAGGTCTTCGTAGCCGTCATCAAGGCCGTAGCCCGCATGCGCGTCGAGGCGCAGAAATGGGCCGCCCATAAGAAGACGCGGCAACGACTCGTCGCGCAGATTGAGAAGCAGAAGCAAGAGGCGTGTGCATGAGCAGGAAGCGTCGTTATTTTCTTAGCGGTTTGAGTTGCATGTTACTGGAGTATGAATGGATGGATGGGATACGATTTGGGCTGGCGTTGGAAAGACTCAATGGTTTTTGATTTGGGAGAGGGGCGCATCATTTACTGGCAGGTTGGGCACTGAAAACAAGGTACCTATAACTTAACTCCATAAGCAGGAGAGGGAGCAGATACCAAATATGATTTCGTAGTACAAGCGTTGCTTGCGCGTCAAATTCGATTACAAAGAATGGAAATATCCAATTGCTTCTCTATCTTGTGCTCAGAATGCTACAATTCCATGATTTGTAATCTCCAGGAGAGCAGTGGTTGAAATGGTTTCAATGTTAGTCACCGTCACTTTTGTTTTTCCGCTTCTAGTTCTTTTAAATGATCACGACCTAAACGTGATCAGATCACTAAGTCCTCATATCAGATATTTTCAATCCCCTACTATGCGCAGTTCATGCGTAGAGTGCCTAGGTAGATAGGAATTTGGATACAGCCATTCATCAGTCCGTGGTATCTACAGTATTATATAGCCGAGCATGTAATTCCATATCCGTTTTTCCGTAAATGCATTTGAAGACTGCCATGCATGACTCACTCACTCAACTCCCTTGAGCACCTCTCTTCTTCTCAGACACTAAAAAAGCAGTGCTGATCCTCTTGAGTCTCATTACCACACTCAGATAATCCTACTTATATTTGATATAGGCTATTATACCTTGCCAGCAGGAAAAATACAATTTCTCTAATTGAACAAACTAGGTAGTGTTATTATGGCGTTGCAATGGGCATTCAAAGGGACAGTTGGCACGAATGCGGGTCGAAGGGCTACTGATGTGTACACGTACACATGTAAATACCTACTAGAAATCACCATAGACGGTGTCGGTATCTAGGTTCGTATTGTCGCCTATCAACACTTTAAATCTGCATTGAATTAGCTGGGTAGATATAAATATATAAAGAGAAAGAGAGAATGTAGATAAACCTGTAAGACAGATATGTGTTTCGGAGATATATAATGCCTCGTCTTCCAAGGCAGGTGGGTAGATAGACTAGCTATCTACATTTCGAAGCAAGCCCTTCCTCATCTAAGCTCCCAGGAATCAGATTAAGCAAAATCAGGGGAAGAGAATAAGAGAGGAGAGGAAACGGAGTCGACAAATCGAATGAAAAATGTTCAGTCTCACTCAATTGTCCAATCTGGCTATGAAAAACCAACAACCAAGAACATGGAATCTCTCAACTTACGTTTCACATCCAAGCCTGTCAAAGGATATATGAGATCAGATGGCACGAAGTCGGGAAAGACAACGAATGTATAATAAATACAACCGCCATAACAAATCATCCGTCCATAAAACCATACCTAATGGATATAAACAATAATATATATAAACCAGCGAAGCTCATTTGAAATTAATGCTATTAAGGGCTCAAGATATCTACCTATCGGCAAGTAGCGCGCCAAAGAACGTACCCTAGGTAGATAGGGATATAATATATTCGCTTCTCAATACATCAATCAATACAGCGAGCCGACCCCGACACTCCGATTGCAGTGATTCCAGAAAAGAATGCCTATCCATCCATTTATCATCATCATCGTCATCTCATCAAAGTTGGCCACGAATAATAGTAATAATAGCACCTCACGTAGGACATTATGCTGGTACGTGTGAGTGAGCCAACCCCAACGACCCTAGACTGTGGGACACTAACGCCACCCTTCAACCGTTTGTCGGTCGGATAAAATCACTACAAACCACCCTGATAATGATCACATCACTGAACTCGAGATGATTCATGATTCCTCCACTATCCTTCACATGACAAACAACAAATTGGTGTCTAGTCGAGCAATGTCAACATATGATAGCCCTTCAAATACCTTTACGCCCGGTTACTTACTAAGTGGGTGACTGCAGGACAGTTGGGGCTTCTGTGTATATCGAGTAGCCAATTCGTCGCGGATACTATTAAGAAGCTGTACGTAGCTCTGCTGAGGTTTCTTCTTGAGTGCTGTGATAAAAGCCCACGACATGGCGCCAGTGGCCTGAGACGCGATTGTAGCATCCGCCCTATGCAATTGTTAGCCCTGTGAGCAGATATGATTTAAAGCCCGATAACGGCAATGGCGTGATGGGGGGCGGAGAGCCAACGTAACACGTCGCCCTAGATGCAAAGTCGCGGCTTGTGTAGCTGCGAGCTTGCATCCAAGGCGTAAAAAAAAAAATCTATCTATTTACATATTCTCATGCCCCGAGATAAACATATGTCCTTCCCTTGGCCCATGGTATTGCAAAGCCCATATGGGCAGGTCATGTACAGCATGTATAGGAGGCTGAGGTATTAAAGGTGCGGTATCTAATAACGATGTGGGCTGCTGGAGTGTAGGAAAGGGGTATACGAACGAGGTTTGATCGTCTTTGCTACCAGAGAGCATAATGACGTCTGCGGCTGATGTTTTGGTGGCCAGGGCTCGGTTATGAGCATCCTCACCACCAGTGGCCTTCTTAAAGAAGCCCATGATATTGTTGGCAACGCCGCCAAGATCACCCTGGCTATAGGAAGATATAACACCGAGTAGACCTTGACCAGCTTCCTTGGCCAAATTGGGCTCTTTGAGAACGCCTTGCGTCGAGTATATGTAAGGCAGATCGAGGGCTGTGCCAGAGTGACATGAATCGAAAATAGCTGTTAAGCGTACGCCGGCCTGTAAAGGACGAACCATGATTCTGTGCATCTCGTCGTCGGTTATGTGGCCGACCTGACGGAAATCTACAGGGTAAATCACTTCATCGTAGCCATCGGGTTCGTCGCCATCCAGGTCCTTTGTCTGCCCGCCGTGACCTAAAAAAGATGTTAATGAAACAAACGCTAGCAGGCTGTGTAACGGGTCGAGGCGCACCTGAATAATGGAAAAAGAGCGAGTCATTGGGTCGCGCATCCTTGACTAACCAATGCATTGCTCGGAGAAGATTCTGTTTCGTAGGCTGGCTCATGGGATTCTGCTGATCGTCGGTCAAAATGACCATGTCTTCTCGCTTGTAGCCATAATGTTCAACTAGATAATTCGACATATTCCGCACATCGTTGATACAACCCCTTAATTGGCCCCGTTGGCCAAAATAGTTTATACCGATAAGAAGCGCTTTTCTCCGACCGGTGCAGTTACTATACTGGAAAGCATAGTTCTGGGGAGCCCCATGCCCAAAATGTTGTGGGCCGGCGGGAGGAGGAGGAGGAGCGCCGTAGTTGCCGTGATTGTACGAATTCGAGTTCACCGATGGTGCCATCGCTAAGTGAGAAGCTTGTTAGCTTTTGACATTGCATTGTGCGACATGATGCTCTATTTCTTACGCATTCGACCATATTGGCTCGGAGGGTTGCTGTATCCGCCATGGTGCTGGGATGGTCCCTGTCGCGACGATCAATAACAGTTCATGGTACAAACATGATGCGAAAGAGCACACACCTGATTATAATAAGGCTGTGGAGGCGCCTGGCTGTAACCGCCGTACTGCTGAGGCTGCGCTTGTTGAGGGTACCCGTTGTACCCCTGGGGTGGACTAGCAGCATGTTAGTCGCGACATGTCGAAAAAAAGAAAACGCGTATAACGGCGGGACAGTCGTACGGAGGCTGATAATAGTTCCCGTGGTGTTGCTGTTGCTGCTGCGGCGGAGCGTATCCTCCAGGATAACTATAGTAGGACATATCCAAGGGCAAGACCGAAGGTTATGTAAGGCGGATTGAAGATGATGGGCTCCTGTCGTGGCCAGCAAACAACACGAACGGGCGGCGCAAGTTAGTATCGGAGAAGAGCTGGCGTGCGTGCGTGCCGGAGGTATCGCGTGTGCGAGGCGGCGGCTCGACAGCAGTGATGGATGGTGGGGGCAAGTGTTCGGATTTCGGCCTATCGGGGCGTCGGGAAGGATTCGACGTGGACTTGGACTTAACCTCAGCCGCGGGTTCAGTCAAATGTTCTAGACTTGGATAGGCTGCGAGAACGAGGAGATATATATCTCTCAGCGTCGATGCGAGGGTCTGCGGAGAGGGCGATAAGAGCCAAGAGGTACCGAAGCTCCCTGCAAGCGATAAGAGTGATAATCAATCAGTGTTTATATCCCGAGCATCTGATGGGAGAGGTGACGAGAGAGGCCATGTTGAGAAGCAAGGTTCAAGAGGCTGGAGGCTAGGCCGCTCGCCAAGACACAAGACACGATAGCATGCGCACAATGTACTCGGGACAACGTACACTGCCCGGTGCTGTGGTGTCATAGCGTAAGCCATAAGCGCTGTGTGCGCTGGGCAGGCGCTGGGCAGGGCCAGCGAACCGCCATAAGAGCCATGTTGCGTCGAGGTCTACTACCTCTCGCTTAGATGCAGATGTACCCTATACATTGCAACCCTGACTGACAGTGCAGATGGGAGCCCAGGATTGGAGCCCAGATGAGAGATGGGAGATGGGAGATGGGCAGGCAGGTGAACGGATACCTAGGATACCTACCTAGGTAGTATGTAAGAAGACGATCGCGCGCAGGGTGGGGGAGTTGTTCAAGAAACACAGCCCTTTGCTAAAGTTAATCCATCCAAGGTGGCAGCAGTCCTCACCTGCAGAGAATGAAGCGATCGAAGCGAACGAAGCGAATGAACCTACACAAACTAGGAAGATACTCTGCGCTCGCTCTGCAAGGGCGCGGAGAAATTGCTAAAAGAGACGATGGCTAACTGAGGCTGTGTGATGAACCTGTCTGGAGGTAGTGTAGGTACAGATATTTCGTGGTCTGAGATGTGCACTAGGAATCTCCGAGGTTGCAGGGTCAGATATGACCTCAGTTGTAGTACATATGTAGGTAGCAGATAGGTAAGTACCTACCTAGGTAATGTATGTACTAAAGTAGGTAGCCCGTAGGGCTTGAAAGCGGGACCGGCTAGTGTACATAATAATGTGCTTACAGTAAGTACCTACCTGGTAGGCAGATACATATGTACATAGGTAAGGATGTACATAGTAGCCACGGACTGCAGTGGTTTGACGGTTGATGACGACGTCTTCTTGTCTTCTTCGCACAGTAGGTACTTGGTCGGTAGGTACCCATGTCGTGATGTGTACGCCGGTCCACACTTACTTAGTGTACCTACAGTTGAGGTCACCAGTTGCGAGGTTCGAAGCGCACACCAGTTCTGACCAGAGAAGGGTTTGAAAAGGGACTGAGAAGAGGAACCAATGACAACACCATCTCTACCCATGTCTGCCATGTCTTCCATGTCTTCTTCCCCCAGTAGAATCCTAAGAGACAACCCCAGTTCCGCCCCGTCCCAATCCTGGTTCTGATCCTGGGAGCCCCTCTAGTTCAGCTTGGGTTTAGTGTACCAAATTTCGATCTATACATGCAAAGTACTCGCCAATGTTCAGTTCAATGAGTTCATAGATGCCCTCATTCTCTTGGATAGACGAGATGGTTAGTCAATTGTAGGTAGGTAGGTAGGTAGGTAGAATGGATAGTGGTAAGGTGTGCATGTTACGTGTTGTCACACGTTACCATTAACCACGTAACATAGCTAGATGGTTGGCGGTATGGCCAATACCTATCAGACCTACCTATCAGTCCTATCTGTCCTACATGCGAGGTGCACTAATGTTGGAAGGTCTCCTCTCGTGTTACTAATATGGAGCCATCTATGTCAAGACGCATGCCGACTTACCCCTACATACCTACTGTAGGTAGTGCTTCAAAAGTATTCACGTTTCATGTCAGGGTTTGTATTCTGACTCCATACACCAAGGCCTATCTCCTTCCGCGGAGTTCAAGAATCCATCAGACAACGGGAGCTTTGTTATTGTAGACGTGGGTATTAGCTATATGTGCAATGTGATATTCAGTAATATATCAAAACTACATATTACATAGTACACTACCTAAGTCAGGACCCTTGAAAAGTACTAACAAATCCACACACACACATACACTACACACCGTAAGTACATCTTCCTGGGAGCATTACTTATAATTTGAGAAATAGCCAATGATATTGCTAGCAAGGCCCATGTCCAAACGCTATCTCCAACCCCAAGCGACAAGGCTCGCAGAGCGAAATAGGCTGTAGGGACTTTTTGGACTACCTATGGTGCTTGTCTGTTACCCCATGTTATCGGATTTCGTTTTATTTTGCCCTTGAGATTTCGAATGCTCATGTTGTCATCGTCATGTCTCCAATTCAGCAACCATAATTTCCCCCAGGGCGTCCTTCAGAACGAATCAAACGTCAAATGTATCGCTTCAACCCCAGGGCAATTTAGCCGCCGTCGCATCGGCCCGCGTTTTTAGACGTACAGTTTCTAAATGGTAAAATTTGTGTTTCTAAACAACTACCTACTATGTAGATGCCCTACCTACTTAGGTACATAGTAGTGTTACGTACATGTCCATGTGCCATCCATCCACCCAATGGTTAGGTAAGTATGCATGGGATGCGTGCGAGATAAAAGAAACACATGGATATCTAAATCGGGCATACACTGCCTCTACGATCTGGTGCGAACTGTAAGTCCATCGGTCGATTAGCATGGGAAAAAACAAACAAAACGTTCTAGAAAGATTCTTCCCGCTTGCCATGCGTCCGGCAACCCCGTCGCAGAAGGACATTGATGCAAGCGGGCAGCGGACAGCGGACAGCAAAGCGGTTATGTGTGCGCACTGAATAAATGTCCGAACCAACGAGCGACGAGCCGGCCATCGGGGCTCGCACCGTTTCGGGCGCTTCATGTAACCCCCGGAAACGCAAAAAAAAGAGATTTCGTCGACACGTTGTCGTGCAGGAAAAGTGCCGGGGGGGGAGGAGTCTTGTCTACCCAACTACACGTCTGTCACTGAACGTTGGAGCTCGGGAGCTACTATCAGCGAGGAAAGGGTGTCGACGGTGTCTACGTCTCCGCGGCTCTCTGGATGGGAATAACAGTTCCCCATCTGCAGCCCCGTCCAAAGAGGAAATCGACCGGGATACCCGTGAGAAATGGCGCACCTGAACATATACCCCTTGGCCAATCACCAGCGGCCCTGCGAGCGTAATCCTGGTCGATTGTAACCCAAATGGCTGTAGCGTCATGTCTGGGCATGCATTGCTGAGACTTTCATGCATTATTGACAACCTACCTGCTCGGTTCACGGCCTGAGATGACGGGATCTTCGTCTGATGGTTTTTTTTTTTTTTTTTTTTTTGGGCTTCTCGTTGCTGACTTTTCATGTCCCATCTTTACTTACGGTAACATGGCAGTTGCTATTTTCCCACCTCTAGTCAACGTCACCGCTCCATAACGTGCGACGCAGATATTCGTGGTGCAGTTCTCTACCATCGCTTGCTTCTTTTAGTCTAGACATACTAGCGGTCTGAGGCAGTGATGCATTGATGCATTAGATAATGCTCGTGCAAAGGAGACTCCGTGCAGCAGAATTTGGTTTATTCATATCTCAACACATGACTACAAGCCTCAATCAAACTCTTCTGATCTATGAATAGAGACAACGAGATGATCACATTGCAATGCACTGCGCGTTGACTAGACACAACCGAGGGAGCCCAAGCTTTCTCAACCTTCTTGCCAGTCCATGTCTTGTTTAAGGTTCTTAGATGATTTACACGGAAACGTAGCGGAGACGGCATCCTTGTCCCGAGAAAGCGAGCAAGAAAAGCTTTTCCTTCCCATGCCAGACCCGTCACCAGGTCTGCCAGTCTTCCTGGGTCCCGGGTGGGGGTTGATCGTCGACATCCAGGACACACTAAACCGTCTTGTATCTCGGTTGCACCGTCCTTGGCTTACAGGCGCCACAGCCGATTCCCAGAGATTTGGGAGACCCGGAAGGACCACACATAACATCCACTGTCACCACACTACACCCAGCATCCGCAGCAGAAAACGTGGTTACGGCCATGACATGACTTAGCCGCCGCTGCCGTGCATTGTCGGCCGACATTGGGAGTGCCGTCTAGGTACTGTATGTACGCATAGTAGATAGAGTGTGTGAGGGTTGGTATGGAGGCGAGGGAGGGTAGATACCCCTTCGGGCTGGAGATCCGGCGCACGCAGGAACCCGGGGACGGGATGGTAATATGACCCCAGCTATACGCCTATATGGCATGCTACTATGTGTTCAGCCACCATGTCCGTTGCCCTGCAAACCCATGGCAATGGCCACGATCCTATTTTCTCACTCTATCTCTTGCGACTGCATATACCTACTCTGCATTGCATGGCTTGTCACATCCGACCTCCACAAGCGTAGCCAACGAGAGTATCCGCCGACCTTCAGCTCGTCAGCTGGTCGGATGAGGCTATATAGAGCCCTGGACGTACATGATGGTAGGGCTGGAGCTGACCCGCAGCCGCCTCGCCTACGACTGACTACCTCGGCACACACCATAGTCCCCTACTAGTAACTCTGGTAGGTAGTACACCACGTAAGTAAGATATGATGCAAGTAGCCGCGGGCCTAATTCCATACCTACCCACCGCTACCTCAATACGTTAGGCACCCCCGGAAAACTTTTCTTTTGCCTCCCCGACATATTACTAAGGGAGGCCACCGTCTCCTCCCCGGCAAAGTGTAGCCGCCCTCGAGTCGCCGCTGGGTGCCGAAGATAGATGCTTTGTCCACCATGATATGCAAGAAGGGCTACTATACCGGTACAGTTCCGAAGGTGAACGTCACGCTCACCTCGGCGTTGTGCATGTACTTAGTCCTTACCTACCTACCCAGCTTGGTCCCCATGTGACCCTAGGTGATACGTTACGCTCATGACTTCTTTAGCGATGGGTTTTTCGCTCACGAGTGCTTACGAATTCTAAGCAAGAGGCAGCCAAGACGAAATTTTCGTTACCTATGTACGTCAGCGCGTATCGAAGCAGGGGTCGGAGAGACATTGTCTACGATGAGAGACATCCAAACGCGGGGTTTGGAAATCATGTCATTGCTCCCTGGTTAACTGTTGTCTAAAGCAGATACCTTCAGTCTCTTAGGTTCTAGTAGACGAACAGGACCAATGCGTATCCAAGAAATACTACTAAACCTCAAAGATGACGTAGCAAGTAGGCATCCCCGGCAAATACGGCAAGAGGCAACCTACCCAACCTCAATGCTAGGTATCTCAACGGTTTTCCTAAGATAGATGCCACCCGACCCTACTCTCTAGACAAAACCAGCCTACGTCACAGGGTCGACATAAAACACGAATCATCGGGAGGGTAAACGAGCCAACCAAAAGCGAGAAGAAGAAGGAAAAAACATACAGTGCTATTCAAAATCAAAAACAGCTCATTCACTATATGTCTCGTCTGATCATAGGCAAGGGATATAGATAACGCTATCTATATTGCTCAACGTCGAATCTAAGTTATGAGGCACACAATCATGCACTTAAATATATAAAAATTTAAGAGGTCCCAGGTGATCAGAGCATGCTTCTTTTATTTTCACGTAGCGTCGTCTTTTCGATATAATCCTCTATGTAATGGTTTTTACCGTTTTATCTCGAGCTCTCCCTATCCTCCTTAACTCTATCTACTTTTCGACAACTATTCAAACAAGTAGGTTCAGCGTTGTCTACATTCTTCATCCACTTCCATTTTAGCTTATATATAGATATATTTATATACGCCAAGCTCGTTTTCAGCCTATCCTTATCATGACCACCGCAAGGCGAATAGATACAATGATAAGGAGTAAAGATAAAGCGTTGTTTACAACGTTATCAAGTATCGATATAGATATCTCTAGTATTTCAATGTTAAACAGACTCAGAAGCAAGCGACCAAGCCCCATTACTTGCCAGTCTACCTAGATGCCTATCCATCAGCCGAGGTCACAAGTTTCCTCTCGATCTCTATCTACCCAACTTTTTAAATCTTAATATATAGTCCCAACCCAGCCGAATGAATAGAGCTCATGCATTGGCCATGATTTCGTCGTTTTCGTGATCCGTCTGCCGCATAGACCACGCCATCATGCCCCAGAGAAGGCGCATGGCTTCGAGCCTCTGCTCGACAATGAACAGATCGAACCAATGGCTCCGCCAAATCTCTAGCTTACCCCAGCTATGCCCCTCTCTCTTATCATCCTCTCCTTGGTCTCCTTCTCGTTCTGTGTCTTCCTCGATAGTATCCTCAGAAGTGCCATCGAGAATATGCAGAAGTCTCTCCGGCACGCGGACGCGAAGAACGCTCAGGTGATGGAAGAGACTACTGACGACGAACACGTCATCGTAACCGGAACCCCTGATCTTTCCAATGGCCTCGTACCGCGCCTTTTTATCCCAATTCGACGAGGGCAGACGAACCATGCGGTAACGATCATATACACTGAGAGTCTTGCGCGGTTTCTTGTTCAAGGGCGCTCCACGTACGGGGATCCCTCGCGGGTAACCGGGCTCTTGTGGTGAAGGTTTATCGGTAGACGAGGACGCGGTGTCTGCTGAGCCACTGCCCTCTCCATTGCTTTGACCACCAAAAGTGTCCTTATCCCCTACGACAATATCCCCTTCTACCTCGCGACCGATAGGCCCGCCCTCGCCGCCTCCCCATCGTTTGGCCGTAGCCCACCACTGTCCTTCGCCGAAGCGTTTTTCTGTCTTACCCTCGCGAGCGCGAAGCTGGGCAGTGACAAGAGCCGCAATGAGCTCGCGACCAAAGTCAATATTTGATTCTAGAGGCTTGGAGAAACTAGTAGTGTTACGAGCAGAGACAGCTGCGATGGGACCTTCGACGATGCCAGCACGCGCTGCTTCACGAGTGATAGGGGTGCGGCATATGAAGACGCAACCCGAAGAAAAATAAGACATACGGCGGGAAGCGAGGCCGCCTTTCGGCTTCGCCTTCGTTGAGAGCGGTTCGGCTAGGTGCAGCCTTGGTTCAACCCTCGGTGGCGCAATGTTGCAACCAAAGTCGTAGGAGACTAACTTCACAAAGGCGGACACCAAATTGTGGCGAATCTCGGCCGGCATTTGCGAACCAGGCACAGTTCGGTAAGTTATCCTTTCAGGCGTGCCCGTCTGCTCGGAGTCTTGGTCCTCCTTTGCGACATCGTCCTGCAGGTTTGGCAACGAACTGTCATCCCAGTAGGTAGCTAGAAATTCCAACAGTCTGAAGAATTCGTAACAGTTTCCCAGACGGATCGGCGGCTTCCCTGGTTCGGGTTTCATACGACGCACCGTCCGGAAGGCGGTTTGATTTGCAACTGAAAGCTCATCGCGCCTCTCTGCGTAGCTACGAGCCTCTGGCGATAACCTCCCATTAGACAAGGGCCGCCGAAAAGTAGGGTCTCTGCGCCTTGCCTCATCCAGGTCAATACCATCCCATCCAGAAGCAGAGGGTATGAAGGATGGGTCTGGGACAACGTCTTCAGCGGCAGCGTCGACGTGTACATGAACCCCAAGGGCAGCAAAGTGTGATTCGTTCACCTCTGTTGGACGATGGAGAGTCTGTAAAAAGCGCACAAGTGAGGCACACGGCCGTTTACCAGAAGACTCGGCAGACTGAGGCAGCCGGGGGTTGCATTGCGGTAAACTCAGAGGTGTGGGTGGTGGCACATTCTCCGGTGGTTTTATGGGAGTTGTTTGTGGAACTAGGACAAGGTTATAATGCTGCGTGACAAGACGTTTTTTGCCTACAGTGGGACTATGGAGGCTTGAAGGATGATTGGTTTGATGAGGAGGTTGCTTGTGACGAGGCTAGCGAAACGGTATAGTACAATACGATATCATCACAGGACGTGACAAGGTGATGAACCACGGCGAAATTGCGCCTCGGCATGGGAATAGCCAAGACAGAAGATGGATGGTATAGCCAGGGGCTTGGTGAAAAGAATCAGAGGGGGTTCGGTCTCCGAACTAACACTAGATACACTTGATCTATATCGCCGTGGCTATGATGGGCCTTTGTAGAGTGGGCCGACAGCAACCACGGCGCCGGGCAACTACAAGACGACGGACGGAGCATAATGAATTAATTACTTACCCAAACTCGCAAACGCGCTAAACATGATGCTAAATCGCCTACGCCCGTCGGTGCGGTCTACACAAGTACCGAAGCCTTGTCGTCGAGAATGTGAAGCTATCTATGGGAGGTAGGTAGGTAAATGGCGGCTCAATGCAACCCCGTCTAGGTAATAAGGGTGTCGTGTGTTGAATCTGAGGCTACTGCAAAAGATGTCGACCTCGTCAGAGATAGGCCGTGGCGGGACAAAATGATGCAGCAATCCAAGACGTCAATCCAAGATGACAATCCAAGATGACAATCCAAGATGACAATCCAAGATGACAATCCAAAGAAGACTCCGTGCCAGGCTGTATCTGGCGTAGGCATGGAATGCCTAGGGCCACACAGAGAAAGAGAGATAGGGGGACGGGAGAGGAGAGGAGAGAGAGCGAGATGAAGAGATGAACAATTTCCTAAATGGGACTAAAAGACAGTCGTGTGTAAATTGAGAGATCCCGATAGTTGGGAACAGAGGATCGAGGATTCCTACCTACCTAGGCACTTCGTATGGGGGGACAGGGCAGAGACAGGGGAACGAATCTTGGGATTGGCGGCTGCTTTGGGGGGGGAAGGAGGGGTGGCTGCTCAAGCGCCCGCACCTGCTGAACTAACCCCTACCGACCTTCTACCGACCTCTACCAACCGGAACCTACATATATACCTACCTAGGTAGGTAGTTAAGCACTGTAATAAAACTTCGGCAGGTACCTACTTACCCATCCAGCCGCTAGATGCATGTACCTATCTGGATACACATCTAGATACATCGCACGTACCTATCCTTCTTGGATACATGTAGGTAAGGTAAGGACCTGTTCTGTGCGGTGGCTACAGTGTGGTCAGGTCAGGTAGGTAAAGTGGCGAGTGGAAAGTGGAAGGAAGGGAAAGCCCGTTGCATTCTTGCATGGGTCCGTGGCCGGCTCTCTGCTGGTTGGTCCGAATCTCCATCTCCGCGCCGTTGATATACATATCTACCCTACCGTACCGCCTTTCTCTTGCTTGGCTTTTACAATATCCGTACCTGTCTCGCCTGTTTTCTAGTACCTGGTCGCCTGGTAGTCTGCTGGTAGCGTACCGAGCCACTGGTCCCTCCAAAAGTTCCTTATTTGCTCGCTTGTGTCTGCTTGTGGCTGGTTGAACATGTCGTATCTCACCTAAGTACAGTAGGTAGGGCACTAGGTACTTTTCGGTGGCAGGCCTAAGTACGCAACATGTCCAAGGAAGCAATCCTATCAGCCATGCAAATCTGTCGAACCTTGTCGCGACTATCGTAGAAATCCGACACCGGGCATATTCGGTGACGAGGAGACAGTGTGTTTTGGGTCTAGTCATCGTGTTTCGCCTTGAATTTGGAAAAGAATCTCACACTTTCAGTCTTCATCCAAGCAAGCTCGCTTGAGTAATGACTACAAGCCGCGCAAGCCCCTTGCGATAACGATGTGTAGTAATATAGAATTACCCAGGAACGCTGAAATTGATGCTGGGTATTTTCGTTTGCATAACATTGTTTCCGGCGACACGGGACAGGGAGTGACCCTTGGTTTGTTTCCACAACCGTGCGAATGACAAAATGCGCGATTAGTTACGTACGCCAGAGTATCACGACAAAATACAAGCATCACAAATGCCAGGATAGACATTACGTGAGGAGTAGGTAGGTAAGTGGGCGACCGTGGAAGCTGGCGATCTGCCGATGTCTAGCCTCGAGGTGGGCTGGGTATATCAAGTCCAGCACGATATCATCATCTCTGTTCACTTATCACTGAAGACAAGAGCACAGATGATATGAACGCGTGCAAGCCGGTGGTGCAGTGGCTGTATATACACTGACGGTTGCCTCAGATGCCTACGCCATTTCTGGGTCGATTTAGCTGTGGGGGAGCAAAATCCAGCCCCTCACTGCGCCCTGCACAGGTAGGTAGGTAGGTATGATCCTGTACTTACTTTTTATGTGTCTTCAAAGTTACAAAAAATCTTTGCCGCGAGCGATTTCTACAATCGATTACACCTTCATAATGAGTGAGATACGTGTATGTCATAGATGATCAAATCGCTGGGCCTGTCGGGCTTGGCATGAATGAAGCTTTCAAGAAATCACTCAGCTACTACGAAGGCACACACACACACACACAAATACACACATATGTTTGATGTACTGCCCATCATAGATCAAACACTTCCTGTCGTCGGCAGTCCACGGCAGTCCACGGCAAAACGGCCCCTTCATTGATCGGAAAGACCCCGCATCCGACCGATCCGGACATACTATCACATAGCATCCAGCCCTCAACTTCTTCACGCTCGAGCTCTCATGCAACTCGCCTTCGTCGCTGGCTCTGGAGTCATGGCCACGAATTCCTGGATCGCCTACCTAGTTCCCTACATCTTTTGATCCCGTGATGAGTAGGGTGTGAGTTGTCCTCGTTGTCGTCGAGCCCACTCCGTCTCTATTTGTACAGTATGTCGTGGTTGTTTTACCGGGCATCCCTGAATCTTACTCATATATTTGGATATCTTATTGCGTGCATCGCCTCTTTTGAAACGATTAGTTTGTCACGTCAACTACTCGATCTAGGATTCCTCGAAACATGTCTTCGAACCATTCATGGCCACATCTCTATACTCTACTCGCTACGGCCCGCCTATGTACCGTCGGGCAATTCATGATTACTATTAGCTTACTTATATGTTCCTCAATATTCTTAGCAATATCTTGGCGGCCCTGCCGCGAAACATCCAAACAACTATGATACGGCATTGACAATGACAATACTTTTATACATGCTGCTAAGTCACTAGACAGACCACACCCGCCGTGGTGGTACCGTGTTTAATGCTGCAACGGCCACTATCACTACGGCAGCCAAGTGATGGCCGATGTCATTTTGCTACTGTGTAGATGCCTACTTGGCTACAAGTTTGAACAACAGCAAAAGGATAAAGGCAATACAAACATGCATGATAAGTCGTTATTATAGGTATTATAGGTATGGTAAGACCCCAGAAGCTGGGGGTCGAGCCGACGGAGATTCTGCTTCAGGTTTGTTACAGAACAGGGGTTCGGCCACAAAAGCACGGCCCTGCTCCACCGGGACAACCCCCCTTGCCTTGACTGTGACGACGTCCTTGGGCTCCCGAGGCCGCGCGCAGCCAATCCCGTTTCCTCGCCTGGCCCGTTGAACACCGTGGTGCATCGTAGTGCCAGTAAGTTGATGAACCCAGGCAGTACCCAGGCAAGATCTAACGGCTTGAGCATAGCCATGCATAGGCCTCCCTCTGCACACTTGCGGGAGGTAATGCTACCCGGGGCAGGGAAGGGAGAACCTCACTTTAACTGAACCCGGCTCTAGGTGTAGTGGCATGTGTCGCGTCGCAGAAGCTCACGCCTCTGTCCTCCCTTGCTACGCTGTTGTGAGACGAGCTAGCCCGTCCGTGTCGTCTGCTCCTCCACACTATCCTATCGTCTCTCTTCCTTCTCCCACGACCATCTAGAGAGTAGATATCTCAAACTCCAAAGCTTCGTTTGGTCCGTCGTGGTGTGGTTTTGGATTTAGCCGTGAAGTGGTTTCCGGTTTCCTAGAGATCCTGTGTACCTTGTTTCTCGACTATTCTTCTCCTCCCTTCTGGTATTTGCTTCATGATCTTGTCGTGATTGTGAGCACGGCCGGGCCGGCCTTTCGTTTCTTCTCGTGTGTTATTCCTATTGTTCCTCCCTCCACTCCGTCTACATCGACGAACATAGAAATTTCTTATTTTGACTTTGGCGACTGGAATCGCCTATACACCTTCATGAGACCATGTCGTCGCCCTTCCCCGTATCGACTATTAATAGGAGGATATGTACGATAGTGCCTAAAGGCTCGGGTGGGGGAGTAGCGACGACAACATCGATATCGACTACTTCAAGCTCGACTTTGACCTCAATCTCAAGTTCAAGCTCAGCTTTAACGTCAGCTACGACGATTTCTACGTCAACAATATCCTCAACATCTTTGGCCTCCTCATCAACTTTAGAAACCATACCTAATCCAGCGGTCCCCGATACCTTCATCAATGTGCCAGCTCCCTCGACATCCACAAGCACTACTTCAGAAATTCTTACTAGTACGGCGAGCTCTACATCTTCCCAGAGTGTCCCCCCAAGTATTATCATTGCATCTAGCGCTACACAGACAAGTGCTCTTTCAATAACTTCACCAATTGCTGCGCCTCTTGAAAGCGAGGTCTCTAATCTATCTTCTACTACCTTCATCCCCGACACTATAACCACGTCATCTTCTACGACAACAATTGAAGGTGCGGCCTCAGAAGCACAGACTAATGACGATTTAGCATCGACATCTGCGTCGGGCGTAGCCTCGAGCGTTCTTAGTACCCCTTCAGAAATTATATCAAGCAGCACGGAATCCACAAATCCAGCAGCGACAGGCCAGTTTGGATCTTCAAATCCTGCTACAGACGTGGCGACGGGCACTGGCAGTAATAATGCTAGTGGGGGTGCAATCAGCACCCAGACAACCGTGGCCGTTGCGGGGGGTGTGATAGGAGGCTTAGCTTTGCTCTCGATCATTGCTTTCCTGTTCTGGTTTTGGAGGAAACGACTAATGAAAAAGCGGCGCAGTACTATTCTTACGCCTTTAAACACTGACTCTCCCTACCGTCGCGGTGATATGGGACCCTATGTCTTCAGCCGCACCTCGCTCGGCCCAACGAGCATCCCAGAAAAGATGAGAGCCGCAGTGGGTTATAATTATAGCAAGTTTCGGGGACGTGTCAGCGGCCTAGTTTACCGTAGTCCGAAGCCAAGCGTAGACCTGAACCGTGGAAACTCGCAGTTTGGTCTACCGGACACGCCCGCAACCCGGTCAACTTCGGGGGCCGGTATGGCTAATAACGACGCAACAACACTGAAGGGTCGATTAGTAGATTGGTGGGGACGACTGACTGAGAACGGCGGATTCGCCTCAAAATTTCGCAATGGCTCAAAGAATGAGCAGACCAATAATGACACCTACACCAGTATATCCAACACCGCGCGAACTGGAAGAAGGGGGTCCCAACCCAATTTTCTAGGCCTGTTAAGCATGGAGGAGAAACAACAACGAGGGTCTAATAGTAACCCGCGCCGCTCCCAGTCCCTTGGTAACGACCCATTACTCGGTTCTCTCGGGCTGAACTTCGACACGGAAAACCCCTTTGCAGATTCGAATGCCATGAGCCACGATTCAGCCAAGGTGATGCCCCTCGCGGTATCAGCAGGTGCGACCGGGAATCCATTTTCTGATGCAAATGCCATTCCAGCGCCTGCGAAATCTGCCAATAACAACAGCAGTACAGCCGGCGGACCGGCGACCTACGTCCAAAATATTCGCCGCTCCCGGGGCTACAGTACCAGTGCCGCCAACTCGCAGCTACCCAGTGGAGTCAGAGCAAGCCGCATGCCGAGTGTGTACCGCGACTCAATCATAAGCATCGACACAACCGATACGCGGCGGAATAAGTTCCGTTCAGACCCGTTTGATCTAGATAGACCCGAGCTCTTGGCACAGTCGTCAGCAGCGAGCCCCCAGGGCGCAGTAGACAGCGGGCGAGACAGTAGATACGGCCGACAGAGCAATGGCCGTGGCCTCCCAAACAGGCCGCGGCCGACTCACACGCGCACAGAGAGCATCGGATCGAGGTACTCGAGCGGTGTGAGTAGCTTGGGCGAGTGGAGCGATCCGGGTCCGGACGTCGGGCCTGCAGCCGGACGCTGGGTGCCTAGTCCCGACAGCATGCTGGGACGGCAACCATCGGTCAGAGATGGGGGTTCCGGCAACAAGCGGAACGTTGGCAAAGCCATCTGATAAATGAATCTTCGACCCAATATCCCTAGTCTGCACTATCTACGCACCTATCTACCCATCCTGGTATCATCACAAGTCTTCAACCACGACACACAATACTACATAACTCAAATATAATGTTTTTACCTCACTAGCATTACATTACCCAGTCTGATCAATTTTCTTCATTCTCCCACTTGGTTCGGCATGGGTCGGGGCGCGACAATACCTGGCTCGGTGCTTACAGGAGTTTTTGTCTATTCGCTTGATTTTATTTCTTTCTCTTCGATATTATGCAGATATAAGGATGGACCAAAAAAGGGAGCGGGGAAGGGAAGGCAATAATGTCGCCACACTCGTTTATGATACCACGTAAGGACACGAATCACAGTTGCATACCATGGGGGATATGACACAATGAGTACTTTCTATATGGAATAGATACAAGGTGAATTTGGAGAGGTGGGATACTTGCATACATTCGATAAGGGGAGAAGAGGAGGAAAGGTAGCAGTGTTGCTCAGCGAAAGGGTACGAGCCACTTTCGTCACTATGCGATCAATTCTTATATCCCCAGCAAATCTGGGATGAGCGGAGTCTCCCCATCAGGGACGGAGATGACGGCGGGTTTTGGCTGTCTGAGAGCGGATTGAAATTGGCGCTGTCGCAAAGTTTGGCTAGCATCAGCTTGATATATCAGCAAGAGATCAAGTTGAAAGCGGAGAAGACGACACATTCGTTACTGTGAGGAAGAGCGATATTGACATGCAACACAGCTAACTGCGTGAGCCATCAACAAGATAAAATAAAGCCGTCATTACCAAATCAATGAACTTCCCGTCATCAAGGATGTAGACAATTAGCTGATGTAATATGCCAGTTTGTTTGCGTGAGTGATTTAACACATAGGGACGGCGTATATACATGATGCAGTTACTAGACTAGGTAGGCAGATGAGACTTGAGTTAGTCGGCCTCATTCTCTCGGGCGGGACTTGAAATGCAGTGAAGATGCATAACGCTTCACTTCCATCCTGCATTTTATATTATCATACGCAGTCCAAAGCAGGCTACTGTGCGAAGTGCCAATTTCCGTTTTATGAATCTAACATAACATTGTAAGCTGATATACCATGCTGTAAAAACGTTATGTCGTTTTCGGTAGAATTTGCTCCTCGCCATCGTTATGGTTCGGTCTTATCTAACACAGTTGACAGAAGGCCTCACTACTTCAAAAGACTCTTCATCCGTTACTAAAGGCCAGAATATATTTTAAAATCCTTAGTCATGTATGATAAATGCTTGAGAGTTAGGATACACTTCGCAGCATGCTCTTGTGACTTGACGTTAGCTTTTTCATAGCGCTTTCGCATACGGTTAAAACATAACTATGTACACATCGAATGAACAATATTCTAGACGAAAGCGTGCCGTCGTCACATCCCAACTCCACCCCAGCGCATCCACTTAACAACTATTTCGATTTATCTGCCAGCGCGGTACACGGCCCACTGGTTGTGCATGCGGATCTGCTGGCCGAGCGTAAACTCAGTGTGACAGTCACTACAAGAGAAGCGCGGAAGTGTTAGCCATTTTAGTCATCCGTTAGAAGATATTGATATTCTCTTATAGCTCGTCGAAAGCGAGGGATCAGTGGATAAAGTAGAGAACTCACCTGCCCGTGTAGCTCATGTGGTTGTGGATGGGGTCATTGCCAGGTTGGCCAGGGCACGAGTTGCGGATCTCGCATCCTCGACCCGGTGGCAAGGCCTCGGAAGGGGTGTCATCAACGTAGTCACCGGGAGAATTACAGCCGTTTTCGAATGTATGGAACAATCCAAACCAGTGCCCGACCTCGTGTACCCCCGCCTTGCCGTCGTTCAATCCGGTGTATGGGGCATCATCAGGGAGCGAGCTAGTGAGAATCTGACAGCCATCGAAGTTGTAAGTCCCGGCGCCGTTGACGGGAACGGGGATTGTGCACACCCCCGCTGCACCACCTGTAAGGCTGTATATGCGACATGTTAGATTTCGGCGCAGTGGAGATGTAGATAGGAAACCTGCTCCTTCGACCCGAGGGGGCAGGGCTGGTTATGGAAGGGTAGCTTACTTTAGGTGCAGATAAATATTAAGATCACTGTAGCTACCCATGCGCAACTGTGATGCCATGAAATTGATATCCTGTCCCCGAGCCCATGTTTCGTTGATGGTACGAATTGTTTTAGCCAATTGAAACTTTATGCCGTGTTTATTGAAGTTGTCGTTTAACACGTCCACTGCAATTCTCACTTGTGTCAGCTTTTATATGCTGGATTTCTTGTTTCAAGGAACCCCAAACTTCATGACAGTTGAAGAATCTCTGTCACCACCAATCATGAACTCTCGAGATATCGAAAATGTTGATAGGGGAGCAGCGCATAACTACCTACTCTGTTTCTGTAGGAGATCATCCTAGTCAGTGTTAGTGTAAGTTCTAGCATCATTTTATATGATATCTTTAATTAGTCCATCATCGCGGTATGGACTCACAGCTACCCAACCATCTTCTGGTTTCTCCGAAGAGGCGAGGACTTGGAAGTACACGTTCACAGTAGGAATCTCGGCATTAACCTGGGTATTCTTCATCATTCGTTCCTCAGCGAAGGCTCGAGCCATAACGGCGTGCTCTTCTGCCGCCATAGGGGGGTTACCACACGCGAAAACAGTAGCGTTAACGGGGGTGGCATTCGGAGGCATCGCGGCTACGAGAGCCACGAGCAAAGCGAGGGAGGTAAAAGCGAACTGCATCGTCTGGATTAGCCTGGTAATGAAGGGCTGGATGATCTTGGAGATTTCAGTAGAGAACGATAACCAGAGTTATAGCTCTGTTGTTAATTCTCTCTATTCGTTGCTCCCTGGAGCCTCTTATAGTCGAGTGAGAGCCTCTCCTTGAAACAAGGGCGCAATCTGGGTTGTGCGACCCCTGCCCTTTCCGTAGCGATAAGTTGCGGTTATGAAATTATTCCTAGATCTCACGACGACAACTTAGTAGTTAGGGTCTTATTTAATGTGATTATAAATAGAACCGATCGCAAGATCTTGTATCTTGTGTCCCACTAGTACATGTCACTCACTCTCGAAAACTAGTAGGCCAAATCGACTCCATGCCTACACAGACGCACTTTGACTACACGATTGGAGTTGGCTTGATTGTTATTGAATGGGTGAGCATAATTTCCTAGGTGGTTTTCAGATTCCTAACGTAACTACGACAAAGTATCCAAGACATGCAGTATATAATTAACCAAGCTACCTCGTTGTGAAAAGAGAGTCTCAGTCAAGATTATATGAAGCTTTCTTCTGTATTCAAGAAAACAGCTACCGCAGAAAGGACACTTCCAAAATCGCATGGGGCTTGAATTAGACACAGGCAAAGGGAGAATATTCACGTAAATCCTGACGTACTGGTTGTCAACAACCCATCATGAAACACGGACCAAGGAGTTGGGACAATTGTGCGACTAATTGTAAAGCGAGCTAATTGCTAGAACAAACAGTATAGCTAGTGTGAGTAAAAACCGATGCACCGGGTACTCAGCTACCTAATAGTACCGTTTCATATGCCCATAGCTAGGTTAATTTTACGGAAAAATGAGCCTATGAAATCCTACCACACCTCGGCACCATTTTATATATGTGACCTGCCAGATCGGATCCGTCGCAAGCTGTCTAATCGTCCCCGAGCAGACACTTACTCGGAGTAGAAAGCAAAGAGATCGTGACACTCTAAGCTGACCATACCGTATATATATAATATTACCTCAGTTAGTGATAATTTTCGAAGTGGCTTACTCTCATCAAAGGATACTTCTACGCCTTATGAATTAACTGCTGCTGACTATACGCGTGACAAATGTAACAAGCACATTTCAATGTGACATTTGTCTCATGCCTGTTGACGACCATGGTGGAGAATAGTGCCACGCCCAGGCCCAGTAGTGGTGCTCAACGGAGACGGCAAACCCTTAGGACCTCGTAACGGGTATAGCGAACTAAGTAAAAACTCTTGCTTACGAGGTATTTCCAGATACTTCTGTCACTAGGTTTTCCTTCTGGGGTCTATGTTGGTGAAAACAGGCGGGTTCTTGTGCTAAGACGGAATTCTCGGAATGTTGGCGGGATGATATTGGTCCGACTCCTTCGAAGAATGATGCATCCCTCAAGATTGAGGGAGGGCATTGTGCCGCATGACGAACAATCGCTGTCGCGTGGCCAAGATGTTCTCTTCATAATAAAGTAAATCTTTCAAACGAAAACGCGTCTTCCGAAACATGGCTGCAATGGCGTGCGCTCATGCTCTCATGCTAATGGGGAGTAATACTTCTTTCTCCTCAGGCTGACAAGTACCACGCAACATATGCAACACCGGAATTTGGATTCCGCTCGAAGCATCATAGGCGGCTCGCGGAGCGACTCAAGCCTCATTGCTTATATCATAGTCGTTTTTATAAAATGTAAGGCACCGCAATCTTGCTCGGCTTCTAATCAATTTTGGAACTGTCATGTAGTAACTGCTCGTTGCATATCTTCTCTGAGGCCAAATCGAGGCTGACTACGCGGAGATAACCCACACTACAGCAAGAATGTCTCCACTCAAGAAATATGCTCTCATCATGGGCTGCTCAGCAGGCGGTATTGGTACAGGTCTGGCTGAGGCCTTTCGCGAGAAGGGATACCATGTTTTCGCAACTTTGCGGAATCCAGCAAAGCTTCCTCCCAGTCTCAATGAAGCTACTAATGTCACACCCCTCATGCTCGACGTCCTGTCCTCGGAGTCCATTGCCGCTGCAGTCAGGAGTGTAACGAGTGAGACTGGTGGGCGACTAGATGTTTTAGTCAACAATAGCGGCCATAACTTCATCATACCCGCCCTAGGCCTCGGCATTTCGAACACCAAAAAATTATTCGACCTTAACTTCTTCGCTCCGTTGGCCATGATCCAAGCTTTCATACCTTTGATCATTGAGGCTAAGGGATACGTTGTCAATCAATATTCTGTGGCTGCCTACGTTCCGATGCCTTTTGGAAGTCAGTTAAACACATATTATCCTATTAGTTATTCATGTTTCCTCATGTCTATGGCCTGAACTTAGCGAGCTGACGACAAACTTGTTTGGCACACAATATATATAAGGTCGATACACGCAGTACAGATTGACGTTCACCTTATACATGCATCACGTCATTATTCCAATCTTTACATTCGTTACGTATCAAGTTGAATGTGCTCCTCCTTGACCACCAAAGCTGGCTCGCCTTCTCACAATCTTTGCTACGGAGATACCACCCTCCATCGTTGGTATTGGCGGGTATGGAAATTGGATCCTTATTGCAATTACAGGCGGGTCATTTTCAGGACCCGAGCTAAAAAGTCGGAATTTAGAAGAAGGTATCTCATGTGTGGGTCACAACAGACAGCATCCTCGGGGTTGGAGGAGGCTCGGGCAACTACGACAACGTTTTCTCTTCCGATGCGAAGAGCGTCCTACAGACTGATGACGGTTCCGAAATCCTTGTTTCGACCCGTGGGGGAGGGGGTATATCAGGAACAGACGTGCTAGGTCTTCACGACAAAGAAGATGGTATGGTGTTTTTTTAGCCCGACATTATTAGATCTACGGTTCGATCTCAACCTGATTAAGTGCTTCTGAGTAAATAACTTTTAACCTAGTCGAATGTTCGTCCGTCGAGCAAAAAAGTGAAAATCTAAGAAGAATCCTTGCATGCATATCCTCCACGCCTAACGGCGATCGTTGCCACGAAGTGGCCAGTTCGTGGTTGAACTACAGTCCGCCACTTGTGTAGGTGACAGCATCAACGGACAGCGGTGCGACCCCTACGTGATAGTATGGTGCAGATAGATAACTAATGTGCTCCTTCATGATTCCGGTTGGTGAATTTAACTTAGAAAGAGTTGGTTCATCCAAAAGCGGCCGGCAGGGCCTTGTGTATTCAAGTGCCCCTGAAGTGGTTGGGCCACATTACTACCTCCACAACCTGACACCTCGGCTGGGCCTGGCCGCGTAAGCTCGACGGCGGTATATTGTAGGCATGAACGAAGATCTCGAATGCCTGTCGCGAGCTGGGTAAATACGCCGCCTGGATGGCACATGTCCTGCTCGCCCGCCTCAATCGCAGTCATCTCAAGGTTCTTGGCGATGCGGTCCAGGAGCACGGGTAGGTCTATGACGGCCCGTGCGTGAGCGCGATCAATTCGCGAGTCCTCCAACTCTTCCAGTTGATGTAGCACCTCAATACAACAGGCGAGCTGACCGCACTGCAAGAAAGCTATGGATAGGAAGCTGGGCGGCTCAAGGCTCAAGAGAGCAGAAGTACAGACACTAATAGCGAGAACGGATTGCCACATGTATGACAAGTCACTTTGTCCCATCGATATATTGTTCCTCATGGACGCGTCGTCACCACTACTGTGAATCTTAGTGGCTTCAGGTACATCGACGCACGAAATAATCAGAGTAGATGCGCGGATAGTTTCTAGAATAAGCACTTCCACATGATGAAAATGCTCTAGCTGGACTTGAATGGCTGTGAATATCCCAAGTTAGCACAGAAAGCTGTATCCGCACAGAAATCCGCCGAGATTGCGAGGGGTAGAGAACTTACACTCGTGACAATGAGAGGACAATGGGGGTTCCATACGGAAATTTTGTAGCTTTTGATAAAGCAGCTTGGCATCTTTGAAAGTCGTAGCTGCTAGTGTCCCCCCCCGAGCACCATGATTCAGCTGCGTTTGCAACATTTGATGAAGCTGGATAGCCTTGGCAGAGAGTAGCTGAAGGCGAACTTGATAGACCAGGTCTGCGGCCGTCAAGCATGCTTCAGCTGAAACTGTGTCGTCGAGAACGCTGTCCAGTTGTGGTGTCCACTTCAACCGCTAGAGTCAATAACTCTTTCAGGCAAAAGTTTCCGGAGTTTTATATACTCCCGTGACAAACTTGTGCCCCCAGTAGAACGGAATGAAAATAACTCCAGTGATTACATACCGGCAGGGGGTCCATATCCGAAAGTAGTGAGAGACAACAGTGCTCAGTACGGAACAACCCAATACGGCGCGCCGGACCTCAGCAGAGAGTCGCCGAGGGCTGTCTGAGGTGAGGGTGGGCACCGGTAACACCAAGAGACGACCTATGTGGGCGTCCTCAAGCGCAGGCCTAGTAAGACGTATCTCGCCCACCAGGGACACAGATAGCATAACTAAAGGCGAAAGGCTGCCACGATGACGTACATGATCCTAACCCCAACTAATATAAGTCATGAGAGCTAGTAGTAAGTCGAGTGCGGAACTGATATCATTAGACTGATTCTTCCCAGCACGTATCTGCCGCAAGAACGCTTCTTCGCAGAGTCCACGCTTCAAGTCGAGAGCCCGGGCTTCTCTCTCCCTGGAGAAGGGCCATGCCACGCAGGCGATAGCCTTGAAGAGCAGGGGTCTATTGTAGCAGAGCTCTTCAGCCGTTACGCGTTGTGGAAGGTGGATGAAGGGGAAGTGAGGCAGCATGCGCGTGCGGAATCTATCGAGGCATGCCACAGAAATATTGTCGATCAACTGAGGGACAGTGGGAGTCACCAAGTGCTCGCGGGGGGTAGTCGGAACTGTAGGAGACCCGGATCGGACGCGACCCCGAGAGTGCTGGTAGTCCTGCGGGTTCTCGGGTTCTTCAGAGTGTGGTAGAACGGCATGAGAATCGGGGTCTTGTTGTTTTGGGTTGCCCGTTGGCTGGCGGAGGAGTTTGGTTGGCATTGTCTGCTGAGGCGGTAGCATCGCTCACAGCCATCGCCATCGGGTCGACTGACGCAGCGACATTTGTCTGTCACACATCGCATATATGCCTGGCTATACTAGGCCGAGCGAGGTGCAAGCCTACGCTTCATACTCGAGACGATGCCAAATAAGTAGGATCACCTAGTACACTGGATGCATGCTTCAAGACTTAGAGTGAATTCATTTTCGGGTTGGAGAGGAAATTCTAACAACGGATTTAATTAGTTATCCCTGTTGACATTGGCATAAGATACATATCTATCGGCTAAGCCACCACAGCCATACTCTACTTTCAGAACACGAAACTCCCTTGAAATCCATTTCACATATAACGAGACCTGCGAAACATCGCTATATATTGATTGTTCATAGTTTCACTTGCAATTAGCCAGTCTGCTTATTTACTAATGTTTTCGAGCAGCTTAGTAGGTTGATGGCTCTTTGCACCAACGAGCTAGCGAAGTTGTGTTTATGATTACATGTGCAGTGTATGAACAGCCCACGATTGATCTACATAGTAAATCACGCAGGATCTAAAAGAACAGAACTCATACGGTAGATCCTGAGCAAGCCATACGTATAGCACCGTAAACACGAGCGTGAAACGTTCGTCGAGGATATTAACGAATGGTTAATTTAGTATACGAGTTTTCAGAACTAGAAGCGCGAAGCGCATCATCGCTCCTTTGGCTACATGGAAGCTCCGCCTCGGGAAAAGAACTTACGTATGTGCTTTGCAGGCGCTTCAGTATCAACTCTTAATTATAGAAGATCTTTGGTGATGGAAGATGAAGGAGAGGCGTCCCAGAAATAAAAAGCGCCGTTACCGGCCGATTTTACTGCTCTTGTAATCCCGCTGAGCCTAGAAGCTTAAATGCCGAAAAGATTCTTGTCAGTATCGTCCGTCAGTTCTCATCCCTTGGGCTAGAAGCCGCTCTTCCAACCAATGATGGTGACATACCAATCGCAAGAAGATGAGGGGTTTTCTATCTATTCACTCAAGCTTCAAGACAGCTACGACCTTCTCTTGAATCCCCTCGATAGCTAGCCGACAGTAATAAGCATCGGAGACACTTTAGACAAGTGCCATCCAAGAACACGACAGAAATTACCCGATAAACAAGAAGGCGTACTTCGCGAATCTTCAACCCCTATCAAGATGTTTTTGCCTAGCCGAGACTATCAAGACATTGAATACAAACTGCGGGATTATCCTCTCCTAGAGCTTTCCTCACCTCCTAATTCAGTTGATATCAGCCGTTTTGTCGAGTGCGAAACTAAATTATTAATGAATCATAGGAAGCCCCTCCATCCAACATATAGAAAGGATGACTTTGAAGGATGACTTTGAGCAGAACACATGTAGGTCTCCAATGGGGCTTTCCATGGCTAGAAATTAGAATCCATTGTCAGTTTTGACTCACAACATTCTTTACTCTTGGTTCCCCATTGCTTCCTAGTTATAGCCTACACTGCAAGTCCTGGTTTGAATTCCGCCTTTCAGTCCAATGCCCAATTGTCACTCATTTCTTGGAGACTATTGTGGCTAAGCGGGCATATAGAGCTGAGAACGGTAAACTTTGGTAGAAACCCCCCTCTATTTTCCTGACTTTTCTGCGCTAGGCTGCGTCCGCACCAGAGGAAAAATCTTTTCTCTTCTGAGACCTTGGAGGCGGGCACAAATTGTATAAGTAACAGGCTTCCATAGTCCAGCCACTCAACTCATCAGCCTTGTCTCTGTTTGCCTCCCAGCCCAGACTAGGGTTTGCATTAGTCTGGATGGTTCGATGTAGGAGTTTGTTACCTAGCCAAAGGCAGTGTAATGTGGCCGGCTCCAGGTCACAAAGCCTATTTGGGAAACCTTCCCGCACTTAGCATTATTCGTTACAGAAAAGAAATTGGTCGGGGTGGAGATGTGGCCAGTAAGAACGCACATACAACTAGGTTAAGAGGCATGGCAGGTGCCAAACCGTACAACTTGATTCTTTTGTCCAACGGCTCCTGTCCTACCCCTTTCCAGGTTTGCTACAACAGGGATGCCTTCACATTTGTTTGTCTTCATCATTCGATGGCCTTAGCTTTGTAGGTCTTCTATGCCCCAGGACAGGTCGTCGGTAAGAACAGCTATTATCAGAAATTCAGACTTAACGAGGCGTACGAAGAGTGCAAGATGAATACTTGACATTGACTCAGACGAGATATGTATGTGATTACGCGGTACTGGCAGGTTGGCTTTAGGGGTACACAATAATTATAGGCGAAATACACATAAGACACGCGGTACAAACCTCCCTTTAAAGAAGCCGGAGATGCCACACGTAGCAATAGCAATAACCAGGCTATCGGTAACACTAACACACCGTACAGAGCCCTGTGGTCCTTGCTCAATGATCATTTCACACACCACTACCCGAAACCGTCCTGGCCCTTCGTTTCTGGGGGAAACTTATCTTTGAAAATCGACTGGCTTGCATGCTGGCCTGTGGCATGTTATACAGTGCTAGATGCGCACCTGACTGGGTGGCTTCGTGCGTCTCAACCACTTGACCGCCTTGGAACTGCTTTTCCCAATCCCACGGTTTTCCCGTCTCTAGATCAGCTGTGGCAGAATTTGCGTATCTGTAACACTTCATAATACCGGATCACCTGTTGGACTGTGTCTGCGAAACTTTCACAGTAGGACAGAACACCAGCTTCAATGACTTCCTATAATTATTCCTACAAAACTTCCCTTCATCATCCTCTTCCTCTTCATCTATTGTCGTCCCTTTTACAATTATTACTTACATATTCTTATTTTCACAAACCATTCGATATTTTAATATGCTGGATGCAGTGATTGCAGCCTATGTGGCTTTTGCCTACATAATTGCCATTACATTGATCGGACTATGGATGGCGCAACAATTGTTCTCCCATCGCGACTCTTCTACTATGGGGCCCTATAACTATCCCATCATGACTTGGTACACCGCGATGGCTATTATCTCCTCTTTAATCTACATCGCATTTGGTATCGCATTCCTTACTTGCACAATCCTCCACGGACAGACATGGGCAAATTGGTGTTGGAGATGGGCGATTATTGGGTCACTTTTCGACGTAAGTCTACTCGTGAAATTCATGACGGTCGAGCTAATTTGAGCAGTCATTGTTTGCGATAAGAAAGATCAAGACAGCCACCCAACAACCCCAGCTAGTTCTGGTGTTCTTATTCTCAATCGCCTTTGTGGAGACACTTTTGGTCATCATCAGCCCGGCAATTCCTACACCTGTCGTTGCCCGATATATTACTTTTGGCGCGATCATCTGCCACGTTCTCTGGACCTCTCTCTCAGCTTTATTCTTATTGCCCCCTGCACTATCACGATGCAAGATGGTTCGCTTGGGTGCAAGTGTAGGTCAGGGTCTTGGTGCTATAGCGTCAATCTGGACTCCATTGGGTTTTGTGGTTGTATGTATACTTCTTCCTCTTTCAGATCTTGACTAATAATTGCAGTTATTTTGCTCTTGTTCAATCATTGTGTATGTGGGAGAGCTCCACCAGTCTCGACAGCCCCTTTTGCCTATCGCCTCTACCAACATCCACTCAACATCCAAGAGCCGTCAGAAATACAAAATTGTCTTTTTCGGTCAAGGGGTAGAGAGAACTCAGTCACTACAGAAAGCGCTAAGCTGGCCACGGATAAGTCGAGATGCTGGTGGTTTGATCATGTATGAGCATCCCACGAGGAATGATACAACTCTCATCAGCGTGCATCCTAGGATCGAGGCGGAGACCGATGGATGGCAATACATGCGCTGCCTAATACGTGGGGCGACTGCTGTTGTGTTGGCGTTCAACTTAGGCAACCCGGAGTCCTTCAAGTACATCAAAGCACTGAAGGGTTTCCCTGAAGAGCAACCTGGGTTATTGGTTGGGTATCCAAATGCACAGGGGGAGTCTTTTGTCTCCGAAAAGGATGCCCAGGATCTGGCACGTGAGAAAGGATGGGGTTTCACCATGTCTAACGACGTGATACCGGCATTTGAGGATTTACTTGGCAAAATGTTCGCAAAGCCTCACCCAAAGGGTAGGCCTTGTTTGGTTTAACCATAGCGGCGGGCAATAGGGCGCCTAATATCCATAATAGTTATCTTTACAAACTACGTAGGCATTTCTATCTTCTGTCTTCGCTCTTATGGATGCTAGTGAGAGACAACAATAAAAAAAATCACAAATATTATTGGCACCTTCGTTATAATATGCACACACACTGCCTTCACTATTCAAAAGGTGCGTCTACACATAGGTACTCAAGGGTCCATGGTCACAGAGCTATTGACAAGAATCATAACCGTCAAGGAATAGGATTAAACTAACATGAATGGGCACTGAATGGGGTGCCATGGGTGTGTGCAATCGTGGTCCACAAGAAAATGTTGATTGCCCATGCAAATGATTCAAGTCACTGTGAGTAGATTGTTTGCTTGCATAAAGCTTTGACGCAGTTTGGAGTAGTACCCGGAGGCAAGAAACCATCTTCGGGTTGGCTTTCAGGTCCAGTGGGTGAAAATGTGTTCCCCTCACACATAAACTTGAACAACAACAACAACAACAACAGAGCACATTTGCTTGCTTGTCATGGATGTAATTACCCCCAAAGCAACCTGTAAAGGCATCTTTCAGATTAGAAAAGGCATCCAACCAGGTCTTTGTGTCGTTCTGTTCAAGATAATATGTGAGAAATACGTCCGAATCATGCCCCTTGATCATTGGTTTCTGTGATCCTCCAGAAAGAGATGCCGTAGCATGTACTACAAGGAAGGGTATGCGAGAAACCGATCATCCCTTACAGGACGATAGGGGTACCTAGCACCTATGTACAGGAACGCTAAGGCCAATGAAGCAACTACTAGAGAAGAAAAAGGGGAGGAATATGCACTAGCTGCGATGTTTCAGTATCCAAGTCCAACGCACTGGTTCAGAAGACAAATTTTCAGTAGAAAAGGACTAGTCAGAGGCTGGTAGGTGGATGAATATTTATCTTGTATAGAACCATTCTCTGTTTGTTTCTCCCTCGCTCCAGCTCACTGGAATATGGGAGACTGAGCTTGGATTTCCCAATACAAAAGGCAAGGAAGATAAATGTGCTAGGGAAGGAGAAGACCTAGTAAAGGCAGAAACAAATGTTTACAGCTCTTGACAGCAAAGAATAGTCACACATTACTTCGATACAAGTACAACCATGGCGTTTTTGCCCAGCATATGGGTAGTCTGCTGTATCCTCTAGCGATGTGGTCCACGTGCTCTACAGCAACTGTGCTAGGTGCTACGCGCCTTGGAAAAATCGGCAGTCTGGGAATTGGAATCAAGATTTGGTTTCTCACATCTTCTGGGGATTTTAATTTTGTCTGCAATGATCATTCAGTCCCTGCATGAATCTCTACAATAATAATTGCCATTATATACATCAAAGGGGCCATTGGAGAATAGGGGCACGTTGAATACAAAATGAGGTGTAGTATTCTGTGGACAAGAAATTTCGTTTCCATCAGAATGCTGAAACCTGGGAAGAAGCAACGGAAAGCACCTAGAGTATTTCTGAATGTCTGCTACAATTTATTTTGCCATGAACTCTAATCTAGGCTAATTTTGGTACTTAAAATACGCGGGTTAGACAATGCATTGAGTCTCACTATCACATTTCTGGCCGCTCAAGTATCTACCCAACCACCTATCACATTCATTCAGCCACCAGCAGATCGGCGGCAAAGTTGTTTATTTGTAATTATCTACAAGGGCAAGAGGATAGTACAAGACCACACAGCTCATGCTACTCGCGTGTTCCGTGATCGTACCAATAGTACAGTTGCTAGATATCTGAATATTTTCAATACTGATTGGTTAGAGATACCCTCCTCTTGAGCAGCGGGGATGAGGCATCGTTCTTTAGGGTTTCACCGTTCAAGGAGAATGGAGGTTAGCGACATTTATTGACAAACAGCTCTGGGCAGTACGATACACGACATTCGTGTTGCTCACATGTCTTTTGCCGTCAATTTTCATTACCATGCGTCCTGAGAACACGGCTGGGGTACTGTAGACAGCTGATTTGGCCTAGACTAACACCACAATGATTATCTCAAGGGAGGACAGCCTTAGATGGCCGCTGTCTCTTCGGGGCTGTATATGCATACCCGTGTTGCTCGTTAACTCACTCTCTTCACGACTCAGGGCTCTACTTGTCTGTGAAACGTTTTTCCCGTCGAGAAAGGGCACATCAGCGGTCTAAGCCAGTACGCGCGGTATCTGGTTCATTTGGTGCTTGATGGGCACACGCCGTGGGACACGGCCGCTAATTAGGGCTTGTTTTTGCAAGGAGCTAAGTGTGCGGCATATTGTTCAAAAATTTGCTCAACCTGGTTTCCTGAACGCGATCTAATCACACAACAAACCGGCCACGGAACATTTACGAAATCAACCTCATGTTACCTTCTGCTGAACGCCAGGTCTCGGTTGGAAAGGTTTCCTGAGAAATAGAAGCGCTTTGGATCACAGAGGAGTATCCAATCTGCTAGAAGATGCAGTCGATACGCTGTTTACATTCATTGCTGGAGTTTTGATGATGCTTCATTCAGCCCAGATCGAATCCTTCCCCGCCCTATATATCTAGTGTAAGTTATATCAGCGGAGTCTAACTCATAAGCCCCTTCTGGTATGTTGTTGATCCTAGAATTTGCTCCTATAGGCGTCAAAGGTGGTTGTATTCCAAACGTAGGACTGTCAAGATGACAAAATTAGGTTATTTTGTCAGTGTTTAGCATCCACGAGCGCAAGAGCACCCATTCGAATATTTACACATCTTATTAACAAGAAACTCTACAAAGGGAGAGTATCTAGTGTTTGCATGGTTCAGTGAATCTCCAAGAGGCTGGATTCTCGTGAAGCCTTGCGGAGTGCACGCAGGCGCGTCGGGGAGGAAGCACTTCTAACCAACGCTACACTAAGACAGCCTGATCTAACTATTCTAGTTACCTTCTTATCCCCATCCGAGAGACGTATACGAAAGACCATAATTCGCTACCTACCATTTTGCCACTCCCCCGGAACACAGGCCTTTATAGCCAGCCTCCCTCCTCCGACCCGACCATATCGAAGACAGCGTTCATCCTCCCCAAGTCGCCCATACTCAGGCCAATAAACATCGGGGGGAATCTATCGATGTTTTTGAACAGATGGCACGAGTCACAGCTGCCTCCGGGCGCAGAAAAGTTGGAATAAATACATGATCTAAGTACATCACGGACCCCTTGGTCTAATAGCAAGGAACGATATAGCCGGGGGTAAGATGACAGCTGTGAAGGCCTTAAGCCAGGCTAATGCGTGCTGGATGTTGTAGTTCTAGCCTGCAGTCAACTTCTGCAGCTAACGGCTTATACAAAATAAGCCCACATGCTAGTCATCTGGTTGTATATGGTAAATTCGGAGTTTTCCCCCTTTAGTTCCTTGCAGGCTTATCTTTTCAATGGGCTACAGCACCTAATCATAAGATCTACCTACCAGGAGCCTCGCTACCTAGGTACGTTTTACTTTTGATGGTGTTAAAGTAGGGTGTTGTAGTTCTGCCTGGGGTAATCTTGTAATAATGAGGCCCTACTACGGGATTTGCTGCTCTAGACTTCAGTTGAATTTGTTGGTTCTCAGCTCAAGGCGAAAAGCTCAGCACGATTATACTTTGAAAAGAGTATCGTTCCGCGATAACTACATTCAACGGGAAAGAACGCTGGAAGGAAATATCCGCTCAGCCAATGAATATCACAGAATAAATCGTTCAGAGTTCCAACTTCTCTAAAAGAATTCCCGACTCTGCCCCACGCCCTATATATCTGACCACCAGTTTCTATGAATTTTGGAATCGTGTACCAAGACCCAGACATTTCTTCTCCCACATAAGACCAGAGTGACAGTTCTGAGGGCTGGCCAATGTTTGTTAGGATATATAATATAATATAGGCGGCAAATACCTAAGCGTAAACAGAGCGTACTTACGTAAAAGGAATAGAGAAACTCTGCATCTTACCCGACTCTGCACAGTCTCGCTGGTTGTTTAGGCAAGCATCACGTATGTAAGACAGGTAAATCCAATGCAATGAACATATGAACACATCCATCCGGCCTCTGAGCTACCTATCCAGTGGCACACCTGTCCATTATATCATCTACATAAGCTGAGTATATGGCTTACACCAACCAAGCACTGCAAATACATGGGCAAGATAGAGTGGGAGAATACTTTTCGGAAAATATGTATGTTACAGCACTCTACCTATAACACTCCTCGAATAAGAACTCCCCCCGGTAAATGACACAGGTGACAATTCGCGTTCCAGCTTTTCCACTGCACACATTATCCAAGCCGTCATCTGTGTGGAAGTTCGTGCTGCGGTATGAAAGGTATGTATCCATATCCAGTGGGGTTCATGCTGTCATCAATCCCATTAAACCCCCCTGTATACAGCTCCAGCCCCTGCAGTTGCAGCTCACATGCAGAAGAGGGGTTCCCCGCCCCAGCCCGTCACACGCCCTCTAATTGGCCGATGGCCAGAACCCCCAACGCGAAAATTCGCGTCAGCAGGCGCCGAGCTACTGAGTACGCGCCGCGACGCCGCACGACACGGCGCCTACTATACAACCAACCCGCGTGGAAGGGTCAGAAACGATGCCCCGTCGAACAACCACACACCTCACGCTCGCCATCATCTAGACCATGTGCTTTGATATGTACGGCACTATTGTTTTCGCATTGTTTCTGCTATTAGTATAGTTACAATGGCATCACTAACAGTCCCCTTCCCCCCCAATGGCGCGTTATCATGCCGTGATAGGTAAGCTGCTTAGTTGAATGGCTGGTTGCGCCAAACCTTCCTCACGACAGCTTGTTGCGACTTACACATCTTGATTTCGGATGTTCTCCCCTTCCCCCACCCACCTCCGCTCCATTCGGTTCCGACATCTAAGCTCTTAGGACAGGTATTACATAGGACGAGATGACTCTTGCGTCAGCAGGAAAGGTAGCGAGAATTAGACTCGCAACACAAATGAAGTAGTGCCTAGCCAACCAGCTAGGAAAGCTCCAAAATATCGTAATGTAGAAGACATGAGAATCAAAAAACAAGAAAGGGAAAAAGTCATGCCTTTGACCGTTTAACTCCGTGCCTTGGTGTCCCTCTACCGTATTTCCTCCATGGTGACCAGAACACGAGCTAGTGAAAGCAGTTCTTTCAGCTCGTACCAGCGATATGGCGTGCCTGATCTGGCTAGAAAAACAAAAACAAAAAGGAAAAGTAACGGTGGCTCGGTGGCCGGTGGAAAATGTATGGCTGGCACCCGGGTGGGTGACAAGTAGAAGATATCAGTGGAAAAGGGGGGTCATTGATGCGTTTAGGGACACATCGTCAAAATTATTCTCGCAGGTAGTCGGTCGTAATCATAACACGAGCATGCATTATAATGCGGGCTCGTCAAATGTAAGTCGTCGCCGGGCTAAACCGAGCGGCGTCTTTGCCGTGGGTGTCTTAACTGTGGAGAAGGCCAGTGGTGTCTTCCAAGGCTTCTGCGCCGGGCTGGGCGTGATATTGACAAAGTCGGAGAAATCGAACGGCTGCCCTGGCGTGCTGGGAAATAGGTTTCCACCGCCCGGTGTGGTCATCATGGACGACGGCAGGGCCATATCTTTCCGTGGTGGCGGCGTGGATGGGGGTTCCATACGGGTTCTAGATCCAGACATAGCCGGTGAGGGCGACGTGGCTAGATACATCAGCAAGTCGGCCCCCTCTTCACCCGACTTTTCATTCGATGGCCCTCTTGCATCTCGGCCTCGACGGACGTTGGCGCTGCGGCTGCGCATAGGGGGTGTCCTAGGAGGAGACGACTGGCCGACCTGGAAGGAATGCACAGGTAATAAGTCGTCTTCGTCGCCTACCGAAGTGGCAAACGTAGGCGACGTCAAGTCTACCGAGGGCCGGCGAGTGCCCTGAAAAAAGGATACGTCTGGACCAGTGGAGGTAGTGAAATGTTGTCTTCGCGGCTTGATAGGCGAAGACTGTATTAGCTGGTGTTGTTTTCTCCATGAGTGGTGGTGGCTGGGGTTGTTGAAGGACTTGTGTAGAGTGGGAGAGGATCGGAATCGTTTGGTAGGGCTGGACATAGTCATGTCAAATGTTGCTGTATATGTACGTTTGCGATGCCCCGAGCTACCACTGCTCGAGGTGATTGCGTCGGAGAATAAAGGAGCCTTGAGTGGTGAGCTCATTAATGTTCTCGTGGGATAGGGGAGCTCGGATGTGCTCGAAGAGGAGTCAGAGAGAACATCGCCATCGCAAATGCGCCGACGACGCTCTTCTTCGACCTTGGGCTCTATAATGTCGAGGGTTAAGTCCTCCCAACCATGCTTTGTCTTGAACTGTGCCAGTGCCAAACGACCTTGGAGTTTGCGAGCGATCTATCGAGCGGAGAGGAAATGGTTTAGCCCTGTCTTATGTCATGTGAAGGTTTTCGGGAGTCATACCTTGCTAACTTCTACTCGCTTGAGCACTTTATCAGCGACAGCGTCTGGGTGTTTCTTCAAAGGCGACGACATTTTTCGTTTGTCTGGGTGAGAGTGCACCCTCAAAAGGACTGTTTGCCGATGTCGAGTACTTGAATGGTTATCAGGAATATAGAAAAAGACTGCCGAGAGCTGGTACAGGACTGATTGGGTCGGTTTGAGAGCCCCGGCGCTTGATGGCTTTGGCGAGGGGGTGGATTCGTTGGCTCGTGAACGGGTTGGTTGGCCGACGTTTTTGATCCTGGATAACGAGGCGCAATGAATCCCCTGCGACGTAAAAGAGAGTATGCAAAAAGAATGACAGAGCAACAATCGGACTGTCGAGTTGGTTGCGTCGAAAAGGTACGCCGAGGGGAGAGGAGAAGAAGACTTCTTCAGTTGCAGTCCTGGGATTCTCAGTCACAATGGGATGGAAGAAGTGTTGCTAGCAAGTCTTCGTAGCCAACAAGAAGACTGACCTACAGTGTGTGCTGGGAGCGCTAGCACGCTAACCTTGTCTGGTAACCTATTGGAACTGCCCATTCCTCTGACAACCGCTTATTCACCAATCGTCGTCATTAATTGACATTAACTGCCCATTTAAGCCTGAGCTCAGCGCCCTTGGAGCCCACTATAAGGTTGCCAAGAAGCCGCCTGGAAAGCCTGGAAAGGCTCTGATCAACCACTAAAATCCGCTATACAGTCGCCGTGCTGCAAGACATACCTTAAGAACTTAGCGGGTGCCGGCGTACAGGTACCCCCCCTTAGGTATCATAGGGAATGTAAGGCGCATTACACACGCTGGCTTCTACCCCCTTGAAGCTACATGGAGGCATATTGACCTCATTTCACCATTTACACAGCTGAGAGACCAACAGCCTTACTTAAGGCTGTGGTTATTATGCCACGAGGACCCTCAATACTGGCTAGTTGGAAATTCCTCAATGGACTCTTTGTTATCAATGAGAAGTTGAGAACTCCTACTCACATTTCCATACCTAGTTATTCTTTCTGCCCTTCTCCCTTTCCCACCACCCTATGCTTGCTCAATTGGGTGGATTTGCGAATGTCAAAGCGCAGCAATAATAACCGAAGAAAAAACATTTCATTAGCAAAAATATCATCAGCAAGGGATACACATATAAGATATAATTAGTAAGAATAAAGGAAAGGGAGTGTATTCACTCCTTTAATTGCCTGTCTTCCCTGACCGCTCATAAGGACCCATCATAAGGATATGTAGGTCTTAAACATATGTTTGGACGAAACAAAAGGCCGCTGTTTGTTCATAATTGTATACTGCTAGAGTGCCTTAAGAATGCTTATTCAGACGACTGAGTAATGTTCTTATGAGGGAGGTTGCGTGGTTGGCAAGTCGAGTCATGGTACGGGGTGGTCCGGCCGGGCAATTCAAACAAACCCAAGTTCATCCACAATTTTCTGCAAGCTCTTTACCTAGCAATAATGCTGAAAGAGTCTTAGGTCTGCCAAGCCATGCGTGTAGGTTGCCTATGGCGCTTCCAAGTGCAATGAGAATCGTTTTGATGGAGAGTTAGCCAGAAGAAGCCAATAGTTAAACATTTTGGTATCCAATCAAGCAACGTTTTGAGACTGAGATGTGCATCCTAGCTCATCGTCTAGTGCGACTGAGGTTAAAAGTAGGCGGGCGGCTGGTGGATTTCAACACTCTCTTTGGTGTATTGGATCTCTATGTTGGCTACGGTGTTGCGCTTGAACCATGTACATATCTTGGTGAATTAATACTGCTTGTAGAAGCCTGTTACCTGATCTCTGCCAGAGGGAAAATATGGTTTCATGGATATAACAAAATTCTCGAAACCACTTTGGCGTTGCTGATTTCACTGTCCGCCAGCCTTTACCCGCAATGAACGCATATAGGTGCCAGAATGGTTGTCAACTTGCGCTACTATTCGTTTTGAGTTGGCACGAGACAGACACTCTCCTCTGTAATGCTGGTATGTATATATGTACGCAAAGTGAACAGTCGCATTGACACCTCTAAAGTCTGCGACTACCTAATTGTTTTATCTAGACAACATGAACATTTATGCCCTTGTTGCCCTTGCCATGAGCTTTTGGATTTTCGGATATTTCACAGCCCTTTACGTAGCTGAGGTGTCTCAATGGTCCGATCTTGCTTACATTGAGTGTCGGCATACATATATGATTGAATTTTGGATTGTGGCAGATATTTTCCATTGCTCTGGAGGACCTAAGTATAGGATGCCTAATGTGTATCCTAGTCGCACCGCATTTCTCTGTCTTCACAAACCACACACCATCGAGCTCCCCTTGGCCATGTCCTCCCCGACGGCGTCATCTCCAGGCTCCACCCTACGATGCGCCTTTTTTCTCTCTTCTCCTAGGTACTACGTACAACGCTCCTACAACATATCTAAGGTTAGTACCTACTCCGTAGATGGGTACTACTAATGGAATAAGGCTCTAGGTACTTAAGTTTGATGAACCTTTGCTGCACACACAACTACCACTAGGCAATCGGGATATCCGACCTTCTGTGCTAACAAGGGACATTGGGTAGGATAATTTCTCCAAGGAAAGCCAAACAGATCTCGATCTGTTGGGTCGCTAGCCAACGGCATTCGATTCTCTGATACCGCCGTTACATAGTGCACACTACTCTATACACTACGGCATTTAGTCGGATATGCTATTTCGAACATCCATGCTCCAAAAAAACCAACATTAATAAGAACAACCCTGCTGCGACACAATGATCTCTGTTCGGAGTACGTGTTTGATCCAATATCCAGGTGGGTGATCAGCGTGCCTTATCGCTCTTTCTCGCCCTCTCTCTTTTTTTCCCTTTGGTGGATGGTTGGTTGGTGTCCTACTTACGTAGGTACTTATCTAGTGTCTGTCTGTCCTTGTTAAGCAAAATCTTCCAAGCATATTATGATTGGGCCTTTGTCCCGCGCGTTGCTCGCTTTTACAGAATGGTGTGAGCTGAATTGTTCCCTCTCCACGCCCAGGGCAGTACCTCACTGGGCCATTGTTTTCTATCTACCCCGAGGTAGGTTGTGGTGTGTGTCTTTGAATCCGAGTTGCTGCTACCTTCCAGACAACGACATGTTCGTATTTCCTTACTGTAGGTGGGCCGAGCGAGGTGTGTTTTGTACCTGGGTGTTACTGCTGTGGTCTAGACGCACGAGATACTTACCCACAGTACGCTACTCCTGCACTAACCTAGGTACCCGTACTGTGCCAAGAGGCATGCGAATAACCAGCAGAGACCAGCAGTAAGTACCTCTAGGTAGCCACCTAGGTAGCTTAGAGGGAGGTGAGTCTTGAAGATACTAAGCCAATTATAGGAGGTCAGCTACCTATACATAAGTATAGGTACTCTCCACAGGCTGCTCCTTTGTTTTATTGGCTATTCTAGCCCATTTTCCATCATGTCAACTTGTCTCCTGCTGCCATACAAAGTAATCCATACAGTACTGTACTGGTAGGTGCATACTTGGTGATAAGTAAGTACATATGTAGGTATGGTTGGTAATTGTAGCGTGCCCATCTGCCAAATGGGAACTGACTTTGAAACTTGGTGCAACCCACCTGGCTGCGGTTCCTTGGTGCCTTGATACCAGATACGGATATCCAAGACGTCATCACCAGCCTTCCCGTGGCCTTCTTCCTTGGCACCGTTGCTGCCAGCTTTGCTCTCTACCTATTTCTCTATCTATCCCTCTATCTATCTCCCAGATCGGAGCTTGGGTATGGGTAGGTACGCCTTGGCATGAACGTACGTAGGTAGTAGGATTGAGTAACTCTCGGCTCTTTGAGCTCAAAGCTCTTTGAAATTGCCTAGGTAGATTGACATGTTACCGCAGCTGCATGCTGTTATTTTGTAAGTACATGCCTACCTACCTATCTACATACATACATATGTAGTAATGTATGCACATGCTGTAAGCAGGTAGGTAGAAACACACAAGGTACCTACCGGTAGTAGGCATGTCTACACTGTATATACAAAGAGGTATACAACAATTACATCCCACATGGTACATAGATAGATAGTATACCACATGTATCTCCCTACTGTGCGATGCGTGTACTATCGGTATGCTATGTATAGCACGGTACTCGCATGGTACACTGCACCTACCCCCTGCCCGCTGTGGCCCACACACATGTCATTACCCGTATTCTAACTTGGAAGCTTACATGGCAAAAACACCTGCTTGCTGCCCGGCTGCGCAGTTCAACTGATCGACAGCTCCACAATCCTGGCTTCCTATCCCATCCTATCCGCACCAGGAAATAGGTCAGTTGTCTATCTGGCGCCATTGTCGTTCCTGGGTGGGCAACGTAGTCAGTCAGTCAGTCTGGTCCGTCTTCCTTCCCGGCCATCATGGTCGTCTGCGTCTTTGCTGGCTATTGAATTGAGCCAGCTTAATTTTTTCTCCTGCCGCTCATTGCATACCCACCTCCTAGTGTACTAAAACGCAAACTCGCCATCATCGTTGTTGTGGCTGTGGTCTACATTGTCTCTTTCACTCCCTTTTCTACACCCGTCACACCTGTGACATGTTCCTCGCATATTAGACTTGTTGATAACACATGACTTGTCCATACCAGTCCGCATACTACGAGCCCTTGGCCAGCCTGTCCAGCCTGTCCAGCCTTAATCCTTAGTCGCTCGTTTGTTTGTCCTCAGCCGTCCTAGGGAGTTACTCCTGAAGCTTGGTCAGCTCCTAGTCACATCAAGAGCGCCTGATAAAGCTTTGTTGTAAACGGCATGTCCAAGTGAGCTTGTGTGCATTGCTGCTCTTGTTGTGCTTGTGTGGTGGGGGGGTGTTGTCGCCAGGGACAATAATCGGTTGTACTGGAAGGGTGGTTCCCCGCGACTCGACATTTTGACCACATATTGCTGCGCAACGGGAGTCAACAATAACTCCGCCTGTGCCCTTGGTGCTCTGTTTGTAGCCATCTGTTACCACCACTTTTGAGCATCACAGGCTGGAATTTGCACACCCGGCTCTCTCGTTTCTGTTTTCTCTTGTGCAGTTCTTGTTAATGCCACCGGCATTCCATTATCCTCCCATTCACTTCCCTTTCCTCACCAGCAAGCTCTCGGTTACAGATCAGCCATAATGGCACCTAAATTCAATTTGAAGCAGATTAGAAGGCGTTCACTCGCAAGCTTCCGAACCAGTCGATCAACCGATACCTCAAGTAACGATGAACCGTCAAGTTCGAGTCAGGAGTTGTCTTCGGTAGGATCTATCACACCCCCTTCCCTCGCCGATGAATCTGAATCCGACCCTGCCCTCCATACCCATATCCCTACCTTGACGAGACCGCCACTCGAGTCGAACAACAACCGGTTTAGTATCGTGGAGAGTGTTGCGTCCGAACATCGCTCAACTAAAGACCTTCAGGATCAATTGCAACATAATCAGTCTCTGTCGCAGTATGCGCCACAGGTGACCAACATTCAAGATAAAGCTACTGTAGGTCACATAACTTTTATATCCCACTTTGTGGCGCGCTGTACCCCGGATGTACCCCGCCGACACCTTGCATATTGTCTTTATAGTTCGCGTAACCCGTATATTGTGATTGGGATGTGTGGCTTGTGCTCACAGCTGCTTAGGTCTACCAAAAGGTTCTGCTTGTGACGGGTGTTGTTGGACAGGATGCCAATCCCCAGATCGATGGCACCCTCCTTGTATCCCGTCCCGACAAGGCTTTCCCGTCTACTATCTGGCCAGTGTACGGTGGACAATTCAAGGCTCTTGTTTATCTTCTCCCCGGACCGAACACGGTTTGCTTCGAATTTCAAAAGCCCGGATCCCCAACACGCCATCGCGCAAGCATTGTTCTTTATATGTTCGACCCAAAAAATGCCCCGCCACTACAGCTTGCAGTCTTGGTAGCCAAAGACTCACCTTACGCATTTGATCAAGTACCCACAAACAACAGTGGAGAGGATCATAGTTTGGAAAAAGCAGTCAGCAAGTTTCGTACGGCTGCGTATCTTTGGCAATCATTTACTGCGGAACAGATGGAGAAGAACGATTTAGGCCGGCGTACATTTCGCTTTGACGAAGAATGGACAAATGGCACCAGCCACCCTCGTGATTTTTTTGAATCCACCATGCGTTCTGAAGCTCGAGTCCATATAGTACGAATGGATATGACTGTTGCTGAGATTCATGATCTCGCAAGTGCTCAACAGATTAATGGTACTTCGGAGAAGAATCAGCTTGTGAGCATGGCTGCAGCAGCATTGAGAGATTATTTCCGCATGGCACCCGGCCAAAAACAGTATGTCGCATCTCTCATCTTAGATTCGCACTGGGATATGAAGGAGAAGGTGATTAAGGGTCACACGGCTTTCGGAGGACAGGTTGGAGACGACCTGCATTTAGCTATATTCGGATCACACTTCCTTAACTATTACCCCTCCACGATTTCTGAGGCTGTTAAAGCATTTAGGGATTGCTCACCAACGGAGTTGAAGATTCACGTGGACGAGGGCAATGTTGCAGGTACTTCGTGGGAGGCTGCGGCCTATGGCATTGGTGCACACCTTCGTGAGGTGGGCCACTTGCTGGGCTCCCCTCGCCAGGAGAAGGGTATTATGGCAGGGGATTTCATTACTGTAAGCCGTGCTTTCTTAGTAAGAGAAGCCTATTCAACACGGACAAAGTCGAAGGGCGGGCCAGTTGAATCGAAAGATGAACCTGCCTGGCATAGGTTAGACGTTTTGGGGTACCGATTCCATCCTCTGTTCCGGAACACTACCGACAAGATTCCGTATCCGGATGGAACCGTCCATGGATGGGTTGTGGCGAAGGACAAACTGCTCGTTACAGCAAGTTCTGGACTACTTTGTGCAGAAATCTTCACGGAAGGCGATGAATTTTGCAGCACCTGGGTCGAATATCCCCGCGACGGACAGATGATAAGACGCACTACTCTGATAGAGCCAGAGCTACGCGAACGCCTGCCCGAAAGCAAACGCCGTTCCAAGATGACAGTCATTGTCAGATCCATGGGTGGAGGAGCATTGGTTATTGACGATCTTCGCCAATTATGTGCCAATTCAACTCTTAAGCTGACTTCAGGCCCCCTAGCCAAGTTGGCATACCGGAGCATGAAGATTGGCCCCTCGGAGTTGAAAGACAGCGAGCCCCAGGAGGTTATCTTCAGTACCGCGATAGCTAGTGTCAACCGTATCATGACTAGTGTGACTATCTATCACGACAATGCGGTGTATGGACTTGAGTTTCACTATGAGGATGGGTCAAGTCAGCTGTTCGGCAAGCGAGGTGGCAATGCGGCTGGTGACAGGTTCATTATGGGTCAGTTCCTATTCCAGCTCCTCCCCATACCAAGCGACCTAGCTAATTAGTACAGATATCCGCAATGCTGAAGTTCTAGTAGGCTTTGCCGTCCGAGCTGGATCGTGGATCGATGCCATCCAAATCATCACGAGCACGTCACGAAGATCGAACATCTATGGCAAGATGGATGGCGGATCGTTGTAAGTTCTCACCTATGCATCGCAATCTAGCTGTCCTCAATCCTAATGGTCACTCAAGGCATACTTTGCTCGTACCTAATGGCTTCAAGCTCTGTGGAGTGTCCGGAAGCTGCGCAGATTGGCTCAACAGTTTTTCTCTTCTCATCACCAAATGAAGAAGATTTTTGACGGAGTAATGATAAGAGTGTACATTGGACCACATATTTGTCACTCTTCCATGAGATAGATATCGAAAGGAAGCTATACTGCTAATAGGGGACTGAGACGAGAGACGAGGAAATCGTCCCTGTAAAAACTACGAGTAATTTCCATCAGGTTCATGATTGGGGTTAATCAAGGTCATGTCAACGGAATACCCGCAACTTTGAAGGGCTGCATGTCGGAGCATGAGCATTTCGGCGTTTACAAGGATTGTCTAGGTTTTGTGTCGGCAACGTTGTCTGGCCAAGGAATGCTTGTACATAGGAAGTCAGCCAGTCAACCAGGCCACGCAACAAATACACATAGAGGGGAATCCTCTTTCGACCAAGATATGACAAGCAACGCTCTCATTCTGTATAGAATTGATAACATCTTGGAAACGGCAAGGGATACGGTAAGTCTAGTAACTGAGATGCAGCATGCGTAGGTAGTAAATTTTTCCACAGTCTACTCGCCAATTAGGGATAAGTCTAGATGCGTACAGAGGATACCACATGTATTTACTTCCATGACAAGTATCAGGCGAATGATCTCTAGGAAGTTTGGGCGCAGTCATCCACCGTGCGCCATAGTAGCGGTAGCACTGTAGCAGCACATAGCACAGCGTTCTGTGACCAAATCAAGGTTGGAGGCAGGCTATGATTAGCGATACCTAGGCTGAAAGACAGGCTAACCTAACGCTTCCCAAGGCGGCTAAAGCAGTCGGACCCACGTAACCTGAAAATGACTTCATCGAACCTCTCAAGAGCTGTCGGGGGGGGCAAGCCGACGTACGCGCCCGACGGCCTTCAACCTGCTCCTTTGTACTGTCTTGCAACTGCCGCCCTGATTCCTATTTCAAACAAATCGCGACAACGAAGAAAAACCAAAGACTATACTATTCATTCCACTATCCTTTACATAACCGTGGCTACGAGAGATACCTACTGAGACGCAACCTATTCTGCTACCGCTCTGTTCTGTTGACGAGCCTTCCTCCCCTCCTGCGCTGCGCCACCTATCCTAACACGACACAACACAACCAGCGCAAAGCAAGACACCGTCAGCGGCATTGTAAAGAAGTATTCACACGAGAGCAGACACGGAGAAGTCATCGTCAGCAGCAGCGATCATGTCGAAACGAACCAGTGTATCGAGCAATGGCGGTGCGCTCAAGGCGGGTGCTGGAAACGAGCCCTGTACGTGAAATAATGCCTGGTCATGTCTCCTGGGAAATAGGCTGCTAACGTCTGGATGTAGCCTACGATAAACAGAAGGACCTCCTCGCCTCGACTACCGGCCACTTCTCACTCTTGCGAGCTCTTCACATGGCAGACTACATTACTGAGTTGAATGGTATGTTCTCCTTATCATTGGTCCCCCCCTTCGATTCCACTTCCAACGCGCGAAGGCAGAGGCTCTCCTAGTAGCTTGCGATGCTATTCTGCATACCCTCAAAGTTTCTCTCCTAGAATACTACCAAGCAACTTGATCAACTGGCTGACATTCTTATACTGCTCTTAGGTGCCTGTGGCATTCTATCAGTATTCTCTTCTCTACGGTACTGTCTTGGTGATCCTTCAGACAAGAGCAACCTGTACCTCGCGCTCGCCTTTCTCCCCTTCGGTCTCTTCTTCGACTTTATGGACGGACGCGTTGCGCGATGGCGCAAGAAGAGCAGCATGATGGGACAGGAGCTGGACTCGCTAGCTGATCTCGTACGTGCTCACTATCCAAAACGCCCTGTTGCGGGAATTCGTATCCAGCTACAAGCGATCATCCTGAGATCTTACGCAACCATGGATAAAAATGCACAGCACACATGTTCAATGGTGGACAAAGCCTCGCTAACGAACATCAACAGATATCCTTCGGTCTAGCTCCTGCCTGCGTAGCCTTCAGCATCGGCCTGCGCACAACTCTTGACCACGTTTGCCTCGTAGTCTTTGTACTCTGCGGTCTCACGCGTCTCGCTCGCTTCAACGTCACGGCGGCCAACATCCCCAAGGACGCCACGGGTAAGGCGAGCTACTTCGAGGGTACGCCCATCCCGACGACACTAGGCCTCGACGCCCTCATGGCGTGGTGGGTCTCGCAGGACCGCATCCTCACCAACGTCCCCGGCGGCGTCTGGTTCGCCGGCTCCGCGCTCGAGGTCCACCCTGTGGTGCTCCTATTCCTCGTCCACGGGTGTCTCATGTGCAGCAAGAGTCTGCATGTGCCGAAGCCCTAAGTGGACAGTTATCATAGCAACCAAGTCGCAAAATAACGAAGTTGAGTGGGGGGGCAAGTCATCTTATAGGATGAGCGAAAAGCCTTAGTTTCGGATGGGTAATAGTGCTTCCAAGGTTCGAAAAAATTGGATTCGGTAGGCTGGAGAGGTATACCTGTCGGACAAGTCTACCTAGTATATCTTATGATACCAGGGCCAGGCGTTTGTGTGCTAGGTTTACATATCACCACCAATGCATTGATGGGTCTTTCCCCCCCTTTCTCAACGATTGTCTCTATGAGGGAAGAGGGAGAGAGGGAGAGGGGATACACGAGTTTACGCTTTTTATTTTGTAAAGGTTATTAGAGGATGTTTGCACATGCACCATATAAAAGAACTGTCTTTGCTGTTCTTTCTTCTGCTATGATGATTTCGCTTCGTTGTACAGGTTTGACATCGTGAGTGGACTGGACTTTTTATGTCTGTCTGTCAATAGCTGCTGGTCTAAAGGTGAATATTATCGTAGTTGAAGTTGTAATAGCAGCCTGTATTCTCTTCATTGCTGCTCATGGGGGTGTGAAAGCTGCTGAGTTTATTGAGTCCCATCGTCCCTCCATGTCTATACGTGGTGTATGTGATATCGTAGACACCAGGCTGCATGTGGCTCGAGCACATTCGGCTTTCCTGGCTTTGTGTTTGCTAGAGCTAGGAATACTGTGCTTAGGATGTTATTTACATATGTGGACGACCTTGGCACTTTAATACTATCCTCTCCTGGAGCCCCTGCTAACTATTTGAAAGCCGCGTCCCACAATTTCAGCTGATATTGTCCGTCTTCTGAATCAGCTGGCGCAAGACCCCCTTCTCGGCTAGAATCCGTACCCAATGGTGTATGGCAGGCGTGTAATCCTGGCCCCGCGCGCGAAACTTCTCGACGGCTTCGGCGATAGTGGCTTCCTCGATGATATACATCTTCTCCAGCTCTTCTTGCTCATCACGAAGCTCGTTGGCCAACATCTTGGCATCGGTCATATTGAAGCCTGGGTCGTTAACGCGGGCATCGAAGGAAGGATGCAACGTGAACTGCTTGAGGATCTTATCTTGTGTCAGATCGAAACGTACGAGCCGAGTATCGGGGAAGTCGGCCCATGGCGATGGGCCATCCCACGACGCACTACCGGTGATCATATCGTCCAGGGCCTTGGCCTGAACAAGGGTAGTCGCAAGTTGTCCGGATAGAGTTAGCAAGGGGGACTGGCAGATAGCAAGCAAGTTGTATGTGAGAAACTCTGTGTTTTGGCGCTCCATGTGCTTAACTATGGCGTCGCTTGCAATCGCAAGCCAGTCACGATTCTTGTAATTTCCTGTGGTGATTCAAAGAATTAATGGATTGGTAGTGTAGGGGGAGGAATAGTCAAGCTAGATGGGACGTACCGAGGCAAAGCGGCATGGTTTCTAGACCATCGAGCTCCCACACCTGGCCGTCCACGGGGACGAACGCAATGTAATGATAGCTGTCAGAGTCGGAGTTAGATTTAAAGGATCTCTTTCTCTTCTTCTTTGGAGGCGCTTTCTTCCTTTTGCTAGCGTCCGTGAACTTGTTCTCAAGTAACAAGTCTTCATTGAGTAGGTCGCTTCGGCTAGATAGAGAAAGAATTAGAGTAAGAAAGTGACGAACAGTCCTTGCCAGTAAGACTTACCGCGCAACGGAATTGTGGATTGCACGGATGAAATCATTCGTGTCCAGAGCATGACCGCGATGAGGTGGACGAAGTAGCTTTGTCTCATTTCTAAACTTTTCTAGCTCTGCGCCGATTTCGACGGCGTGCACGTTCATGATGATGTTCATCAGCGCGACAGTAGCACAAGCGTTCGTAGTTGTCTAGTAACTGATCAGGTTTGAGCCAGTATAGCAAGGGCAAGTGCGCAAGATACCTGATTACCAAACCACAAGTTCTCAGGGCTGTCTTGGCGAGCTTCGCTCGCCTCATCTTCACTGGTCCATTCTTCTAGGAAGATAAGGCCGTAAACAGGTTGCCTAACTGTATCAGCGGTGTCTTTGACTTCATAGTAGAGGTGGCACGCAAGCTTACGGGAGATCTGCCAGTGTCACCTGGTCAAGCGCGAAAACCTCCTCAACATGAAGTGTCTTTGCGCCAAGAAATTGGAGCATCGCGTTGAAAAATGCCTTGTAGCACCGATTAATGGTGATGAACAGAACAGATGGGTTGCCAAGAGTTGAGAAGACTGGGGAACTTACTGGTTCGGACTCCAGTTCAACCCAGCCATGATACTCTTTACGCTCATCAATATCCATTCTTGCAAATATCTCCTCGTGAAGTGAGGAGACATCCTCAGGCGCAATCTGGTCTCTAACAGCCTGTGCTGCTCTTCGCTTGGGCCTCTCGGGTATGGCTGCACCATGGGCTGTACCATTGGCTGTACCATTGGCTGTACCATTGGCTGTACCATTGGCTGTACCATTGGCTGTACCATTGGCTGTACCATTGGCTGTACCATTAGTCTGGCTGAGTTTCCTCGAAGGGAGTAGGCGCTCCTCATCATACTTCTGAGGGGCCTTTTTAGACCTAGAGGATCGACGAATGCTGTTAGTCATAGGGACATCGACATGTTGAACAATTGCCGCCTCTGTGCCGTCCCGCCCCATTGTGATTCTGGATATGTACGAAGAATATGTGCTATTATGGTGTCGTTGGATCAGCTGCACAGTTTGGGGTTCTGAGGTTTATATCACGCTGTTTGTTGTTATTCGCGTATGAAATCTTGCTATTCGCCTAGTCAACAGCACTTATCAACGGTTGTCACCTTCCTTTGCCTGAGGTGTGGGAGGAGCGTTGTTCTTTTCACAACCTTAATAAGGCTTTAAAGAGCCAACATAAGTAGCAAGGGAGGTGTGGTCAGGTGAACTCCACAACCTTCGGTCAAGATGCCTTGATAAGGTGCAGGCGCAGGCGGGGTTGAAAAGAATGAAGCCTCCACAAGACAAAAAGGTCGACATGTACGTTTAAGCGCTTTTCTCTAGGGTTCAAATATTACTGACAGGCCGAAAAGCAGAGGACCTTCGCGTAGTCTATGGTATTTCGTCGTGTATCTCGCGCTTGTGTGCGCTTAAAGTGGCATTGCCGATTACTTAGATAGGTAGTCTCGGTAGTATAATGGCACACATGGTGATACAAGCGCCGGGCTACGGCTTACGTATGCATATTAGCTAGATAGAACTGTAGGTAGGTAGAGTCGCAAATGATCCTCTCCTCTCCCATCCCCCCTAGACATCTTAAAGAACGTTCAAGCAGATAGGGCAGGTTTCCAGGGTGAGGCAACAAAGATGTACCAGCAGAATGACATACCATGCAACATGCATATACATTGCTCTAGGCTAAACTCAAGACAAGGCTTCTTTTCGGGTTTAGGTCAGGAGCAAAGCATAGTTAATACCTAATCTCAAAATGTCTCTGATTATCTAGGTACCGAACTCCTGGTTGCTTGTTGGCGCATCCGTTGAAATGATGGTCACGATGATGACGATGACAATCGATGACCTGACTCGATGATGAAAGCAGAAAGGGAAAGACAATTCACGAATTGCTCATTATCAAGATCCCCTTTTAGACCACTAGGAGAGAGTCAAATGAGGCAACTTTCAAGCCGCCTACCTATCTTACCAAGTATGTACACCTGCCAAAGTACCTAGTAACCATTAGGTAGGTATGTACATAGATAGGTACAGTACAATCATCGAAGTACCTACCTAATCTTTCAGGTCCCAGGCACAACTCTGGAAGCTGGTAGCTTCCAAGTACGTACGGTAGGTGCATAATTAGGTACTGGTAGCTTGACAGCTCTACAGTGGATACTTTACATACAAGTACCTGTACGAAGGAAGTACTTACCTTCGGTACACTGCAGATAGAAAAGGTGGGGATGGTGTGGAGGTGGCTCACGCTGTCTGCGCTTCCATCTGCGCAATGGCCGTCGCCAGCTGTCCTTTCTATGCTTGACGCGCGCCGCGCGATGAGCCCACCACAGCAGCACTGGAGCAAGCACTACCTAGAGTAAACTAACCGTAGGTGGTAATGTGAGGTATCATCATTTATTTACAAAAAGTTCTGTCTGTTTGGATACTACCACGACGACGACCACCACAACAACCAACTGTCCCGCTGCTGCGCGGTCGCGTTATAATCCCATTCCATTCCAACGCATCATCTCAGGCGACTTCAACCCGCTTCATCTTCCCACCAGCGCCTCGGTGTCGCTCGCGTATCCCGCAGTCTTCACTTGCCCATGGTCTCGCACCACCGCCCTCACCAGCACCGTCACGGAATGCCATGAACGCAACACCGCGTGGCCGTGTAGGCGGCTTTCCAGATACCCCCGCCCAGAATGCCAGCAGACAGAGGGGCCCTCTGCCTCAAGCTCCCGAAACTCAGACCCCAACTTCTCCCGACATCCAGCCCTTGGTCCCTCTTGCTGTGATCGACGCCCCTACTCAGCGTTTCTATGCAGCTGCCATCTACGTCGCCCTGTGCGCATGGCGTTTATACGACTATGTCCAGGTCCAGGACAATGGCGCCCACGCCTCGTACTTCTTCAAGTGGGCCTTTATCGATGCTGTATACCTCTTCTCCCTGCCTCACTTCCGGATACCTTGGCTAGAGCTGTCGTCTGAATTCGTCCTTGGGGCTTTCTTGGTTACCGTTGTCTGCGACTGGTGGTTAATGTACAACATCCCGCTGCCGTTTCAAGGCTGGCTGCTTGCTGTGCTTAAGGTCTTCTATGACAAGGAGCTGGCCATATCTGAGCACAATGTCAAGCTCTCGAATATTCTACACAACTCGTCACTCATTATGGGCAAGCAGATCATCAATATTCTACCCGAAGGGTATGAAACCCCTCAAATCATCGTGGCACTAGCGTATATGCTGACTAGCTTGACTTTGCAGATCTGCTTTCCTGAACCCAGAGCGTCACCCCTACTGTCTTAGTCCTGATCACCCGATAGCTACTGTTCCGCTCTTCTTCAACGCCACTGTACCCATTGAGGTGGAGCTTGTTCGCTACGATCTCGAGACCAATGCTCCAGAGATAGTTAAGCTTGGGCGTAGAGACATCAAAGAGATCACCAAGCAGTCAGCTTCCTGCATGGAGGACGGATTGGTGACAACGTATAAGTATGATGTGACCTTGAAGAAGCCGGGTGCATATCGACTACATAAAGTCTTGGATGAATACAAGTTAGAGGTGCAACGGCTCACACAGCCTACTTACATTGTACCCTGTCCTAAAGCGAGGGTCCGCTCTGCTGAATCATCAACCCGCTGCCTTGGAGACCTGTCCAATCTATCACTAGAAGTAGAAGGTACACCGCCCTTAAAAATCTACTATAGTCGGACCATCAACGGCAAAGACCACAGTTTCCATTTCCAGAGTCTTCAGCCCGAAGGTTTTACCTCCCCCTTGCTTAGCTCACAGACTTCTGTCAGCTTGATGCTCTCTCCGGACGCCGATTTTACTTGGGCCCGAGCCCAGAAAGTGCCTGTCGGGCTCAATGAGTCCATGAACAACGCTGGTGAATGGCGATACTCGGTTGACCAGGTGCATGATGCTTTTGGTAATCAGGTATCCTATGAACAAGCGGAGGACCAAGAGCCAAAGCCAAAGCCAAAGAATTTATATCAAAATTTTGTTGTCCGAGAACGCCCTCGTGCTACTCTCGTGGGTTGCGACCCTCGTAATCACCTTAAGGTTGCCAAGGGGATGTCCACAGAACTTCCTATCAAGATTGGCTATCCTGGGAAGGCGCTGGAGAGCGTACCACACACCCTGACATGGCATTTTTCTCCTATCGATACCCTCACCAAGAGTGGCGATCATGGCGATGTTGTTGAGGTTGGTTCATTTACCACGAAAGGTGCGAATGATAAGCCGACGATCTCAGAGCCTGGCCTTTACACATTGAAGTCTATCTCTTGTGACTCATGTGAAGGTGAGATTGAAGAGCCGTCTTCATGCTTGCTGCTCAATCCCCTACAGCCCACTTTGGCATTACATGCTACAGAGATTCCCGATAACTGCGCCGGCAACCCCATAGGTCTCAATGTCGACATGGATTTAGTTGGTACACCTCCATTTATCGTCTCGTATGAAGTTATTAAGGGACAAGAAACCCGGAAAGAAAGTGTTAAAATTCCCAGTCTTCGACACCAGCTTCAGCTTCTACCACGTGACGCGGGGTACTATGAATATCGATTTACGGCAGTCCGTGACGCTGTTTATAATATACGTCTTCCTTCAACACATAAGTTTCGCTTAGAGCAACACGTCAAACCTCCTGCAACCGCCTTCTTTACACGTGGTAGAGGCCCACTAAGCGCTTGCCTAGACGAAGAGAAAACATTGGATGTCGACTTACGCGGGGACGGTCCTTTCAACTTAGAATGGGAACTTGTTCATGATGGGAAACGGAAGTCTGAAAAAGCAACTGATATTTCCAGTGACAGTTTCACCATTCAAACACCCAAATTATCTGCTGGTGGCGATTACACGCTTGCTCTAAAGAGCATACAGGATAAGTCAGGCTGCAAAGTCTTCCTCCAAGAAGAAGTAAAGATATCCGTTAGGCGTCAAAAACCACGAGCCGCTTTCGGGTTGCTAGAAAACAAAAGATCAACTACAGTTGTTGAAGCAGCCCAGTTTAACATACCCTTGAAGCTGTCGGGAGATGCTCCTTGGCAGGTGTCGTACCGGAATCTGAACAGTTCCACTGGAACCCAAGTACGCAAAGCCCAATCCGCCAATGATTTCATTCCCGCTACAGAACCAGGTATATACGAGATTGTCCATGTGCAAGATACGCAGTGTCTTGGTAGTGTTGATCCAAAGGCCAAGGCCTTTGAGTTGAAGTGGTTCCCCCGCCCCGAGCTTTCTCTGGTCCCCGCCGACTCTATTCAAGCTACGGATCAGAAACACAGGTTCGTCAAGAAGGATATATGTGAAGGTGATGTTGACGGATTTGAGGTTGCTCTTCGAGGTAAGTCAAGATACTTGAATTATATAACTGTCTTTCTTACACCGCTGCAGGATCTCCACCCTATCATGTCCAATATGAAGTGCGTGCGAAGCCAAAGACAGGTTCCGTTTCGGTTGCTAGGAAGGATTTTGATGCTGTCTTGAGTAAGGCATCCGTGCAAATGGACACAGCCAAGGCAGGCATCTACTCTTACACATTCTCGGCTCTTTCTGATAATCTTTACAACAATGATAAACGGCAACCGGCGCCTCTTACTCTCGAACAGACCGTGCACCCTAAACCTATGGCTTCCTTTGCCAAACCTGGCCAGACCTTCAAAGCGTGTATGGCCGATGAAGTTGACCAACTGATACCCGTTAAGCTGGAGGGTAAGGCGCCGTTCTTCCTCGAACTTGAGATCAGGCATCAGTCAGGCAATTTTCCAGAGATACACAGAATACCCAACATTCAGTCTAATGCCTACAATGTCCAAATCCCTCGCGAAAAATTAAAGCTAGGTGCCCAACAAATCCGAATACGCAAGGTGCGCGACGATCGTGGCTGCCAGTATGAAGTTGAAGTTGGCGGGCCTGTTGTGCATTTCCAGTTATACGATTCTCCTGCAATCTACCCCCTGGAACAAAGGACGGACTACTGTGTGGGTGAGCGCATAGGCTACACCCTCTCGGGAACGCCACCCTTTGAAATTAACTATCAATTTGGTGGGAAGAACATGAGAGCAAAGTCGCAGACAACTAGCTTCCGGCGCGTCGCTGAGTCACCGGGTGAATTCACAATCACGAGCATACGCGACAAGGCGAGCGAATGTCGTGCTATGGTAGACCTCACGCGGTCAATACACCCCATGCCTGCTGTCCGGATCAGCAAGGGTCGCGTGGTGCAAGTTGATATCCATGAAGGTAGCGAAGTGGAGATTCTCTTTGATTTTGAGGGTACACCACCCTTTGAATTCACGTATACCCGGAGTACAAACGCCAAGAAAGGGCAGAAGAGTCAGGTCATCGAAACAAAGCATGATGTTAGCGAAGGCTATAGCAAGGTCATTATGGCTAGTCTCGAGGGTACATACCAGGTTGTCGCCATTAGGGATAAGTACTGTGCATATTCGACTGCACAAGTGGATGGTACAGATAAAGGTCAGAAGAAGCTAGGATACTAAAGGGTGAAATTTGAAATTGTAGTTGGGCCATCTTGAACATTAAGAGCATGGGATCGTTGTCGTTGCTGTTGATAGAACAGCATATTTGAACTCGCTGGCTTAAGTGGAAGTCGGGAAGGTCGCCCGGCTAATTTGCATGAGCATGGCGTTATCGGTAGGGCAATTCATACAAAGCATCTTTTTTTCCAGAGTTGGGCGATAGGCGGGATTGTCACCGTGCGAGAAGTTGCTCGTTCGTGCTAGTTATGCCGAAGAAGAAAAAAATTGAACTGAGAGTTTATGAAACGATGTAAAAGCTGTAAATGGAATGTGTTATGTTTTCTTGACAAGTACCTACTTACTATTTTCCATACGGGATGAAAACATTAGTATGATGGCAAGATGGCTTTTGAAGTGTCAAGTTCGATTAGAGTTTTCAGAAAGTATGTGGGACTGTGGGACAACTGCTTGTATCTCAATTTCTGCACCGTAGAACAGGGAGGGCTTTATGGATTTTTCTGATGAGGTGGGTGAGTTCATCAGAAGAGCAGTATATGCGTTCGTATTCTTGATAGTAGCCATATTAATTGTTTCCACGCTATCTCATAGGTTTTTTCAAATCCTCTTTACTTTGCGTCTGTGGCTTACCTCGTGTTAAATGGGTTGAAGGTAAGTAAGTAGGCAGTTTATTACGGTGTACTGTAGATTAGCGATGTGATGCCATTCCGTGTAGACTTAAGCCCGGCTCGCTGTTGAGTCTATGGATTAGGTCGGTAGATGGTGTCTTGCTTGGAAGCGGCAACGGTGACTATTGGCATCTGATGATTGGAGGCCTCTCGTTAGGGTAACCTTTACAATGTTGCCTTTATTGACACTGAGTTTAATTTCAGATAGCGTGCTGTCGCAGGTACCTGATTTTTTTTGGTCATTCTTTTCCATAACGCTATTACTCCGTATATGTCAGTTGATATGGCTTCATTAGCCCGTCACTGGTCGCCACTGTAGAAAGGAGTTGGGGCTTGCAACAAGGCAGGCATTCAGGGACAACGATATGGATGCAATATCTCCGGTGCAACAAGCATCAGTCTATACAAGGTTTAATGTTTTGAATATAAAACTCATTAACTAGCGGATAATTCATCAATCAAGCTAGTCCTCCGTGGCGCAATTGGCTAGCGCGTCTGACTGTTAATCAGGAGGTTGAAAGTTCGAGCCTTTCCGGGGGAGTCTTTTCTTTTTCTTTTTCCCTCAACTTTTACTTTGGGCCTAGTATTGGGGAGCGTGATCTTAGGGGCTCGATTCGAAGACAACATTTGCCAATGGGCACAGTCGATGTTTAATCATGGAATCGTCCGAGTGTAGCCTGGAAGACGCGGGGTGCCGGTCTCCGCCGTGAATCACCAAGGCTTCATTCAGCCGAAAACGGAGGGCTTGGTTATAGGACAAGACGTGTAGAAATGGCGGAGTCTATGATTGAAGGGTTCCGGCGAGGGAAAGCTTTCGCAGCGAATCCTTAACAGTGCATCGCCGCAGCTCGCTGTCGGTATCCCGAAAGGGTCACTGATGAATGATGCACCTGGCAACTTGTAGGAGTGAGGCGGTCCACGGATGACCAGTAGTAACAACGATTACGGCAGCTGGTTGTTCGGGACGAAGTAGAATGGGACGTAGCAAGGTATTCAGTACCTGCGCTCCCTAGACCACTGGGATATATTCAGCCATGTCTACACACTCAAACCCTTCTCCTCTGTGCGAGGTTACAGGCTCTGTAGGACATATCATGATGTAGCTACATCGCTAAATTACTGGGGAGGCTCACATCGACCTACTTGGGGTTCACATATGGCATTTCCTCGTCATGCTCCTAACCATCATACCCGCCATATGTTGTTTTTCGGAGACTACTAGCGAGGCTGGATCACTAAGGTAACGTTCTTGTTGAATTTCTTAGGACGGAAAGCTCCATTCTATCCTCCCATGAATAACAAAAGAACCAAGCTAATGCAACATCTTCCCGTTCTGCTTAGTGCTTCTGAAGCTGTAAGCGATGTGGTGTTACATTAATTCTCTAGCCGCGCTTATCGAAACCATACTTACAGTCCAACCGTCTTGATCCTCCAGGATGCTGCATATGAACCAACTAGATATGCATATGACATGAGGATCGCTCCATGCCGTCCGTATCTGGATGCTTCATTGACCACGCCTCCCGGAGAATAGCATCGGATTTTCATCCGATCCCCGGCAGGACCCGTCAATTGGCAAGGGCCTTTCAGAGGAACACGGGGAGACAGGCTCATCTCGCCTCGTGTGGGTATATATATAGAAATATTACGTACTTAGTGCATGCTTCACCGGGTGTCTCTCAGCTCTCTTCGAGTAGCTGATCACTGCCGGCTCCTCGGTGAAGCATGTTTGGCTTGGATCAGAGCAGAGACAAGGGCTGGGTAACGAATCACTGGAAGGTATCTGCGAGCGAGTGCATAGGTGAGGAGCTAGGCAAAGTGAAAATTCACAGTAGACGATGTGATTTTCTTGTTTGAGCGCAGCTTCGCTACTGACTCGATCGTAGTGATGTAACGTCCTACCGGCTTTACTTCTCATCACCGCCTCAGCGCATAGTCGCCAGTGTCTATTTGGCATCAGCCATGTCGGGTCAGCTAGGAGATTTAGCTGACCATCTATGTGTCTAGAGTGATTCTCGAGACTAGAAAAAAATTAGAACAAATTGCAAAAGAATTTATAACTCCCCCGGAAAGGCTCGAACTTTCAACCTCCTGATTAACAGTCAGACGCGCTAGCCAATTGCGCCACGGAGGACTAGCTTGATTGGCTGAGCTTTTGTTAGTATATATCCTGTCCACGTTTTCTCATCCAGTGTAGCCGGTTTCCCCCGGCTGCCATGAAGCCTTTGATCAGAGATAGATAAGTACACTGGTGAAGGCTATGATAGATGCCACTGTCAAGGAGATAAACCCATCTCGGAAATACTAGGTAATACTAGGTACAACTTCAATGCTACAGTGATAAATCTCCGCAATGTAGTTACAATTGAGCACGAGGAGCGGATCGACCAAACTTGGTATAAGGGACTCCCTCCCATTGCGGATGCCAGAACTGCCAGTCCAAAAGGTTTTCACACAAACATCTACCTACCATTTGTATGCAAGGACATGGTTGGTTGATTTTCAGCTCTAGGATTAGCCATGTTTCCAGCAAAGGAGAGGATGATAACGCCCCGATATGTAAGCAATAATAGAATTGTACAGTAAATATAAGCCGCCAACTGCGGCTCATGGCGCCTCGAGCTCTAGAAGCTGCTGAATAAAGACTGCGGCTGGACCCAACTCGAATTCAGGGCTCATTTACACACATTTGATTGGACTGCGGCCAATAATCATGGTAACTTATTCACAAGTGGATTTGATGTTCTCTCAATATCCGTGTGTCACTATCTTCCAACCCATTCTCGTCTGTAATCATGAACCTGGTTGTAGCAAAACGCCACTGGTGATTGACTAGTTGCTATCAGCTTTGAGCCAGCATTCGGATGTTGAATTCGTGAGTACCAGCCTATAAGAATTACGAATTAGCCGAGCATTGATAACTCCCGGAATATCAGGAAGGTAGTACAGTAGATCAAGGCTCCAAACCCCTACATCACATACGTCTGAACAGGCACTGGCACCCCTTGCTAGAAATCATGCCGGGGGAGCATTTCCAATATGCTTACTTCGACCTATACTTTGCATGTGACCAGGGGAACCCACATCGATTATTGCGCGTCTACGTTTCATGTCTGGCTATGATTTATGGAATACCGGTATCTTGAGAGAAAGTTGTAGGAGGCTCGCTCATGGAGTTTCTTTGGTTAATGGGTTGTTATTTCCGCGAAAACAATAGCAGCTGGGTTGTAACAATAATGTCCAACAGCTTGGGCCTCAAAGTGATTGGTGTGGGAAACTCCACTGGATATCAATGACATATACCATTACAATTATTATTACCTGTACTTTATGTATCTTAGTGGTTTCATGCACCGCGCTGATAACCACTCGCACCTCGCTCTGCTCTCGATATTTCTCTGCTGACAGAAAACGTTTCAAAGCATTAATATGCAAAGATATTATTGCGGTATTCCCCATTCTTTGAGCTGTTCAACTCATCTGAACCCTACAAGGCTTGTATTAACCGGATATGTCTAGGAGAGACCACGGTGCCCTTGTTAGCTATACGTGGCGGTGTTTGCAATCATCTACAACATCGACTTACAGCCATATGGCTGTTCCTGAGTGGAAGAAGACGCTCGGTGAGACGTCATCTCGCGATCACGGCTGACAAAACGACCCGCCATCAATGCTGTTGAGGAAGAGTTGACCAACGGGTGGGTATATCTGTGATGCGTAGTCGGGCGCCTTGCCCTGACCATGTATGCAGGGAAGTCCGGAGAATTTCTTTTTCTCTACCGTGGTAGCAACCCGTACAGTACAGTCTACTACGTAATGGATGAATCGAACATGGTCTGGTCCATCCATGGAGCTGAGCTGCCGTCTGTCGTAGTGACATTTCTCTGCACAGTCGTCACACGCGATGATACGCTCCAGACGCCGGGTATACGCTTCTCGCATGAAGCAGCATCTTTTACCGACTCAACGACTCATTCTCAATCCTGGTGTTACCTTGACCTTGGTACCTACGCCGGGTTGCCCAGCTTGACATGGGAGCCAATGACTCTTATGTATTATAGACGATATATGAGCTTCCGTGGCAAATCTATCTCTAGGGCGCGAATGTTTGCTGAGCCCATTTGTTTTACGATGGAATGTCTATGCTTTAACTGTCACAGTTTAATGTGGCTAATACTCCTAAAGCTAAAGGGTACCCGTCCTTGAGCGTTTGAAAGAGTCCGATCCTCAAGGCGGATATCCGGATTCGTTGCATTGATTGGTAGCCTGCTACAAAACCCGCCGTTCTCTGACGGCCTGCGCCACTGGCTACCCCTGAATATCTGAACTGCTACTGTGAGTGTACATACCTAGTACAAACTAAGGTAGCATTAGATGCTTGGGGTTAATTGAGTTCCCATGTCAAGGAATTGTGGCTGGTTTCAACTCTCCCCGAGCTCTTTTCCCGTCACCCTAACCTTAGTTCTTTTCCTAATACGAAGCTGTATTTGCAGTAGGTGACAGCAGAACCAACTCCCCGTAGGGGAGAGAACCACACGCATGATATCACTAAAGCGCACACGGCACAGTACCCTACCTAGCGTCTTCACCTGAAGCATCCATGAATGCTGGTCTCTGAAAGCCAAGGACGCTAGAATTAGGAACCGTGAGAGGATCGACAAAGAAAATGCCTAGAACAGCACCGCCCTGTCGCTTTCCCCAACTGAGAAAAGTACGCCAGGAGGAGCAGCCTCGGCTAGCCTTAACCTACTATGCCTTTTCGTGGCTAGGGATTTTGCCTGGTACGATGAATGTGCAGGAAGACCATCCACGATTGGTGCTATGGTAGAATTCGATCTACATGCAACCAGCGAGGTAGCTGAATATACAGTATTGTTGTGGTGTATCAACAGACTGATCGAGCTCAAGTGCCGTCCTACCTTAGGCAGAGATGACGACGGGTAGCCATACTGTATATCATTTAGCTACCGGTAGTTCGAATGATTCACTTACACTAGGTAGGCCAGGTATATGGCCATGAAGACTATTTACACCCTCTTTGTGTAAAGCAGTGTAGCCCACCCCCTCATTGACATACCTCAAGGCCCTCCTGCCCAGATTTGTTCTCGAACCACCGAGACGCGAGAGATGCAAGGGTAGATGCACTACCGGGACCATTACGGTGCGCCCGTCAAGGATCCGTCCCCTCCCGCGCTTAGTTCTCCCCGATCTGCCCGGTGACAGCTCAAGCACATGGCTACTGATCCGCCTTCTCATCATTGTATTAGCTAGAGGCTTTTTCTTTATAATGGGTATAGATCCTGCGTTGATCGACACATATACTTCTTCTCCCAGACAGCGCCCGGCCCTTTGAGAGTCTAGTGTCCATGTCTCCCTCGTTATTTCTCGGCAGTTCATTATCACTTCATCTCATTGTCCTCACGAAAGATCTAGAAAGGATTTATAGGACCAACGGTTAGCTAGTGTGTGGTGTTTCAGTTCCATAGGAACTGCATACTTACTAGCCATCCTCCGTCCTCTATTCTAACTCGATCTATCTATTAACTTGGAAGTTGTGGTGCCAGCAGTTTGTGGAAACTTCCGTGTGTTGTGGACGTCCGGGACTATCCTGGGGCGGGGATAGCCACTCTGACTACTTATGCCTACACTAACACCTGACGCGTCCAGTTGACTTGGCATAATCGGTCGGCTTTCAATCGTTGTCTGCTTCTCTTGCCGACTACCAGACCCGATTCAATAACTTGGTACCGCACTGGGCAAGTATTAGTATATACCATTACGCTGTTCTAGTCCGGGATTGCTTCCTCCGGCTACGACCACTGGCCCTTAAGAGCTACGGCTCCATCTCCGTGTGAGACGGTATAGCCCCGCACATTGAACCTTTCGATCAACGTTCCTACGAACTTATCAAAGCTAGGGGGCATTTAGATTTGCAGCTTGGTGGCATCTCGGTCTCGTTACAATCCGGATCATCAGTGAGCCGAGCTCGTTTGTATATAGAGTGTCAATACTATTTCCCCAAGATGGTGTACTGCGGAAAGCCCTCACGGGGCTGCCAGATGTGTAGGACGAGAAGGATCAAGGTAAGTTATCATCTCGTTAGCGAGGGCCTACCAATCCCATTCAGACTAACACTTCTTGTTATTTAGTGCGATGAGACACGGCCTACATGCAATCAATGTAGCAAGTCGCGGCGGCAATGTCCAGGCTATGTGGACGATTTCGATTTAATGTTCCGCAATGAGACGAAAGCCACTGAGCGGAGAGCGCAAAGGGCCAACAAAAAGGCCCTGGCGCAAAAAGCAGAAAAGCAAGGTTCATCCTCGAGTAATACATCCGGCTCCTTCGATGCTACCTCAAGCAGCGCGAAGACACCGGGGAGTTCGGTCGTGGCATCGCCCGTTTTCTCGGTAGAGGAACAAGCAAGCTGCCATTTCATTTCACACTTTATCCTTATGCCGAGAGGCGGACGTGTTGGGCACATGGACTTCCTTCTCCCACTTCTCAAACAAGAGGGCCCGGATAGTCACATTCAGCATGCTTTCAATGCGTGTGCCTTGACGTTCCTGAATAACCGGCGAGGAGTTGGGGGTCGAACTTGGGACCGGGCGCTAAATGAATACTCGATGGCCCTCTCCAGGACCAATGCTGCACTCCAAAACAGAGAGACACAGCAATCAGACGCGAGCCTGGCTGCCGTGCTCTTATTAGGAATGTTTGAGGTACTGTGGAAGTTCGCTGCAGCCCCCTTGATGGATGCTAACTCGCAAATAGAATATCTCAGCAAAGCAAATCAGCGCGTTTAACTGGGGCTCTCACGTTGATGGGGCTGTACAATTAGTAAAAGCTCGAGGGAAGAAGCAGATCAAAACCGACCTTGGTAAACAACTTTTTATCTCCGTCCGGACATTAATGGTGAGCCTTCAGCCTCCTGTCCTGTTTATATAAGGTGCTGACGCATGATTTTAAGTCGGTCTATTGCCTCTCAACATCAAAACCGCCATACATGGCCCCAGACTGGTGGCTCGACGACACAGTCTTCAGCGAAACAGCCGCAGCAATCCAAGGACTAATGATCAAGACGAGCGAGGTTCGAGCACAAATCTCACATCTTATAGACACTCTTACCAAGACACCGGAGAATATCGAGCTGATGCTTGAGATAATCCGTAAGGCAAAGGCCATCGACCAAGAAATTGTTGCGTGGCAGCAGAACCAGGGCTCATCAGAAGATTGGCACTACAGAACGATAGCCTGGGAAGACAGCGTGACGAATGGGGATTATGCAAATGCTGACGTATTCCCCGGTCGTGTCGACGTGTACAACGACGTATGGATAGCCAGCATCTCAAACACGGCGCCAACCCTGCGTCTCTACCTCCACACAGCCATTGTCCGATGCGCCGCCTGGGTCTGTTCGCCCGTCGACTACCGCACAACGCCTGAGTATGCCACCGCATCGGCTGTCTGTCGGGATGCCATTACCGACATCATTGCTTCCGTGCCGTACTTCCTAGGGTGGCATCTCAAAAGAAAAGAAGCCAACACGACCCCCAAATTTGGCAACTTCGCCTGCGGGGACGAAGATGGTGTTAAGGGCCTCGCGGGCTATCTAGTAACATGGCCGCTGACCTGCGTCATCTCGCAAGACTACGCGACGGATGCGCAACGCGCCTGGGCGTTGGGACGACTGCGGAAGATTGGAAGCGACTTTGGCGTCAAGTATGCGCTTGCTGTATCTCAGGTACAGCCCCCCGCGGCCCCGAAGTGGTTCACAAAAATCTCCAAGTTACTGATATTTGAATTCTAGCTTCAAATGCGCGTCCCGTCAATGTTAATTCGCCGCGATGCCCTCATGAACACCTACCCAGCGGGAATTCCCTACGGTTTCGAACAAATTGAGGCAGCGCGACTAGCACCGCCCAGAGCTGGTCACACCCTGAATCCACAGCAGCAGTGGGAGGCGATGCAGAAGATGAGGTCCGAGCAGGGCAAGGCCGAACTTATTGGGAAAATGACCGAGAACGCTGCCGACGACGAAACGCAGCGGGCCGCTCAAAGGTGGCTTCATAATACTGCCATATTATGAAATGATGTCCACGAGCCCACATGGGTAATAGGGAAACCGACAAACTACTCAACAAATAGTCGCCTAGGATACCGGATGGCTCAATCACTGTCTATGCCGGCCTGACCTGAAAGCACGGGGGCGGAAAACAAGGGATGGACGAGATAGAAAACCTACTAGCTCTCTTAAACGTGACTCGTTAAACTAACAGAATCCAAAACCTCGATACAGAAGTCACTGTTCATATCAGACTGAGGCGTCGACTACAAGAAAGGTCGATCATGTACTCTACGAGTTGACGAATCAGCCTACTGCTTGCACTCACTCGTTGACATACCTATACACACTCATACGCGCACACCAACTGCGAAAGCACACTGGATGGGCCATGGAGACGAGACTGGGGTCAACAAAAAGGGAAAAGGACAGATAGGACAGGGGGAAATGGTTGCTAGGCTAACTATTCATATTTCGCGTGATAGGGACTCGGAATCCGTCGTTACCAGCTGTTACGAATATCATGTTAATCTCAGCTACGGGCGAGCGATAGGAGTTTACATTGGTCAGGAAATTTTTGGTTCAGCACTTAGCCAGGCGCTTAGGACGCTGAATGAATCCAATGAAAAAAATCCAATTCAATTTCTGTTCCCCTCGGCCCTATTCAGTACCCCGGTGAATGAATATCAAAGGTCCTCGACATGCGTACGCATCAGAGATCACTGCCTGTCTACAGTTCAAATTTGATAACAAGTCCTCACTGGATCCTGGGTTTTTATACGAGTGGGATGTGGGCCGAGGGAAAAGAGAAGACATACTCCGAACCGAGTGACCATCACAGTGTGATGGCCATCAGCGTATATGGTGCATATGGCTGAACTTGAATGGTATTAACGTGGCAAGATGGGCCGGTTACCTTCTATAGTAGTTAACTTTAAGTACCGATAACATAAAAGATAAAACATGAGGATAATCTCTTGTTCTTTCCCCAATTGTCTGGTATTACGTCTTGGAGTATTAGTAGATGGAGCTAATCCAACTTGACCAACCTGCCTGCGAAATACACGACTCCAAGAAACCTATTCAACGCCTGTGACCACAGATCCCGCCCTGAAGGTTGACCACTCCCATAATGTATAGGCAACGAGTTCCATCGATGCCTGCTCTTATTTCCCTAGTATATGAACATGAACGAAAGAAATGGTTACTTAAAGCCATAACGGGCTCTAGGATTGGTGGATCGAATGGTATGCTTCACGAAGGCTAAATTGATTCAAATGGGGTTGGAAGCTTAGGTTGCCAACCGCTTCGAGCGATTAGATCTTCGCATTTTACCACCCTCCCCTGGTTTGTTTCCTCACAGCGCAGCAGCATCCTGGGTATCGTTCGTCCTCACCTCCTCTTCGCGGCGGCCTGCTTGCTATTCGCGGTAGAACCGGCGTTCCATGCCTTTACGACCCATGACTGCGTAGCGTCGACGTAGCGCTCGTTCTCGACGTGCTTAACGCCGACCTTGACGCCATCTTTGGTGAAGACGACATTGCGCGAGGCGAAGCTGTTCTCGGCGTTCTCGCGGATCTTGGTGGCGCCGACATAGACCTGGTATAGCACGAAGCCGATGCCGGCCACGACGAGGAGTAGGATTACCAGAGGGATGATCTGACTATTGATGGGAAGAGAAGATTACGTTAGCCAAACTGGAGGTGTGGCTAGTTGGGATGCGCTTGGAGGAATGTGGATTTTGCTTCTGCTGTGTAGCGCACGGTTGCGCAAACGCGGCGCAATCCACAGAGATTAGGTAGTAGCTAAGTACGCAATCAAACACGCACCTAAGGGTCGATTTGGCCATAGCTGCAATGATCTTTCAGATTGTATCTCGTCGACAAGTGCCAATGGAAGTGGGATTTAGGTGCGATAGTCCAGCCGTGGTCGATATCTTGGCGCTCTGGAGTGCGAATCGCGATGCGCAGAAGGTAGGATGTGGGCTGTCTCGAGGAATGAAGCAATTCAAGAAGGCTGGGGGTGGAACGAACTAGGTGGAATAGGAAGCAGGGTTGGTTAATAGCAACAGCCACACTAATAGATACCCGATGAGGATTCTGCCAAGGTAGGTAGGGACTTGGGTATCGTTGAAAGAGGAAAAGGGAAAAAGGGAAAAAAGGGAAGAGGGCTCAGCTGGCTGCCTCGCAATGTCGAGGTGGTGGTGTAGTAGATAGGCTCATGTAGGTACGTAGGTAGTAGGCACAAGACCTACTTCCGACCTACTTCCAACCTACTTGCCCCGAGTTCTTTCAAGGCATATATGGAGACTAATGGATATATCGAGTACCACAATACCAAGGTGCGTATTTCCCTGAGAATACGAGTACACTATACGAGTAAGGGGTCACAATTGAGTATTGATTCCACCTACGATTCCACCTACTTACTTAAAAAGTAGGTAGGTAGGTAGGTAGGTTCCCGCATCTCCGAGATTAATAGATTGTTTCGCATTGCATCAGCTACCCACCTCCCGGGCCGTGTCGTCTATGTATGATCGATAGGTATGGTGTGGATACGGCGTATAAGTAAGTCGATGCATACATCTGTGTCGTTATTGTGTGAAGTCCACTACCTACATAGGGATGCATCCTAACTACATACCCGCATACATACTCAGACAGTAGCTCTTGGTGATACTGAATATGCCGACTCGCATGGACATGTGATGATGCTCCCGAGATCCTCTGATGGTGCAAGGACGGGAAAACACAAGGATCAAGGCTGGACCCGTTTGTCCTGTATCGGCTTTCCCGCTCTGGGAAGAGGGGTGGTACTACCTGTATCTGTACCATGTAGTTAAAAATGAGTATTGTCTACACTGGATGAGCAACGTAAATTCTCATCAGCCTCCGATGTAAGCTAATGAAGCTCAACCAAGTCGGCTTAGTTGCAATTGGGCTAGAACTATATATGATGATGTTATATCAGCCTCGAGCTGTATTGAAGTGCACTTGAACAAGCGGCTCTTCGGCTCTGGTGAAGGTACTTTGAGCTGTTGGTCCTCGATATAACCTACCTACTGCATCGTCTTCTTCCATGCCATCTTCTATGCCAGGGCACGTCAAGCTTGCTGGAATTTCGATTCTATCCGGCGACTTTCTTGGAATGGAATGGATTTTGTACAAAGCCGATACCAAGTTATCTTCATTCGCCAGGAAATGTACATACCTAAGTACCTGTATATGTAAGATGCTGGGGACATGTAGGTACCTATCGCTTCCAGCACGTGACTGGATGTGCCACGAAAGCTGAGCTTCGCAGCAAGAGAGATTGCGCTATACCCGATTTGCGCAGCGACGGTACCCCCATGAACAACCACCAGTCACCAGTGACAGCATTGACAGGCAACGAGGAACTCTACCTACCTAGCGACAGACTGAACGACACGTCGACTGAACTCTCCTCCTACCTGTCTCTTCCTCCTATCTTTGCGATGATTGTATGAGATACACACAGCCTGTGTCCTGCTTCTTTACGCCATTCCCCTGTCTCTCTGGGCCCATGTGGGATAGTGTCCTTTCGTCGCAGCCTGTCACCGCCGATTGTCAAAACGTGGCCTCCAAGCCAAATCCGCCGCCTGCCAAATAAGTACCTACCGAGCATTCGAAATTCGGCCCACGCCCCAGCTTGCTATTTAGGACCAGAGCCCACCGCCCAACGTCGGCACTCTTCCACCACCATCGTCCTGTCAATTGCCATCGTACGAAGACCGCTGGCCACACGACACCAGGTTCCCATCTGCAACCCCCTGCGCAGCTACCGAGATGGCTGCTCCCAATGATGGACAGGGCCAGTACCCCGCGCAACAATACCCCCCTGGAGAGCAGTTTGGTGGTTACGAGGGTCAAGCAGCGTCGCCGCCTCCCCAATCTGTCCCTGCAGATGGCGGGAAGAAGAAGAAGAGAGGCTATGCCACCCAGGCCTTCGAGTTCGGTAGCGGGGCGAATGCCGGTGTTGGTGGCGCCGTCCCCCCTGGGGGTGCTCCTCCGATGCCTGGTGCTCCAGGTTTCGGCGGCGCACAACAACCTGCACCGGGCTATGGCGGATATCCAGCGCAAGGGTTCGATCAAGGAGCCTACAATGCGCCTGTGCCCACTCCTTACGATGCTCAGCAGCCCGGCGCTCCTGCGCAACCCCCAGCCGCCGGGTATCAAGCGCCCGGCCCTTACTATTCAGGTGCTGCCGCCGGGGGCATGGGTCCTCTTACACAGAACATGGCCGGTTTGAATATGGGAGGGCCTCAGCAATCTCCAGTTCCACAGCAGCAGCAGCAGCCAGCCCAACAACCTCGCCTCGCCCTAAACCAGCTGTACCCTACAGACCTACTGAACCAGCCCTTCAATGTCTCCGAATTGGACCTGCCACCACCCGATTGTATTCTACCCCCTAATGTATGTCGCATCCATAAGCTTCTACTGGTATCACTGACTTCAAGCTAATATCCCTTTTTTTAAGGCCAGCGTCACCCAATCACCACACGCAAACTGCCCTCCCAAATACGTTCGATCCACTATAAACGCGGTTCCAACTACCCACTCCTTGTTGAAGAAGTCTAAGCTTCCTTTTGCTCTCGTCATCCAGCCATATGCTGCCCTCCATGACATCGACGACAATGTACCCGTCGTCCAAGATCAAGTAATTGCGCGTTGCCGGCGGTGTAGGACATATATCAACCCTTACGTGACTTTCCTCGACCAGGGGCATCGTTGGAGATGTAACATGTGTAACCTTACTAATGACGTGCCACAAGCGTTTGACTGGGATGCTTCTACACAGAAGAGTGTCAACCGCTGGGACAGATACGAGCTAAATCACGCTGTGGTTGAGTTCGTCGCCCCACAGGAATACATGGTTCGCCCTCCCCAGCCCCTCGTTTATCTCTTCCTCTTTGATGTGAGCTACGCCGCCGTATCAAACGGCCTCCTTGCCACAAGCGCTCGAACTATTCTTGAAAATTTGAGCAGGATACCAAATGCCGATCGCCGGACTCGTCTAGGATTTATCGCCTTCGACTCGAGTCTACATTACTTTTCTATTCCCAAAGATGAGGATGAGAATGGTGAGACGAGTATGCTGGTCGTGAGCGATCTCGAAGAACCGTTCCTGCCTATGCCCCACGACCTTTTAGTTCCCTTGACAGAGAGTCGGCAGAGCATAGAGAACTTCCTAACTAAATTGCCGCAAATGTTCGAGAATAACCAGAATAACGGATCTTGTCTGGGCTCGGCGCTTAGAGCTGGCCATCAGCTAATTTCCCCCCTAGGAGGAAAGATCGTTTCTTTAACAGCGTCTCTTCCAAACATGGGTGCTGGAAAATTGGAAATGCGAGAAGACAAAAAACTTCTTGGTACATCAAAAGAGAGCAGCCTTTTACAGACCGCTAACAGCTTCTACAAGTCTTTCGCTGTTGAATGCTCGAAGAATCAGGTCTCCATTGATATGTTCCTTTTCTCTTCGCAATACCAAGATGTGGCTTCCCTTAGCAACCTCCCTCGGTACACTGGCGGCCAGACATGGTTCTATCCTGGATTTAACTCCGGCCGAACCGAAGACGCCGAAAAGTTCGCCCATGAATTTGGCGACTATCTGTCTTCAGAGATTGGCTTAGAGGCCGTGCTTCGAGTCCGCGCTTCAACAGGCCTGCGCATGAGCACGTTTTACGGCAACTTCTTCAACAGATCTTCAGATCTCTGTGCATTCCCAGCTTTCCCTCGCGACCAGTGTTATGTGATCGAGGTAGCGATCGACGAGAGCTTGCAGAAACAATTCATATGTCTCCAGGCAGGTGTTTTATATACGACCTGTAATGGGGAGCGACGCATTCGGGTTATGACGCTTTCACTTCCCACAACTACTAACCTGGCAGACATGTACGCTTCGGCTGACCAGTGTGCTATCACTACCTACTTCAGTCATAAAGCAGTAGAGAGAGCCCTGAGCAGTGGTCTTGATGCTGCCAGAGACGCTTTGCAAAGCAAGATCATTGAGCTTCTGCAAACATTTAAAAAGGAATTGGGTGGTGGAAGTATGGGCGGCGGCGGCTTACAATTCCCCGCAAACTTGCGTGGCTTGCCTGTGCTATTCCTCGGCTTGATAAAGAACATTGGTCTACGCCGCTCTGCGCAGATCCCGTCGGATCTTCGATCGGCAGCGCTATGTCTGCTGTCGACGCTACCTCTACCGCTCCTCATCCAGTACATTTACCCCCGACTATACTCACTACACGACATGCCTGACAATGCGGGCGTACCTGATCCAGAGACAAGTCAGATTGTTCTTCCGCCACCGCTGAACCTTTCCTCGGAGCGGTTTGTTTCTTACGGGTTGTATCTCATCGATGATGGGCAGACACAATTCCTATGGGTTGGACGAGATGCGGTCCCACAGTTGCTGGCCGACGTCTTTGGGGTCCAGGATCGGTCCCAACTCCGTGTTGGCAAGGCCACGATACCAGAGTTGCCCAACGACTTCAACGAGCGGGTGCGAGCGGTGATCGAAAAGAGCAGACACCACCTGTCCAGGGGTGTCGGTAGCATTACTTTCCCTCACCTGCACATTGTCCGGGAGGATGGCGAGCCAAGTCTGAAGTTGTGGGCACAGACATTGTTAGTGGAGGATCGTTCAGATCAAGCCCCAAGCCTTGGTCAATTCATGGGTTCTCTTAGAGAAAAGGTGAGTTGAACGAGCCATCTTATTAGAAGAGAGCATGGGATACTAAATTGCAATGACAGGTTGTGCAATAGAAGGACAAGTTGAGACGTAGAAAGGAAAATCTAATGAGCTTCACTAAGAGCTCAGTGGATCTCAACAAAAACAAATGAATAAAAAAAGTTCAAATAATAAATGACAAGGATGAAGAGTGTGCTCGCTATGTTGTACTTGATGTCACCGTACCTGAAATCAGCCCACCTTGTCTTTTGTGTTCTTGTTTTGTGCTCGACAAACAACCGGGATTGGATGAACGGATGGACACCCGCCTGTCACGCAGCGGTAAGAGAATATAGTTAGCACGAGGTAACCTAGATAAGGGAGCTTCTTGGACGGTTTAGCATTCACTCATGATATCACGAGGCAAGAAGAAAAGATATATATAGTTATATCTATCTATACTTAGTATATATATAAAGACTAGTGAGGTGTTCTCTACATTTCTAAATGTTCAAAGCAGAGATAGATTCGGGGCTACCTACCAGTTGCTACCTACTCATCAAACAACAACCAGTCAATGGTGATTGAGCTCTTACTTACCTACAGTATGTATATACCTACATAGGAGATAGACACATTCTGTGGAAACTGGAAGCAATGGCAGATGCGGGGTGAAGGGACAAGCTGGGAGACCGCTGTTAGGTAGTGAGGATACGGAGGTCCTTGCCTAAGTACTTACCTACCTAGGTCCATATAAATAGGCAGCATTAGCGGGGTGGAGATACATGTATCATTTGAGGAATTAGCCAGTCATGAAACAAGACTGGATGCTGTTGCTCGCTTGACTCAGCTTGTTTGCCAGACCATTGCCAGACCATTCTTGCGAATACGCGATTGTGATACCGGCAGAGCTGGGGGGGGGAGGGAGAGGGAGGGAGAGGGAGGAGAGAGGGAGGAGAGAGAGAAGGAAAGGGGCGGGATGAAACGCTAGGTCTTCCCCCACATTCCTGGCATTGGGCGCGTAGGGTGGTTCGTCGATTGGCTTGACGGGTGGGGCTAGGTATTTTTCCATTTTTCTCTTTTCCTTGATGGGTGTTGCGATATTGAGCAGCTTGTTCGATAAGTGAGGAACAAACAAAATGAGTTCTCATCAAATTGTGTGTATAGATATGTGTACGTAGTATGTGTGTGTGCCTATATTTCTAGGGACGAAGTTGCTACGATAGGTATCACATTCCCAGTGACCTGCATGTAGGTGATATACCTAGGTACAAGTTAGCTTCGTGTAAATCTGCGCGGTATCAACCCATCTGTAATATCCACCAGGGCTAGGTCACTCCCGTGTGCGTACTGTGAATCATCTGAAGCAGCAGTGTATGGTAAGATATTCTGGGTTGGGTACGGGACGGGACCAGTTTGAGGGTGGTTTCACTACGTACATACGACATGTAGCTTTACCCCTCCGCTAAAGTGTCTTTAAGCGCGCTACTGTAGGGCAATGTACGATGAGTGGGGTCGAACAGGGCGGCTACTCGATATACCATGTGCCTACCTACCTCCTACTAGGTACATAAAGTACCTGCAGACACAGGTACCGGTAGTCCTTTTTTTGGAGAAGGATAGCTAATCTACAAAGTACTGGAGGAGTAATAGGTGACTGAATTGAGCCCTTTCTTAGACACTTACTTAAGTATATTAACAAACAAGAGGCTCTTATCATCGGAAAGGCACATATGTTAATACAATGTATCTATGTATGCATTCCCTGTGGGCTGTAGTGCATGTAGTTATCAAGTACATATGTATATATGTAAGTAGGTATGTAGGCACTATGCGAGTGTGGTTTAATTGAGACGGCTCCTCTACCCGATTAACCCTCCCCCTCAACCCCTCAAGTACTGTACTATGTAGGTACTTCGATGCCTGGAGCTTTCATTTGTCAAGCCAAATTCCCATCTTTCATATTCCCAAATCCTAAGCTACACAAGTACTACCTACATATGTAGGTAGGCAAGGTAAGTAACCTCTATATGACATACATATAGGTATGTATATATAAACAAGGCGGCCTATTGTCCTATCGTCTGTCACTACATAGTACTATTCTAAGTCCTGTCATGAAAACTCATCACTGTTCCTAAGAGGTATCTTGAGCAGCTTGGGAAACCATGGTGTGTCACTCTGTGTCATGTTATGCCTAGTCAAATCTGATTTTAGACCCCACGTGGCATCCACCACAACTCCGTAGACTAAGCAACTTGACCAGTTTCCCCTGTACTTCATATCTTCAAGGTTGCACGGGCCTTGTCTTGCTGGCTTTGCCCGGTTCTACTCTGTTGTACTATGTACTGTATCTTCTCTCTACTTCGTACATACCTACTACCTAGGTAGTATGTAAACCCACATTACCTACAGAGTCGTATCACTCACTCACAGGAGCCGTGTGACTAGCGTGGGGTCCTTGTCCGCTCCATCACATTCATCCCATGTTTCCAAATAAGCGACAGGCGTCAATAGGAATACCTACCTAAGTTCTTGGATGTTCAGTAGTGCACTTACACTTACACTATGTTCCTACCTACTGTCTACTAGTATCTGTCTGTCAATTTATGGCTAATCTGCTGTACATAGTACATGATGCTAAATGCCATGTCTTCGACATCGGGGAAGCATATCTCTAGATATTCACAGCAACCAGCTAATACCTCGAGACATCACATTGAAAACATGTACCTACTATAGTAAGTGGAGTGTAGATACCTACATGTACTGTAGGTATGCAATCCAATTACTAGCTCCATACATAGTAGTACCCCTCATCACGGGTGGAGGCTTGCAGGGGTGTCGCTCACTAGAGGTACCTCCATTGCCACTAATAGTACCTAAGCAAGATAGGTATGTACTGTACCTGATGTAGGTATAGGTACCTACCTAGGTAGTACCTAATACATAGCACTAGTAGGTCAGATCAGTAGCAATAAACCAACAACAGGATTGGAATTCCCTACATTGGACGTCCAGCTCTCTCCCTCTCTCCTTCGTCTGCCTGTTTTATTGCACCCAGATCCTCTTTGATGAACTAGTTTTAGTTCGTGTCTTTCTCTCTAACCCTCGCTCTTATCGTGACATAGCAAGCAAGCAAGCTGCCTAGGTGCTGCTGCTGACCCAGCCATCCGTCTTGGGACCCAACCATTCCGCCCAATCACTGAGACTTTGACCCCTCACACGATCATATCCATCAGACCCTCACCCGCAGAGCGAGCCACCTTCGCACCGCGAAGCAGCAGTTCCAGAGCGCCACGCTCCCTCTATCCAGTCCTTCGGAGAGAGCAGCTTCATCCGAACACCTTGTCCGTTTTTCATTATCCATCACAGAGGTAAGCGCCGGCTATTTCTCTATCCAACCCCCCCGGGGCGCAGATCATACAAGCACCTGCACCTTGTTCGGCCACCCTTCAACTCCCACCCCTCTCAACCATCTCGCTTTCTGCATCTACATGTTGCAGACGAGGACCGCACCAGCGCTCGACTTGCTGTCTACTTAGTATGCGCACGCGACATCATCTTCGCTTCGTACGACACATCCATCCGGCTGTAGCCCAGGCGGTCGGGTGAGGTGTCTGAGCTTGTAACAAGGGGCCTGGTCACAATCCGATGTGCCGTCCGAGCGACTAGAACTCCTGCTGCCCCTTGTTCATACGCCCGGTGTCATCTCGGCTGTGGATTCTTCGCAAGTGCTTCTAGAATTTCTTGAAACCTAGATTCGAACTTGGTTGCCTCCCGCCGCGTAGCCCTAGGAAGCTCGCATAGAAGGCGAATCCCAGACCAGCACTACTACTGAGCAGTTGCATGAACTCCAGGACTGTGTGCCCACATCTTAGCTCTTCTAACCCTGAACTGTCACCTAACGGGTCCTCTTTGTTCTTCTCCTGTAACATCGGCTAATGTTTCTTTTCCTCTAATAGTTCGGACGACTCAACACCACAAACACTAGACTCTCTCCGTCAAACACAAAGAAGATTATCTTCTGCTCCTCCCACGATTCAAAGCCAAGGCAGGCATCAAGGCGACAAAAACATTTCATCTTTTTGTGTTGGAACTCTCACACGGCGCAACAATTGTTGAGGTCGATAAGTTAATCATAGCTCCAGGCTTGGTACTTATTACGCGCCTTTCTGACCAAGACCTATACTCTGTCGTCTGACATATCCCGAGCCTCGTCAATTGAGGGTTGTGGGTGGACGTAAAGGGGTGCGCCTAGGCTACGCGCGTCACTATTAAGTATATATTAGAAGTGATAGATCGACCGTGCTCTCAAGCTTCACTCCACCATGTCACGATCAAACCCTCCGAATCCTCAGGGATCTCGCAAGATCTCTTTCAACGTCAGTGAGCAGTACGATATTCAGGATGTGGTCGGCGAAGGTGCCTACGGTGTTGTCTGGTATGGCTTGATTTATTTTTTCGTGTCCCGTATATCTAAATGCTGATTGCTGTTATTCATCCAGTTCGGCGATACACAAACCATCGGGCCAAAAGGTTGCCATCAAGAAGATAACGCCTTTCGATCACTCCATGTTTTGTCTTAGAACCCTACGTGAGATGAAGCTCCTGCGATACTTCAACCATGAGAACATCATCTCCATCCTAGATATTCAAAAACCTCGGAACTACGAGTCCTTCAATGAGGTTTACCTTATCCAGGAGCTTATGGAAACTGATATGCATCGTGTTATCCGCACCCAAGATCTGTCTGATGACCACTGTCAATATTTCATCTATCAGACGCTGAGAGCCCTCAAGGCGATGCATTCTGCCAATGTTCTGCACCGAGATCTCAAGCCAAGCAACCTTCTGCTAAACGCCAATTGCGATCTCAAAGTATGCGACTTTGGACTTGCGCGATCCGCCGCCTCGCAAGAGGATAACTCGGGTTTCATGACAGAATATGTTGCCACGCGATGGTATCGTGCACCAGAGATCATGTTGACATTTAAGGAATACACCAAGGCGATTGATGTGTGGTCTGTCGGCTGTATTTTGGCCGAAATGCTAAGCGGAAAACCACTATTCCCTGGCAAAGACTGTAAGTATTCGATCCCCATTTCATTATATATTCCATAGACCGTATACCAGTTGACATATCTGACACGGATAAGATCACCATCAATTGACGTTGATTCTGGATGTGCTGGGAACACCAACGATGGAAGACTATTACGGAATCAAGTCACGCCGTGCGCGGGAATATATTCGATCTCTACCTTTTAAGAAGAAGGTTCCATTCAGAACTCTATTCCCAAAGACCTCAGACCTTGCGCTTGATCTTCTGGAAAAGCTTCTCGCATTTAATCCTGTCAAACGCATCACGGTGGAAGAGGCTCTGAAGCACCCTTATCTGGAGCCGTATCATGACCCAGAGGACGAGCCCACGGCACCCCCGATTCCCGAGGAGTTCTTTGACTTTGACAAGCACAAGGACAACCTCAGCAAAGAACAATTGAAGCAGCTCATCTACCAAGAAATCATGCGGTAGAACCCGACTCCTTTTCAATGTTGTGGCCGGATTGATTAAGGATCCACAGAAGCTGGAATGGCGAGCATGTGGTTCTGATGGTACAGCAGAGAGGTTGTCAATGGCTCCGTGGATGGATGCACGAGTATGAAGTGGATATTGGAGGTGCTGGCTCAGATTAGGTTTGTTTAGAGAACAACAGCGAGCAAGTAAGCGATGCAAGTAATTAGCGAATCCAGCCAGAAATGTAACAAGCGGGCCAGCTATACGTCTTTGAGAGACAAATAGGAAATGATCTTTTTTTTCTTTCCAATCTGTGTTATTAACAGCCATCTTTTTCAATATAAATGGCATAGTTATCAATCAGTATGAGACAAGAAAAAAATAGGAGGCAATGGTCTCGCAATGAATTGGGCCGAGTTTCTTCTTTTCTTTCTTTCTTTCTTTCTTCTTGCTTTATATACCTACCTATCTATCAGCCTGTCTGCCTTGCTGCTTTAGAGTTGAATTGTAGATGTGGAAAAAAGGGTTCCATATTGACAATGTAGAACTGATAGGTAACGTGCATTTAAAGGGGTTGCACACCGTTTTGCCAAAATACTAAGAACACATGTCCATTTCACTCCATTTTAAGAGTTGAAGACCTTTTGGTCTAATTCTTGGATCGTTGATTGATTTAATCACCTTTGTACTGTTTCTTGCCGGTGCCTCGACTATTTAAACAAGCATTTCTAGTTCCGGGCCAATATGGTTTGGAAATGGCCAGGTACTGTTTTGTAACAACTGATATGTATATATGTATATCATATTTTCTCGGAGTGCCTTGCCTGTGTGGGAATTTGGAGTTGGGTATCTTTATTAGCTACATATGAACATTTTGAATATCCGGATGTCTGGGGAGCCTCCGTCGCATCCTCTCTTTACTCAAACCTGCTCCTTGTCGATTTATCACTTTATATACCACTTTCTCTCCAGCTATGTTCCTTCATCGCTTTCACTATGTGCAGCCCCATCTACCTCGAGCAGAGCAGAGTAGGGCAGAGTCGAGTGGTGTTGAGCTACTTCAACCTCGGCGTTGTGGCCGTTGGCGAGAGCATGGACACCAAATCTAAGTTTGAACATTGCTCTCCCTTTTGGAGCCTTTCGCTTGATAGCCAGCATGAAATCCGGAATTATACAATCCAGACGCGCCTATATCCCTTCTCTCTCTGTTCCCCTTATGTAAGAGCCTTGAGCAATCTTTGGAAGCAGCCTCTGCTGAGATGATGGTGAGCTTTTCCAGGCTATCCTCATTCACCTAGGCCTTTTGAATATATGGCACCCTCTTCATCATGTTTGTTAGTTCTCAAAAAGCAAATTATGCAGTTCAGACTGAATCTGCCTTGTTGCAAGACCGTGCCCTGAATAGGATTCGTGGTTTTCCTTTCGCCTTAGACTCCTCAATTTCCAGTCTTGCGAAATTCTAAAGACTTGTTTCGATTTTCGCCCGTTGTCCAGCTTAGAGTCCTAATTAGTTCTCCTTCCAATCTATCCCATAGTAATTCGATCAATCTTCCTCATCATTTCTTTCTCGGCATCGTATCTCGAGCTCGTCCCCTTCATCCACTTCAAGCTCACTCGTGTCACCGAGTCCTTAGCTAGCACCTACGACCCATAACTCAACACCGAGTATGTCAAATTTTTCTCCCTCCTCACTGAGTGGTTGATTCAGGAACGTATCGCATTCGGCGCTATGGCCCCGGCTGAGACTGTCGTCTAGCCACAGCCCGAATGTTCCCCCATGCCCGCCACCAACGCTCAGAAATTTAGTCTCGCAAAACATGCAATAATCATTGGCACCAGTATACGCGAAGGTCTGGAAACGGACGCTCTGGGTTGCCGCCACGGGTGATGGTACGCGTTTAATGTTCTCTGGGTCGACGGCACCGGGGGTTAGACGATCCGCGCCGCTACTGGAGGAGCCGCTCGGAGCGCGTGCTGTAGACGATGCTATAGTCGTCGTCCGGTAGTTCAAGTTCGTGGTGTCGGCAGATGGCGGGGGCGGTAAAGGCGCGTGAAGACTAGCACGCCATAGAAAACATTCTCCTGTGCCGTAGTAAGACGCCGCTGGATGTGGTGCTTCAGTAAGATATGCACCAAAGATCTGTAGTTTAAACCCCGTTTCAGCTTCACTACGCCCCATCATCTGAGAGATAAGAGTCTTGATTATCTCTTTCTAGGAATAATTATAGTGCAAGTCATGAACAGCAAGGTGTAATAAAGTACGAAGAGCAAAATGAAAAGATCAACCTCCTTGGTGGTATATACGAGATAGCAACAAGGGAATAAATCAGGAACACTTACCCCGTCCTTGCCGTCCCTCACAACGAGCACGAATCCAGCCCGAACCCCGCGATATTTTTCGCATAGTTGGTATAGCGTGGCAAGGGAGCTCCCATTTTGGTACAGGCTATACACAAGGCGCCAATCCTCCATGATCTTCAAGCGCTCCGGCAAGAATGTACGAATCTCCTCGGCCACACCGCGCGCCAGGAGCCGCTCGTCGGGGTCCGTGTCCGCGCGGTACCCGTACAAGTTGATCGGGTCGAGGGACGGTAGACCCCGTGGTGTTGCCGTCCGTCTAGGCGGTGTGAAGGCACCGTTTATCCCGTCCCCACCGGCGCCTGGAACCATCCCCAGTGAGTTGGCATTGCTGTTGTAGAGCTGCGAAACGCCCGGCGGTGTTGTGGGCGGGTTATCCACCGTCGAGATGCGGCGGAGGAGGCCCCAGACTGCAGAGCCTATGCCGTACCCCGAGGAAGTGGTAGAGGGCGATAGAGGGGGTGGCGGTGACCGCTGGGACGGTCGTGGCTCCGGTCGGGGACTTGATGTCAATGCAGGGTCGGTGTGTGGTGGGAGGGCAGACGAGGGCGGCGTTGAGGTCTCGGGCGCTTCTTGAAATTCGGAAAACTCGTCATCATCGTCGAGATCGATTAGATTGCCTGTTTCGCGACGCTCCATGATAACTGGCTGACACGGCTGTCATCAAGCAGACTCGATTGCGAGATTAGAGAGATTGGAGAGGGTGTTTGGAGCGGCACGAGGAGGTTGAGGACCCCTCCTTCCTAGCCTGTTCGCTTTCCTATTGAATAACTTTCGCAGTGCTTCGGGCAGTCAAACTGAGCCCGATGTAGCTGGGCTCATTTGGCGACACAGTCAGGTAAGATGAAATGCCAGAAGGTCGGCCTTGAAGCTACCCTAGCCTGTGACGTCGTGTGTGCTGCGGCGAGTTAGGCGGTGGGGCTATTTCCTCCGATGTTTAACTAGGTAATTCTATAGATACTTGGAGAAGTTAGGTTGATAATTCAACGTTGATTTTCTTGGTATTTTTAAGTAGATATGGTGGCGGTAGGAAGTTTCACTTGATCCAATTTCGAGGCGCGGTGAGCGGTTGATCTGATCTGTTGTTGGTCTTCCTACGGGTGCCTGCGTGGTGGAGCTGCGGATAATGAGGAATGGCTGGGCATAGTTTCTGCAGGTCCGCCGCCTGCTGAGTGAGGTACCAAATGCACCGAGTCTACTAACAGGTATTTCAAAGGGGTATTTCAAAGGAGAGGGCTTTGGATAATATTTACAGTAGGTAGGTATGGCCAAGGTACGACCCATATGAATACCAGATTTCCCTCCGCGGGCCACGACAAGTGAAGCTGTGTCGATGCTGGTACTTACCTGCCTTGCGCAGTTTAGGCAAGCATAATAATTAGAATTGGAATATTACTGTAAGATACTAACGCCGATGCAGATCCTCAAATGTATTTATCATTCGTGCTAAATCCATCCACATCACTAGTACCTTGCATGAGCTTGTCTCACAACGACGGTCTGAGTTATAAAGAGTAGTGTAGGACGGTATGAGGGCAAGACATTGTGTCTTCAAACATTGGTTCTTCGATGCTCATAACAAGCAGTCAATTATATAAGTACGTACTCGTGACCATATCAACCATACTGAAAATTAGTAATAGCCTCCCGGATGCCTTCAGGGCTTGGCTTCTCCGCAGAAACATCCGGCTCAAAATCGAAAGTGTTTATGAGATAGTCTCTCGTGGTAGGCCCTATTGTTGCAATATATGTGGTCCGCTGGCTGGGGCCCCTCACGGCTCTGGTCGTCTGTTCGTCAAGGGTGAACCCTAAGCCTTTGAGCATACTGTCACAGCCTGTTGGTGAGAACACCACTACCCACTTCCTGGGTCGGTCTTGTATGCCCGACAAGATCTTTTCTAAGTCTTTAGGAAACGACTCCATGACGCCTGTGCCGTAGACTACTGTCTCGGTTACTTCGATGCGTGTGTCGGCTGGTAACGTGTCGGCCATCAGATTTTTGGGTATAATATCCCGTCTCTGTTCGCCAACCAAGAAAAGTAAGGGCGGTTTTTTCGCCCGACCTCGATACCACTCGCCATAATGCTCCAGTATGTACCGTGCAAGGGCGTCGCCATTCCCAGTGTGTTCGCCAAATATCCGTAATGGCGGGGACTGGGGAATTGCCTTCAACGCTCGGGTCGTGGCGGGGCCGACGCTGTATATGGGCACGTCTAATGATTGCGGCCAGCTCTCCTCTTTGCCTATACCAGTCAAGTCAGGTCGTTGAGGGACTACACAGGACGAAGACGACAACGACGACGATAGTCACGATCATCACGGCAGTTGGAAAGTATATGTGCTTGGCAACAAACCTTTACCCTCAGCAACTACCTTGGCAAAAGCGTCGACGGCCCTTTGAGAGGTAAATATGAGCCCTCCATAAGTATTGTCTTGGCCACTATTGATCTTGTTCTCCTGCAGTAGCCTCCTCAGGCTTTGCAGTCCATCTTCCTCGAAGCGGTGTTGCAACACGGGTACAAAGGTCGGCTCAAAATGAAGGTTCTGATGCGGGGTCGAGAAGAGGTCTTCATAAGCATCCGTTGGCGAGGATTTGGTCTTGAGAAGAAGAATAGGCACCTTTTGCCCACCAAGGCTGGGTACTGACGCTGCCATGAATAGAATAAGTATGAGATTCTTAGAATGTATGAGCCATGATTGCAACCCTCAAAAGTGATGTCAGGATCTCTATGCGATCTAGGTTTATCGATAAAAGCCCCGCCAATTCTTGGTACCTGGGCAGACCTGGGAGCTTCTAGAACCACTAAATATTGTAGGGGTACGCTGTACGGTACCTGTACCTGGAGCTTGGAGCTTGGCCCCGTCAAGCCATTACAAATCGCCGCCCGCCGATACGGCCCAGGCCGGCTCTGTGATACTTTCCATTCTCTCGCAACACTACCTCCCTCCCGTGATTTGGCAATGCTGTCGTAAATGAGGTGATAGACCCGTGTCGATTCTACATTGTCCCCGACACGACCGTTTCGTCTCCATTGACTGCCTAGGGTAGGGTATGGCCATAGATCCGCCAGAATCGCAGCCTTTGCCGGCGGCTCCCGCGAGGTTGCCTCCGGGCATGATCCTAGACAAAGATGGCAAACCGTACGCTCTCCGCCACCCCTATGCGTCCCAGCTTTGAATAGAGGTCCCCTTCAAACTAACAGAGCTTCATGTGTGTTAGGTGCCGATCTTGTAATTCGAAGGCCTCTTTCAGCCAATGGGCCCAACACACAAAATCCTCGCTGAAATCAGGCGTAGGTGCCGCGGCCGGGGCTACCGCTGCAGCCGCTGCTGCGACGACTGTCACCCCCAATTCCTTACAAGTGGCCGATGATTGTCCGCCCGACGTCGAGGCCCTAGGCCGGAGCACTTGGACTCTCTTACATACCATCGCCGCGAACTATCCAAAGTCCCCAAGTTATAGGGAACAATCAGACCTTAAAACCTTCATGGGTGTATTTTCGCGACTATATCCTTGCTGGGTGTGCGCCGAAGACTTCCAGCGATATATGGAGAAGGAACAGATCAGAGTTGACAGCCGAAACGCGTTCGGCACATGGCTGTGCGAAGCCCACAACGCCGTCAATACTAAGCTCGGCAAGCCCGTCTTCGACTGCTCCAAATGGGAAGAAAGGTGGCGAACTGGTTGGAAAGATGGACGGTGCGATTAGATGCGCTGCTGCTCTTCCGCATAGACCCCATCATCCCGTGAGCTTATTCATTATACCACTCCTCTAGAATGCTCAGTGCTCACTGCAGCATGTTGCCTTTTCACTGTTTGTAAAACAACTGTACACCATTAGATAGCAAGAGAGACGGGCAGCCGAATCAACGCTCGACTAGATTCTCGGAGAACCGCATCTCCGCTCATCATTTGACCTGTTTATCCAAACACGACCTAATGAACGCATTGGACTATCTCCCGATGGTTGGAAGTTGTACATACATCAGGGTTGGAGATATACCATTCCAAACTTTCATGTAGATAGACAGAGGTATTGACAGCCTTAGAGCTATCACCAAACTCGAGAAATGATTATCAAGAGGTAGTCGAGGTGGAAGTTCCGCTCGGTCTCAGCCGTGCCAAGGTAGCAAGCCGAGGCCAGACTCGCTACGCATCACTCTTCGGCCCCATCAACTTAAGCGAGCAACGGATGGCCGTCCCGCTATCAAAATGCGGCCGAAGCCGCCGACTCTACGACGGGCCAATCGAAGTCAACCCCCTGTACGGAAATAAATGGTACGTTTTTAGATGTTCTTAGACGTTTTAGCTCGGCGGCAAGAGCCGGGATGCAAGTCTAAGACCAGACCTACAGTAGGAATGCGGATACATTGCATCACCACCTGTACCGACACCCATACCATGACGACTGCTGTCAGCCCACCACGGTGCTGCCGTTGGCCTTTTGTGGTCGCATTGCATGCAGAGATACAGCCCGGCCTGACTAAGAACCCACCACCAAAAAAACCACGCGAATGTCTTCTCATCTATGCCTCTAGTAGGCTCCCGACGTAACCCGACAAACATTCGGTCCATTGCGTTGTTTAATCGTGTTGAGAAAGCTGTTGCATGAACTAAGGGCCATACCGTATACATTCACAGCTTGCAAGTGCTGCTCAGCGTGATAGATTATATATATTTACCTCGTCAATATCATCAACACAAATCAACTCCGTTCCTCACTTCCACACACGACTTCCCTAGCTCTACATATTGCAGTGTGATAACATCTTCACACACGAGGAATTCAGCAACAAACTAAAGGAAAGTATAGTCCCATAAAGCAACCGCAAAGGATTCTGGGGGGGGGGGGGGGGGGGGGGGGGGGGGGGGGGGGGGGGGGGGGGGGGGGGGGGCGGGGGGGGGGGCGGCC